CACGGGAAAACGACTTTCCCGCATCGCGGTGTTTTTTAGTTTCCGCTGGAGAGAAGGGGTTATGCGCGTTCTTCGGTTGGTAGTACTTATTGAAGTCAACGAACGTCATGTCATGGTTAACTGTCATCTGCTGTAAAATCAATTAAACCGTTGGTTGAGGGTATTTAGTGCGATTAATCGGAAACAGACGTACACTAAGTTTTACGTAAATATATAAACAAGAACTTATAACGCAATCAAATTATTTTTCAGAATTGGAACTCAAGAAAAAGTAAAATTTATTGTTAAAACGTCTTAAAATGTGACCAGTGATATTCTGCAACTATTCGCATATGCAGTTTAAGAAAGCACATATTAACACACACAAAGCTTCCAAGGATTTTAAATGTAACGAGTGTATTTACGCAACTCAAGATAAATCAAATTTCAGAACACATTTCTTCACACATGTCTTCTGGGAATATTAAATACGATCAGTACACTTACGCGACCAATAAGAGCACTCTTTTCAAAGCATATTTCTTAACATTGAAGACTTCCAAGGATATTCAGTGCAAACGATGCAATGCCGTGACCAGTAGTAGCACTCATTGCAAAGGCAAAATATGTATTAACCAAAGATGTGGAAGTTTTAAATGTGACCAGTGCAAGTGGGTAGTTACAAAATTATGTTACCAACCAAACATATGATTGTGTTACCAACTCATGATTAAAAAAAACTAATTTACAAAACTTTATTAATTTTGACCTTTTTTTACGCAATTCGTTACAAAAAATATTGTACCTAACTCTTTCGGAAAGAATTTTCCCGCATTCGCACTAAATGCAGCACTCCCTACGGTCGTGCTGCAAACAAAGTGCTCATGCGGGAAAATTAACTTACCGAACTTGTTAGGTAAATAACTATTCTTAAACTGCATATGCGAATAGTTGCAGAATATCACTGGTCACATTTTAAGACGTTTTAACAATAAATTTTACTTTTTCTTGAGTTCCAATTCTGAAAAATAATTTGATTGCGTTGTAAGTTCTTGTTTATATATTTACGTAAAACTTAGTGTACGTCTGTTTCCGATTAATTGCACTAAAGACCCTCAACCAACGGTTTAATTGATTTTACAGCAGATGACAGTTAACCATGACATGACGTTCGTTGACTTCAATAAGTACTACCAACCGAAGAACGCGCATAACCCCTTCTCTCCAGCGGAAACTAAAAAACACCGCGATGCGGGAAAGTCGTTTTCCCGTGCATCGAGGATGCTTGGAAACATTATCTTTCCATTCAATGAGTACAAAAAGTAGTTTTCTCGCAGTTAACATCACGTTCAGGCTTTTATACACCGATTTGTACGGAAAATCCGTGGTCGAGTAAAAATTTTCTTATTGAGTATTGGTTAGGGTTTTAGTATCCGGTTTATCTAGTGTCAGACGTTAGACATTGCTATACCGCTATTCTTTGTGCCGCACTATTTAGTATCCCTCTTGTTTATTTGTGATGTTATCTGTTACAGAGAAGACAGAAAAACGCCCTTTTTGAGCTTGAAAAGGTTGCGACCTGTAGTTCAAAGGTTTTTTTAAATTTCATCATCTATTTCCTAATATAACGTTTGATTCCCTACTGGTTATCGATACAATCGAAATGTAATTACTATGTACATTTGTTTGATTATAGCTGCGTTGTTTTCTGAGGAAACCTGTTTTGATTTTAATAATTTCCTTGGTGACGATTTGATCCCCCTTTTTGATAAAAAAAATGATCTAAATTTAAACATGTATATTTGAGATCTAGATATTCCAGTGTACCTACTGTTTGTAATATTTTGAGATAATTTATTAAATTACCCTCGATTGCAACATCAATTCTTGTTTATATTACCCTGTCAATTATTTTATTTCTTTAGCTTATCAAGTCCATAACAAGGATCTCTTAGTCTGCCTTGTTCCCCTTTAGGTAAGTATTCTCTTTTCTCTTTTTAAATTTACCACAGACCAAGTGGCGCCTATCCGGTTTACTATTCCTTTGCTGTGTCTGTAACATTCAGGGCCGCTTAAAAAAATAAATCCAATGCCCCGGGTTGGGCGAGCAAATAATAATGCTGTGTACATTTGCCCGACCAAAATGACCCATACACAAAACATGATTAAATCGAGGATTAAATCCAATTTCACCAAGCGAACTACTGTGATTCAAGAGAGTTATATTTTGTAATCTTCCTCTATTAGTGATAATAAAAACATAATTTGTTGACCAATTTTGTGGAGGAGCAGCAAACGCAGCGCGGTCAAAGTTAAATGTGAATACCTAGACACAGAGTATCGAAAGCTCGATCGGAAGGATGCGACCAGTACCTTCTGTATGGAGATTGATCAGAAATGTCTTCAAACAACCATCTAATAAGTATGGTAAAATCATCAGACATCGCATACAACTGAAAATACTTGTAGGCTTGTACAAATTTACAAAAAATTGAGTGGATGAGACCAAATCGAGCATTTTTTCCAAATAAACAATGGCCCTAAAAGATTTAGCAGGAACCTCGGCAGGAACGTTCCTAAACGTCCAAAACTTGCGATATTTTTAACTCTATTCTCAAGAACAATATTCGTATATCGATGGATGATAGTAAAATGTTTCGTCATTTCGAACACCCTGTCTCAACATCTGCTCTAGCAGTAATAACTATTGACTAATATCAATACAGGATGACATTAGAAAAAAAAGAAAAAAGGCATTCACCCTTGCATTCGCCTTAAGGCAAGTAACCTTAGAGATATATTGCCCTCGACCTCGCTCTTGACATTGCCCTACTTTTTTTCACTGTTTTGCTCGCTGTTTTGTTTGTTGATGTCGAGGCGCTATTTATGGAAAATGTTATATCGAATTTGAGCTTATAAATCCTATACGCTTGTTAAATTTTAAATTTGTATTCCCCGAGGTATTCCCCAAAACTCAAACATAAATCCTGCTCCGTTTTAGCGATCATCGAGGCGATCATTTTGGGAAAGGTAAAAAAAAACTTGATTTAACCCCAATTTAATTGAAGAATCGGTTAAACGATGTTTTGGTGGTTTTCTGTTTACATTATACGATTTGCTACCAACAATTACGAATAAGTAAGATTGGACCCGAAAACATGACAACTAGCAAGAGAAATCGTAAGTAAAATCACATAACGGAAATTGCGCTCTATATGCTTGGGGCTCTTATTATTATGGGTACCTGTTAAAGAAATTATTTATTTACGGTTTTTTTATGAAATTTTAAGGGAAGGTGCTTCAGATAAAAGTAAATTAAAATTATATGTCATAAAATGTATCGCACATGCAATAAATAAATTTCTTATTTGTGGTTCATTTTTTTCATAGTTGTTAGTTGAATTTTTGTACTGTTAAGTGAATTAAAAACACACGTCCAAAAAATAGATTCTGCATGCGCAGTTCCAAATTCGGAAATTCCAATCAATTCCGAAGATATGCATTTTATATACAGGGTGTCAATTTTAAAACTTGCAGTCGGCCATATTTCCCAAACTAAAGAAGATTTTGAAAATTGCGCAAAACCGTTTCGGGGGTATCGAGGAGGAACCAGAATGACGTTATGAGTAACAACCCCCCACCGCCCCTTAACCCTCCAACCCCCCCCTCTTCAAAAATTCTAAATAAAAAAATAAAAATTAAGCCATGCCTATGTTCAAGATTTGGTCGCTAAATTCGAAGAAACGGGATCTATTATCAATAAAAAAAGAAAGCAACCAAGATTGCTTAATGAAGCAGCTCAGGTTGAAGTTCTTGGCCAATTTGCCATAAATCCCTCAATGTCAACATTTAGTTTTTTTATTAATTGTCTTTACTGAATATTGACTTTATTGGTACCACTGGAAAGCATTTTTCAGTAGTTTTCCAACGATGTGTCACAAGTATGGGGTTGCCATTTCGGATTTTTGAAGAGTTGGGGCTGGGGGGTTAAGGAGGGGTGGGGGGTTGTCACTCATAACGTCATTCTGGTTCCCCCTCGATACTCCCGAAACGGTTTTGCGCAATTTTCAATATCTTCTTTACTTTGGAAAATATGGCCGACTGCAAGTTTTAAAATTGACACCCCGTATATATATGGGCCCTCTGGACCCCTCCTTACCACGGGATGTTTTCCTCTCCCCCAGTGGGTAACCCTACAAACGTCTCAGTATGATTTAAAAGCCAATACGATTATAACACATGGTGACAAGAGTATCCCATCCCTTCCTGCATTTAAGACTCAACTAGAAACTTTATCACTATTTTTTTGGTATAATTTTTAATAAATTGCTTTATCATTAATAAAAAAAAAGCTAAAATCCCCAGCCCAGGATAACTAAAATCCGAGCTAAAAGCCCTCAAAAAAATTTGGAGGGTGATTTACTGTTTAATTTAATTTCGAAGGAAGACAATCACTGTCTTTTAAGCACTAGAGAATTATTTGATCAAATATGCATTTGCAATTATTTTGTATGAACACTACAGATTACTCATGTTTAAACTCTTCCAACCTGGTACCGAAATATTTAATGATAGCTTTGGTTATAGATCAAGGCCACATACTTAAGAAACTATTACAAATTGTTCCAGTGACTGTGGCACACTTGTCATTGAAAACTATTTACATATGTATTTTTGAAGCTTTATGGTAATTATTACGTGATTAAGTCTTGAAATTTAAGCAGTGAGGAATTAAATTTCAGAAGGAATCACAAATTACCCCAAATTTCCTGTTCACAGTTCAGTAAATCTTCTTTGATCGTCTCTCATTATTCCATTAGAGCCTTGAAGGTAAATAAATATTGAGAAATACCAATAATGTTTTTATACTGCACTGTAAATGAAAGTGAATGAGTGATTACTTAATGTACGAATTTCCCTACACACAGAAACACATAATAGACGCAATACTTGCAATTGCTTTGTGGTTATTAAATCTAAGTCCCGACCATATTTTAACGAGCTACTAAATCTGTACTTACCGGAGTAGGACGACTTAGATTTTTCTAATAGTTTGAAGGTAAAAGGTATGTGCACTTTCATCATATTCATTTGAGGAATACGTGGAGGTACTTGATGTAAATTATTCGGAAACACAATATCGTCACCGTGCACTCGAAGTACCATCATGTTTCTTGAGGGCATGTAAAAAATAATCCATATTAGACTTGCAACATTATTGGATGCTGTTAATATTATAAAGGGATTCTTAAATTTGTAACTAACCTGGTAATGAAGAGAACCATGGCACAGAAACATAGTAGTACCGCGAGCACCGAAAAAATATTTGAGAGTTCGGCCACGGACACTAACATTGTTGTTAAGGTCATAATTAATACACTTTATTTAATAACAAAATTGTAGATAATAAAAACGTGTGCGCCACACATGGCGGTAAACAATAAACTGTTTTCAGTTTATAAAACGCTAAATGTTTTGCATTACTTCTCGTTAATTACGTCAACATCAGCTGACCCGTGAGTGTGACACTGACAGCCAGCTGAGCAGCTGCCAACTGCCAGTCGCCGCTTTAACATTTAAAACCACAAGCATGGTTGCCAAGTCAATTTTAAAATTAACATTAGAGGGAAATTTCTGGTTTGTTTGTTTACCGCATTTTTCTGACATGCGCGAGCGCGACAAAAATGATTTCATTATAAAACCACAGTTGTAATAAGAGACGAAACAATATAAGGAATCGAACTCTTTTATTAAAAACTTTTGCTTATTTTCGTTTCCTATTAATATTTCCTAAGACAGATTCGAAAAAGCAATTTCTAAATGACTCAAAAGAGAGAGGAAGAGAAGAGAATTTGTTGTTATATTATTTTATATCCTAGTTTAAATAGATATCGTTTTCAAAGCAACTGTTTTATTTGTTAATCTAATGCAATAAATGGACTGGTACTGTACGTACAAAGACTGTACTTTAAATGAACGTTCAGAGGATGTACAAGTATGTACGTAGATAAACGGTCCATATCGTTGACAAATGGACCTACAGTAGACGTCCATTGTACAAATTCTGTGTATACGCGTACGTTATTACTACTTATGTTGGTTGTATGTACATACAGTGGACGTTTAATGTACGTCTGTGGGCTACGTTGATGGACGTGCAAAATAAAGATATGCGTTATTACACTGTTGGACACAGATGGTCGTGTAATTTATAACTGTTGCGATTTTGTGGTTACGGACAGACTAAGGCATCTTTCGCCCACGTTTCGCTACGGCACTGCTTTTATATTAACCAAAAAAGTAGCACAAGAGCAGCAAACTTGTTTATATATATAAATAAGTACGTTTGGTTGCATTAGTCATTAAACCTCACTGGTTCCCGCGAGTGAAAGGTAATTTAACTTATTGCTTTACAAAAGCCTTATGAATAACTTGGTATTCAAAATATACATACTTGAAGTTTCACGACATCTATGATTTCGACTAAGTTACTTTTAGCAGGTTGGTAAAAGAGAGACAAAATGCACAATCGACCTTAGTTTGTTTTTGTTTATTCAATCAGCTGTTTTTGGCGTGTTCTTAGCGGTGCAAACTTTTGACAACTTCACAATTTTTTCAAATTCAAATATGTCCGCAAAGAAACTACTTTCGGTTGAATTTGAAGTATTCGGACGAGTACAAGGTAAGCTTGCTACTCTCCAACTCATTAATCTAACTAGTATGTTTGTAGGTGTTTTCTTTCGAAAGGTAATATATGTACCTTGATTTGATTCTTCACTTCTTAAATTAAAGGAACATTTTTATTAGTTCACTCAGCAAGAAGCGAAAAAGTTGGGATTAAAGGGATGGTGTATGAATACCGAGAGCGGGACTGTTCAGGGTGTTATGGAAGGAAATGACGATAAGATAAATGAGATGTACGGGTTGAAACCTGTCTGTTTGTCATTGAATTTTTATTTCTAGGAAGAAATGGTTGGAGACTATTGGTAGTCCATTATCAAAAATTGAAAAAACTGATTTCAGAAACCAAAAGGAAATTACTGAGCTTACTTTCAGCAATTTTTCAGTTAAACGATAATTATAACTATAAACATTCTATTTATTGCCATTGTGACGTTATATTTATATCATGCATTACAGTATTTGTAGTTTATTTGTTATATTTCTCTAGCTAGATAGTACCTGTCTGCCAGAATGTTTTAGCACCCGCGGATAGCCTCTTTAAAAGCTCATTAGACACCTTCCAGAACTTTTTGAACCTTATGCAAAGATAGGGTACCTTTGGAAGAACCTTTAGAACGCTTGGATTTATAACATCTACAAAGCTTTAGAAATAACTTTAAGGCTCTGAAGAATCTTTACAAGACTCTAGCAAGGACTCAGCAGAAGAGGCCCAAACAAAAATTCAGAAAGACGTTAGAATAATCTCTGGAAGATTTCAGAATCTTTGGTTTTAACTAGGGTGCCTTCACAGGGTTTTCTAGTAAATTTTTAGGAGTTTGTAACCTTCTTCAACGCCTTTTGGATGCTCTCCATAAACTTGCCAGTACCTTTTAAACAATCTTTTATATCCTTTCCAGAGCTCTGTAGAGCCTGTCACCGCTTGTACTGTATTTTAAGTCTTCTAAAGCTGTTAATTTATATAGACTACTTTAGTAAAAGAGACGACTAGAGGGTGTGGTTTCCAAAGAAGGAGATGTTATCCAAACCAAGAAATGCTTGCCGCCTTGTAAAGCTTCATAATGCATTTTACAGGCACTTTATCGCCTTCCCGCACCTCTTTGGGCCCTTTTATGAGCTGAGCGAAGGGATCTTTTAGTAGAGAACGCTGCGAAGAGCCTAGTTCTTAAACCGGTCGAAAATGTTCAAGAAACATTTGAAAAAGGCCTAAAATGCATTTAGAAATAAAGATCTGGCTGTCATTTAATTTTGAATATTGTTACTTTCACTTCCGTATTTTAATTTTCGTTAGTGTGCGATTTATTCAACTGGAACAAGTTGATATTGTCAATATAATACCGATAACAGCTTAAGGGGCGTAAGACGTAAGAGGTTTATTTTCTGTGAAGCCAAAGCAACAATATTCAAATGAATTAATATGATATTTGTATTAAGAAGTTATTTTGGATGCATAAAATTAGGCGCCCTTTAGAAGTATTTTGTCATTTAAAAGTAGACATACGGAAAAACAATACATTAAAATCCCTATGTCTGCTTCTATAAAATATCACCGTATATAGGTACTATCCCTACGATACCTTGGGTTGTGCAACCCATCATATGCATATTGGAAGTCGCTTGGTCTCTTCGTATTGATTAACGTATTAGGTACGTTAATTAATCAATGATTTAAGCTACTATTAATATCAACCTGCTGTGAAGGTACTTAATTATACATAACTTCGACACATCTCCTAACTTGAGGAATTCAGATACTATAGTAACGGATGATCTTTCTTTTTTTACATAGAAGCACAGAATTACACAATAAATTAAGTAGGGAGACACAATACACGTACCTATACCTTTGAATATTTATATTCAAAGCCTATACCTACATGCGGCAAATTTTCTATAACAGTTAGGCTAAGAAGTGAACTTAAACTTCTTCATGGAGAACATAAAATCTAGCGGCGAAAAAAAACGTGTGTTTATCACAATACCTAGGTACTTTATGGATTCTGCCTGTCAGTGCTCTAATTAATTTTCTTTTAAACAAACGGGAGTCCGGCGATGGGACCAGCTGGAATCTATAGGAAAGATGTGGAAGCCGAAGGGCTGCTCTACAATGGTGAGCACAGTTGATCCAAAAATTAACTTCGTTAAAACGTTACAATTCTTGAAAATTGAACGCAAGTTAAAATTAATTATTGTTCAAATCCCATAGGTATTTATTTTGGTTTGGCATAAATAGGTAAAAAAGGCAAAAATAAAATGGGTAGGTACCTACTTGTAGGTATGTTTTTGATAATGTAGATAAAATGTAGCAGTAGAATTAAAGAATCAAACACATTTATTTCTAGCTCAAAAATACGTAGGTAGGGCCATTCATATGTTACCACAGAACGAGCAAGCGCCAGCGTTAAGTGGCCCATAATTGAAACTATAAAATAATAACATATCAATAAACAACCGGACTAGATTAACGGAAGTTCAATTTACGGGAGTTATCATAGCGTTAACATTTTTAGAAGTTAACTTAAACGTTAATCCATTAACTTGGTTAATTAACGATTAACGAATTAACGAGTTAATGCCCATCTACAGCTCTTCACCCCGTTTTCGTTTCTGAAATGTTTCTTCAGCAAAAATTGGAGGTCCTTACCTATTGATCCTCGTCTATAGACTTACACCGATTTAACATGCCACCACGCATAGGTATTACCTGTATTAGTAGAGAACTATTGAATTAAAGAGTAGGTACCTACCTAGCAGATTAATGTTTTCCTGTTGGGCATAAGACAGTCTAATACGAGTGGTGGCAACTATTACTTACTACCAAAGAATACTACCTACTTACTACAGTAGCTATGCCATTTCGCGATGTGATGATAGTAGAATCGTTAGCATTCTTTCCAAGTGGAAACTCGAGTTTAACATTTATGTATTGGTCTCGGACATATACGTACTTCAAAATGCGTTTTCAGGGAAAAGAGAGAGAGAGAATTGTTACACAACTTCACGAGAAAATTTTCGGTTACTATTCTGGAATATTTTCATACTCACCAAGTCGCCTTCACTGTTAAATCGCCACTGATTGTGATTTGGTGCTTTTAAATTTAAAATCTAGCAAGTGACCAGCCTTCACAATGATTTGTGAAGTCTAATCCATGACAGTAACGTGACATAAATGGTATGGCATAATGATGTGTGCGTTTGTAGTTAAAGCGGTGCAGACATGCCTTAAATGTGCGACGGGGTTGCTGGAGCAGGAACGAGTACGGTAAGTGAAACCCTTTCTGCACGCTAATTGTAAGTTATACCACTCTTTTCAAATGTCACTTGTGGAAACTGTTCAACAGTAGGTACTTACCTATTATACCTATATAGCGAGGGTTGTGCTCAGATAAAATAATTTTGTTCTTGAAGATGGTGTCACTCGCGGCGGTTCATATCTAAAATTACACCCTGACTTTTGTTAATACCTATATAATCGCGGAGACATTGCTTAAACAGTTCCTATTCAGGAAAAATGGTTGACTAAATTCCCTACACAATTTGGGCCCAACTTTAATTTTTTGGGGTCAATAGTTCCCGAGAAAATGCCCCAATAATAGACAATTTTCTTGCAAATTAAGTTTTTGTCGCCTTTTGGGTAAAATATAGGCTCAAATAGTAGGTAATTCCACGGGGAAATCATGACATGAAGATATAGTGCAAGTACCTACCTATTTGGTTTTAAATTAAAACTAACGGGAACGGCAGATGTCCTTTCTTCCACCGAGTTCCGCTCTACTCGGCCTTTTCGGTTTCGCACTTCAGTTTAACTGTTGAAACTGCCTTGATGCTCGAAGGAGTTTTTCAATATGAGTTTTAATCGAAAATCGTTTTTTCTCGACGCAAACTCTACGCAAACAAAAATATCCGAAGGTTAAGATGTTTCTGCAGAATCATTATCACTACATACGCAATTACTACTCAACCGGACGTCCACTGGCAAGAAGCACGCCAGACCTTTAACTCCAGACCATCTCTGGTTATTTGGGCAAAGGAACCCGTGGTTGGACGTTCTAATGTCATTTATCTGGACCATTGTTGCATTAATGGTAGAGCGAGTGTCCTCAAAGATCTCATCTATATTTGCAGAGAACATAACAGTGCCGATAAAATTCTTAACGAGCATGCGTAATCCAGAGCAATGAAAGTTGAGAGCGCTTTCTTGCTTCGTATAGGACGACAAAGTAGAAATGATTGAACATCATTCCTCGATTAAGAACAGAGAAGTCCCTTTTTTTGACTCGGCGGTCCGTTTCTCCTATGCTAACAGCGTTTGTCTCTACCTTCAGGATTTGAGAATAGAGGAACAACCAAAGAACCCTGAAGAGTGAAGAGTTGTTTTCAGTTCGACGCTCGCACAAATGTTGGTTTGGGTTTTAAACTGCCCTGATGATTGTTCAGATGCTAGTACGATCCATGAAGAGTCAGAGTAGCTTGACACACGGGCGAGAAGGACAGGACAGGACTACAATGGTTAATTCATAAAAACAATTGGTTGTCGACTTATCGAGATATTTAACAAAATAACATTTTTTAAATAGCACACCCTGTATATTTGATATATTTTGAAAGAAAACGAAATTCTGAATAAAAATCTTCCAATGTTGCGGCAAATTGGTCCCAGTATTTGCTTCCGAATTGCTAGAAAAATTCGCTGCAAACTTACAGTGTTGCTAAATCCTCAAAAGTTGGGAGATAATGACATACCTGGTGTAATCGTTCATTGGCGAAGAAGGAGTAGTGTAAGTACAACTTACCTTTCCAAAATTGATAAACATTCTACTCAGTTCAATTCCAAATTGTTGCCGAGTGCTGACACTGTTCCTGATTTGCAAAAAAAAACCTGCCCCATGCCATGGACAGCCTCTCGCTTTTATTGCTTGTATTAGATAGACTGGATGAATTTGTAGGTAGGTATGTAGGTACTGATAAACAACCGACATTCATAATAATAGGATGTTGTTAAGTGGTGGACACGAAATTACATTCTAATTGCGCGGAATGTTATTGCAATTTATGTATCCAGTCTACCATGTTTATCCTTTCACAGCATGCGCACAATATTTTATAGCATTCTTGGAAATGTTAAGATTTTGTAAACATTTTCGTCTATTTAAAGAACAATTGTGATAAGTAGTCATAGAAGCCGTATCAAATATCAGTTTTGTGTTAGAATTACGAGCATGTTATTGAACTGTACCTACCCGGCTAAAATGAAGAAGTGAAAGTCTTCCAGTTCTCCATCTGCATCGATTCCATCATCTATAAAGTCACTAAACATTGCTGTTCTCGTGGCAAGAAATTGATAATAGGTACCTACCTACATATATAATAAAAGTGGAATTTCAGTGAATGTGCGATAATCCATGATGTAGGTAATTGAAAGCCGCGCGCAAATTACAGTGAGTAATTTTTATTATTCATTATATAATTAGTTTTCTTATAGTGTAATCAGTGATCACCATGAGATGTTAAGTTGATACAGTCACATATGTAGGTGATAATGATAAAAATAATTATGCACTTTGTACTGTTGCTATTAAAGAATGCTATTAGACGCCAACGCAACTAATTCAAATCTTGTAGCCCATCAAAGGTAGTTGGCAAAAAGAGATTTATATTTAATATTTGTGAAAGGAATTTTTTTAGCGCCTAACTTTCTTCTATTGGTAGATACATAAGTATACAAGAGAATGGTTTTCTTACATTGGGAAACACACCATTAATTCACTGAAATGTTGTTACCCTCTTTACCCTCATGCAATACGTCCCTTTACTAACGTGCGGCAGGTGAGGTAAATGTGCTATTGTTTGAGTTTTGTTCGTTCGTCTGTCCCGACTCACTTAGGGGAATATTGTTCTAGAAGTCTGCAATTTTTGCAATAGGTTGCCTATGCCTTGATGGTGTGCCAGACGGTCTTCAAATTTTGTTGTCTTAATTAAGGGGCCCACCATTAATCATTTCCCGACATGCTGTTTCTGAAAGTAAAACGTGCATAACTCTATCATGGGACAACCAATTTGTCTCAGATTTTGTATTATACGCATTACGCATGCTTCTAGTGGTTCCGTGTAAAATGGGGTTGAGGAGAAGGGGGCTAAACACATGTTCCCTTCATGGTGTTGTAATGAAAGATCTTTGCTGGTACTCTAAAGATCTCAACGAAAGGAACTGTTTTCTACCAGCCACCGCTCTTCTCCCTTCCCCTTATCAAAATTGAGGGGGGAGGTGGCGGGACACGAGTTTATTATTCTTCATGGTACTCTAATGAAAGGTCTCAACGAAAGAAATTGACTTCTACCAACTATCGCTTTCCTCCACGACCTATTTTATGGATCGGTTATAATTCCTTTCCTTTACCATTTTGTAATTGGGGAAGGGGAGCTAAACACTGGTATTACCCTTCAGAGCCGTTCCTACTCTTAACAAGTAACAATAAATAAACATTTCATTCACAAAAAAAGTAGGCATAAAGTATATTATGCAAAAACAGAAAAAGTACAAACTAAAATTTCGCTTTTCTTGCTTTAACAATACCTTGAACCACTTCCTTTAAACTAATATTGTTCATGTGTCACTGTGACGATCCCAAATAATTTTGTTATAACTTTCAATTTTTGAAAGGACCGTTCGCCTGTAGGCACCGAATGATGATAAAGGAAGCTAACGTACGAAGTATCGTGGGTATAATCATATACAGGGTGTTAAATTGAGTGCCGATAATACAGGGTGTGAATCCTCGGGTGACTTTAAGGAGAAAAGTTTATATCAATTATAGGTAGGAACGGCCCTGTTATCCTTCATGGTGTGCTAATGTAAAGTCTCAACAGCAGGAATTAATTCCTACTGTCCTTCTTCCCGAGATAAGTTATAGCTCCTCATATCTCGAGAACAGAGTGTCGGACGAGAGTGTACCCAAAGGCAAAAAGACACGTCTAAATGAGTCATATCGAATATCTCAAGAATGGAATGTCGGAGGAGGGTACTTACAAAAGGCTATTGGAACATCTGGCCAAAGCATATGTACCTATTGGTGAAATCAAAATGAATATCTCGTAAGCCGGCAAAATTGCGGTAACTTTGTTATCATTGGAGCTACCTACGAAATCGTTTAGAACGCGGAAAATGCGTACTTATAGGTATTTGTTCTCAGGATGACAGAGCTCAAATTAGAAAGTAATTGGTCGTCGAGTTATAGAAATATTCAACCAAATAGCATTTTTTAAAAGAAAGACCTGATGTATACACACATATGGAAAGAAGATTATGTGCGCCTATATAATATACTTCGTATCCAGCATTTGCTTGGTTCATCTTTAACCACCCTCTATTTGTGGTGATCCTGTCGTCTCTATGTTGTGTGGTTCAAAATTTGGAAAAACTTTAAAAAACTATCTCTTCCGGTTTCACTATAAGCATTCGTGACAATCAAATATTTATTCACTGCTTAATTATCATACATATAAAGTACTAAAAATATACATTTGTTATCTGTACACATTGACACGTCAATCAACCATGACATTATAAACCAATTCTGTACTAATTAAGAAGCTTGAAATTCGAAGTTCAATACAAGTGTTGATTGCAATTTTTAAAACATGACCTATAATATAACGGTTCTATATTGCAAGAAGTTGTTACTATAGGTAGGTACTTAGTTTTTATTATATGTCGTTTTAAGAATGTTTTTTAGAAACGTTGATTTTAACCAAAAGATATCAAAATCGTAGACACTTTATCGAAAAAAGAAAATGTTTGATTGACTTTCGCCAAGTGTCATATTTTTTTAAACTATATTTCATTAATTGTTTTTAATGTCTTGGTAGAATCCCATTATGACGATGAGCTGACGTGTTTGACCTGTAACTAAAAGTCTTCTTGGTGCGTTAATTACATGTATTCGGTTAAACACGTCAGCTCATCGTTATATGTATTAATATATTTATTAATTATAATCCAGTGTATATCATTATGCGCTAGTATAACATAATATTCTATTTGTTGTACTTCTGCAATCATCAACGTAGAACGATAGTGGGAACTGTTACACAACACCTTTTGCATTGTCAATCACCCAAGAATCAAGATATCAACGTTTAGTACCTACTTGCCTAGTTACTTGATGCGATTGTGTTAGTTTAATAAAAATAGAGCTGTAAAATAATATGGTACGCGTAGTGGTAGTAAAAGTCATACTAAGTATATGATCTTCGGTCGTAGTATAACAGAATGGTGTCGATGCAATTCTATATACAATTGACACCAGTGAGAATTTTGAATTTTTCTCACATAACGCATCGAAATAATATTGTTAACATGTTTACTTAACTTTGTTATTCGATTGAATGAAACCACGATATCTTATCTGTAAGGTATTTCAACCTCTAATCCCACATTATTATGTGGTGGGAATGGTGTACTTAGTTTAAATTTAATTTTTATTCAGTAAAATGTGATCGTTACTCGGTAGTACGTAGCATACCATGTGAAACATGAACTGATGCCCGAAAATTTGTGGATTAGTTTGGAGCGGAGCGCTACCGGAAAATGATGACCAAAAAAGTAATATTGTAATTTATCTATTTTTATTATTTGTGCGAACTAATATATTCGTGGGGTTGTTACCATGTCAAGCTTGTGCAATAAATATCTTGTAGTCACTCATGCATGTTTACGGTTAATAAAACTCGCGATAGGTGTGTTTAACGTTGCTCGGTTGCGGGTTGCGGGACTACTGCAAACACATTGTGCAATGCCTTTTATTGTCGTTTGTAATTGAAACGACCTACATACACTAGGTACCAACATTTATCTGTTTGGGAATGCACAAAAACCCATAAAAAATCGCACATAATCATCCTATCATACATGCTTTACAAACAGACGTGCTTGCTCTTGGAAGTGATCGATGATTGGTGGTGCTAGCGTTAATATAATATATATTTATAAAATGTGTAAATTAAATAATAGTCCAGGAAATAGAGACTGAAAATGGACCATTTCCTGCAAAACGAGAAGTAGTCCAATTTTTTTTGCATGTCGTGGAAGAATATCTGGTACTACCCCGTACTACCCTTAAAACGAAAGAAATATCTTCACTAGCGAAGGTTGCAAGTTTAATTATTATGTATCCCCTTTCGTAAGAGTGCAGGGTAGGGTGATTTATACCACAATACATTCATTTTCTCCTAAAACTCATAAAACATAAATTATAAAGTATAAAATTGGGTTAAAACATCTACACAGAAATTTCAGAATTCTTAAAAATAGAACCAACTCTCAAGCTCTACATCTTATTTAATGAACATATGAAACCAACCAAATTTCAGGGGTTTTGGGGGTGGTACGGGGGAAGCACAAGGGGAGAAGGTCGAAAACTTATAGATTCTTAACCACCAAATGACTATGACATGCAAAATAAATCGGAACTTCTCATTTTGCAAGCCCTCTATTCCCTGGACTACAAGTATCATTTTGACGACTAATATGCGTAAACTGCGAAATGCGAATTTTATGCTACTGAACTAGTTTCCGGAAAATCAATAGCGGCCTAACTTAATAGCCAAAGTACACGTACACCAAATTTCAACACGATCGGCCATTTTTAAAAAAAGTTATAGCGCCCACGGACGAGCGGACGGACGGACAAAAATTAAGTTACCAAAAGTATCTGGAGATCTTAACTAACACTACTTACAGTTATAGCAAACGCAGGTCAACGGGTGGAAAAAAGGACAGACAACCATACAAAACTATAAAGGATCTGAGGATCCTTAATAAAGTGCGCAAATACGACGGTTTGTCCGTCCATCCGTTCATGTGAGAAACAAGATCTCTGTTATCTACATCCAAATATTAAAACTTCTTTAATTACGTCTTTCCTAGACGGGACCAGTGTCAAAATTCAAGTTTGTAAAGTGTGCATCTAACCCTAACGGATGTTATCATGACTTGATCGGAGGCTGTTAATGCAACACATTCAACTAATTACCTACGGTTAATTGTACTTATCCAAAAGTTGGAATGAAATCTACAATTTCGGCAGTCCAGCACGCTTTTTGTTCCTTGGAATGTGAGGTCAAGTTGCGAAGTCTGTTATCACGTTGTTATTTTGCCTAAACTACTTAACATATGTTCCATGCAGTCAGTTTACACAGATAAATTATTTATTAAGCGCACTAAAAAGGCCAAACGGATTCAATGTTACCATCCCGAAACTGGGAAATTTCACTTTCGAATTTGGATTTTGAAATAATCAAATATCAATAAAACTTTACTTGCTAATTTTGTTCCAGATGGATAATGGCGGCTTCTACAGAAATTCAGAGGAAGGAACCGAGTTAGGATTTGTTAGAAATCCAGAAGCGATGAGCGTTCCAAATAACGGGAATTCCGCATTGTACGAACCCTCAACCTCCTGTAACACCCAAGTTTGTCAGTCGACAAGAAACAAATTCCCACTGCCGAATTTATCAAGCAGCCCCTGGAACAGGTGCAAAACTATAGCCTTAATCGTAATGGTAACTCTTTTTGTACTCTGGATAATAATATACGCAGTTCTGAATCAAATGAACCTTATGTAAAGTTACTTTGTTAAGTTTATTGTATATTTTTAAGGTTGTCTATACGTATTGTATTACAAAGGTTTTATCTATAGTACCTAGCTTACGTATGAATTTGTTTTAGTTAGGTATTTATCTTTTTATTGTTGATATTTTTAACAACAAAATCATGGCAGGGCTTCCATTTAGACTGCGTTGTAGATTATATACGAATTGATAAGCAATTAAATGTTACCCATATTTATATTGATAAGCAAATTCACGACTGTGATACCTAGTTATAGGTTTAAACTGTAGCTAAGGATGTGATACAAGTATAACAACTATTTTTATCAAATACCACTCCCAAGTCTCTTCTGATTTTTTCACTATAGCTATATATTTCAATTGGAACATTTGCAAAACACTGGTTTTCATATCTTCAACCACAATGAGAATCATTGAATAAGAATTCTTTACGAAGGGGTAGAAGTAGAAGAGCCGCATAAATATTGTTTTAGAATTCCCAATTCTGAATTAAACCCGTAATTTGCAATCCTTGATACCAGTTTTCGTACAATATTTAAGCATTCGGAATGTGGCCATGCCTGCCATTCGCTATTTGAAATTGCGATTTTGAAGTACACTTCTTCAATTCTAAAGTTATTTGTTTTTCGGATTTAATAACTTTCTTAAGATTCATCATCAGGAGAGTTGTTCAGTGCACTCCCGTCATATTTCTGGCATTGTATTTACATCATTAAAACTTGCCAAATGTTCCGGAGGCATTGCGAAATTTTTTCTTTCAATTTCATATTTAAAGAGCGAAAAAATCAATAAGCCAGATCATTTAGTGGGGTCTTACACTTTGCCAGAGGTGCCTTCAAAGTTTCAAAAAAATGTATACCTACTGGCCGGAAAGCCCAACAAAGGCGGTTTTGCTTTTTCCACTTTATGAATGATATCAGAACGTTAAATTATTAGCGTTGCCTGGCAACAGAAACGCCTAACAAAAAACAAGCTATCGATTTCACGAGTAATCTAACTCAAAAACTAGAAGCTGCACATCTACACTATAGCAGAAAGCTTTTAGTGAAAATTTAAAGCTATTGAAATTTCTGAGATCTTAGAGGGACAGCCAGCCAGCCATAACGAATACCAGGCGATCAAAAATGAGTTGATATAGAGTCGCTTGGAAGTTCAAGTTAAATACGATTTCCCATGTAAACAAATTCCAAAGGCGACTCGACAGCAACTTATTTTTCATCGCATAGTACTTATAGTGATTTTTTTTTAATAAAAGCTGTAACATCCCTAGTCAACATTTTATTGTTTTTCAATTATTGCCCAACTTTCGCCGGGCATTCAAAAAATTATTCATATACTTTGTTTCACTGGTGCTGAACCTGACGTCATAAATGTGATTCTCACTTCATTACATTTAAATCGATTGAGACAAAAAAATTACGTCATTAACGTAAGTCGTGACAAATAAACCAATTGATCTGTCATAATATCAATCCGTCAAATGATTTTCGTTATAGACAGATTTCCAGTGTTAAATGCCTTTTGATTAAGTAGTTTGTGTTAAAAGTGAAGTAAATATCATCAAAGTTAAAAACGCTTAGGCAAGTCGACAGTGCAGCAACGCCGTTAATAGACAGGTATTAAAAATATTATATAATGGTTCGATTCGCTCATATCATGAATTTAGGTCATTCCCGTTACCATTAGGTAAATATGACGAACCGATACACAGAATGAAGAGGTTCGCTAGAACACTTAGGTATTGAATTGATTTTATAGGTGAGAATGTTACACTCCGTTCCTTACACAGTAATCTTCAACGACTTGATTTATGTTGGATAGCAACAGGATAAATAGGAACGTCAGATATAAAACTTGTCAGTGTATTGAACCATTATCATTATAGCAAGTATACAACAAATTGGCGACGAGGATTATTGGTGTAGCACTTCGCATTACAGTTGCAGATATTTTTTTCGAATTAAATTTACACGAAAGAAAACATGGCATCGGAAAAAGTTTATGAAGCATTAGTGGATCTCTTGCATCAACAAGATCGTAGACTTCAACTGTTGGAGCACACATTGAAGGAAACCGTATCTACCAATCCATCATCAGTGTCCAACAGTAGTGAATTGATCATCGAGGCTTTGGCAAACAGCATAAAGGAATTTTCATACGATCCAGAAGACCACAACACGTTTGACAAGTGGTACAATCGATATGAAGACACCTTTATCGCAGCCAAGACTCAAATCAATGAGGATGCACAAATCAGACTTCTGTTGCGGAAACTCGATCATCCATCTCATACAAAATATGTCAACTATATACTGCCCCGTACAGTGAAAGATTTCAACTTCGAAGAGACCGTGAAGAAACTCAAGGCGATATTATGTCCACAGACATCAATTTTCAACCGACGTTTCAATTGTCTTCAAATGAAGAAGAAAGATTCAGACGATTTTGTAACATATGCAGGGAAAGTGAATCGAAACATAGAAGACTTCATTTTCTCCGAGCTGGGTGTCGAACAATTTAAATGTTTAATCTTTATATCAGGACTTCAATCACACAAGGACAGTGACATCCGTGCTAGATTATTACGTAGATTAGATACTCACACTACCGAAAATCCTATTGAGCTACATCATTTGGTTCAGGAGTGCCAGAAGATGATTGCATTGAAACAAGATACGGCACTGGTAGAAAACAAAAATCCAGTTGTCTCTAAGGTAGAATACAAGAAACATCCGCATCCACGTAATAACAATAAGCAACCAACTGCGACGGATTTACCGAAATATCCATGTTGGAAATGTGGTGGAATGCATTTTGTGAAATCGTGTGAATTTATCAAACACACATGCACGGATTGTAAGGGTGTAGGCCATAAGGAAGGTTATTGCAAGAGCGGTAAACAGAACAATTCTCAGCAGGGGTATAAATCGAATCCCAAAGCAGGGAAAGGCAAATCTGTCGCTCAAACCAAACACGTAAGCATTCCCAATGTTCATAAAGTGAATTTCCAACATAAAAGAAAGTATGCTACCGTACATATTAATGGTAAAATGACGAAGCTTCAATTGGATACCGCATCAGATATCACCATTATATCATCAGATATTTGGAAACAAATTGATGTACCAATAACTGAACACACGTCATTTCAAGCGAAAAATGCATCAGGAGATCCTCTAGAGATAATTGGCAGTTTCTATTGTGACATAACTCTCAACGAGATCACAAAGAAAGGCAAATGCTATGTCACTTCTATTCCTGAACTCAATTTGCTTGGTATCGATTGGATGGATTTATTCGATCTCTGGTCTCAGCCATTAAATACTGTATGCAGTGCGGTAACAACAGATGAGGAAGTTCCTCATGAGTATATCAACATATTGGCTCAACAGTTCCCAGACGTATTTTCAAAGCAGCTTGGCCTCTGCACAAAAACCAAAGTTAAATTACATGTCCTGCCAAGAACAAAGCCAACTTACATATCTAAACGACCTGTATCTTATTCAGCATTGCCATTAGTAGATCAGGAATTAAAACGTTTAGAAGAAATGAACATCATTGAAAAGGTGGAATATTCACTCTGGGCGACACCGATTGTCGTTGTACACAAATCAAATGGAAAAATCCGAATATGTGCAGATTATTCCACGGGCTTAAATACAGCACTCCAACCTAATAGTCATCCACTGCCACTTCCAGAAGACATATTCGCATCATTAACCGGAAACAAATATTTCTCCGTTATTGACTTGTCGGAAGCGTATTTTCAATTGGCTGTAGATGAAGAATCGCAAGAACTTCTTACCATTAATACACATCGCGGCCTATACAAATTTAAAAGGTTACCTTTTGGAGTCAAAACAGCGCCTGGTGTTTTTCAAAATATTATTGACGCAATGATTGGTGATTTACCATTCGTCCAATCATATTTAGACGATTTAATTATCTTCAGTAAAAATGTTACTGACCATAAATATCATCTAACAAAAATAATGAGCAGAATCCAACAATATGGATTCACTCTTCAAACACAGAAGTGTCAACTGTTCACATCGGAAGTAAAATTTCTAGGTCAAATTATCAGTGAACACGGTTTGAAACCAGACCCCAATAAGATTGACTGCATCAGAAGAATGCCTATACCTACCAACATCAGTGAGCTACGTTCATTTCTGGGTGCTATAAATTTTTATGGTAAATTTATTCATAAAATGAGCCAACTCAGAGGCCCACTTGACGTTCTACTCAAGAAGAACACTACATGGTATTGGACTCCGGATCAACAATCGGCATTCGATAAACTGAAGGAAGTATTACAGAGTGATCTTCTACTCACTCACTATGATCCGTTACTTCCAATAATAGTTGCAGCAGATGCCAGCAATCAAGGGATTGGTGCTGTGATTATGCACGAACTCCCCAACAAGAGTCGAAAAGCAATATTTCATTCTTCTCGTACACTGACAGAAACTGAGAAGAAATACAGCCAAATTGAAAAAGAAGCACTTGGTCTCATTTATGCAGTTACCAAATTTCACAAATACATATTTGGTCGTCATTTCACATTGGAGACTGATCACAAGCCGCTTCTACATATCTTTGGAAATAAGAAGGGTATACCGATCTACACTGCAAATAGATTACAGAGATGGGCGTGTACGTTACTTCTTTACGATTTCGACATAACATACATTAATACTGATTCATTTGGCTATGCAGATTTTTTATCACGACTCATCGATTCTCAACCAAGATCTGAAGAAGATTCCGTCATCGCTTCAGTATACACAGAAATCGTTATCAACAGCATTCAGACGAATACTGTCACTTACCTTCCAGTGTTATTCAATGAAATCGAACAGGAATCCAAAAATGATTCTAATATCACGACAGTCATTGAATACATGAGTTCGGGCTGGCCATCTAACAAGAAGGAAATTAGTACTGACCTTCTACCATTTTTTAATAGGAGAGACGAATTATCCGTAGTTCGTAACACCTTAATGCTTGGAGAAAGAGTGGTGATTCCTACTTCACTCAGGACCAGAGTCTTGAAACACATTCACAAGGGTCATCCAGGAATAGAACGATCCAAAGCACTAGCCCGCAGTTACGTTTATTATCCAGGAATTGATAAGGATATAGAGAGGTTAGTTAAAGAATGTACTAAGTGCATGGAGACCCGTACATTACCTCATAAGACTAATCTCAAATCATGGCCTGTTCCACAAAATGTATGGGAACGTATACATATAGATTATGCAGGACCACTGCATGACAAAATTTTCTTTCTCATCGTGGACGCTAAAAGTAAATGGCCTGAAATATTCATTCCTTCAAATTCCACTACTACAAGTACTATTGCATGTATGAAAGATGCATTTTCGAGATTTGGAATACCAAAAACGGTCGTTTCAGATAACGGATCGCAGTTCAGCAGCCATCAGTTCCAAGAATTTTGCAAATTACATGGCATTGAACACATAAAGACACCTGCTTATCATCCACAATGCAACGGTCAGGCTGAGAGATTCGTAGATACTTTTAAAAGAGCGATCAAACGTATTAATGATGGAGAGGGGGTCGTAAATGCTTTAAACACCTTCTTAACCACTTACCGCTACATTCCAAATAAAACACTCGATGGAAAATCGCCCGCCGAACTTATGTTGGGACGAAAACCAAGGAACATATTGGACCTCATGAAATACTCAAACACATGTGGTATAAAGGATCAACATAAGATTGAACAAGAAAGGCAATTTAACAAGCGACATGGAGCTAAATCGCGCTCATTCGTTAAAGGTGAATTTGTATATGTGAAACGTCATATTGGTAATCATTGGAGATGGTATCCAGGTACGATCGTTGAACAGATCGGTTCCGTTTTGTACAACGTCTCGCTTGATGGTGAATGGAATCAACCACAAGTCCGGGTTCATACAAATCAACTAATTCATCGATCATCGACAAAAGATAGCCCACCAGATGACGTTCACTCCAAACTTCCATTGGATATTCTACTCGAGGAATTCGATAATATATCCGAACCAGAACAAGAAACATTTCTTACACCAGTATCACCAATTAGGGATGTTTCTGAAAATGTTAACCCTTCTATTATCATGCCACATCCAGTAGCCACTGTACCCAGACCAACTAGAATTCGTGAAGCCCCAGGGTATCTCAGCGACTATGTGCTTTTCTAAGAAAAGGGGGTGTTGAATAGCAACAGGATAAATAGGAACGTCAGATATAAAACTTGTCAGTGTATTGAACCATTATCATTATAGCACGTATCACAATTTAGACGAAACCTGGATATACAGTATACAGTAAAGGGTCTTTTAGAAGAAGCTGGCAAGATGGTACTCTCAAAACAGTTAGAAAAAGAAGTGAGTGAAGGGGTCCGGTATATACCTACTACTCCATGCAGGATCAGAAGATGGATTTGTGGTGTAGTGTCGTTTTTTCTTATGTACATACGATTTGAATATGAACATTTGAGAGTTTTTTCAGGAATAAATATCATCACTACCTGTTTTCTCTCACAATTGCGTTTTTTTAAAATAAATCGGATCAGAAGATATTCAAGATCCTTATGCGAATATCTCGACTGTGTGGCAAAAGAACAGAAACTGTATGTATGCGTTGTTATTTCAATGAGCCAGTGGTATAATGACTACGCTTTATCTCAAATTTGTAAGATGTATAAATGCGAAAGGCTTACCGATAAACCATGGCCTATTCTACTTCTGCAAATGGCTAGTTAAGGGTCATTAAAATTCGCGCAACTTAACGCGTATTCTTCACATTGGTAGCATACTTAATTTCACATCAACATTATGTAAACAAAATATTAATTTACGAACTGCCTAAACAAACTTTAAGTTACAAATGTTCCTATGCGTTTTCTGTAACCATCATACACTTCATCTCAAAGAGTTTCGGATGCTCTGGCAGTATCCATTTCGATTGTCGGTGCAAAGAATCGGTTACGTGAGGTGATTACAAACGGTGGAAAAGGTTTAATTCATACCAACGCACTTCCTCTACATAAAATACATGACCATTTACCCATTATAAAACCTAAGAACAGGAAAAAACCTATCAGGACCAGATGCCTTATAAGTGATTGTCAACTTGGGCGGTCTAATCATGATGAACGATAGTGACACCTTAATAAATAAGTTGAAACGTCAATGTGACAATATGTAAACCAACTACTAATTTACGCCCTGCCTTAATTTTGCTATGACGTCAGATAGTGTGACGAAAGGTTCAGCACCCTTGAAACAAAGTATAAACTCATTTGAGTTGTACCTCTCCACGGAAATCTTTAGTAAAAGGCGAAAGATTTATTCGCAATTGAAGAGAAACCAGAGTACTGAATCAGGGTACATCGAAAGAATATCTTGAGAAGGTGAAACGTTACTACATACAAATTTTTTTAGTATTGCCATCTATAGGCCTTACATGAAATGAGTACTTTACAACAAAATTTGATAAATACGGATTTGTTTAGCTTTAATTCATGAAAAACATCAATATATTAGAACTTAGAGCTACCTTAATCAATTTAAATTCATAATACCAAAGAGTATATAACGTAAAAACTCTTCTTCTTCTTCTTCTTGGAGTCCACAATCCTTGGGTTGGCTGGACGCAGTCCTCCATCCTTTCCAATTCTGCGCTTTTCACTTCTACATAACTACCCTTGCCTACGTCCCTAACTATTTGGTGTATGTATTTATGCCTCTGTCGTCCTACCCTTCTCTTGACCTCTACTCTACCTTCTATAGCTAGCTGTACTAATACTCTGATAATAATAAAAGGTACTTAATTTGACTAGAAATAGACATCGCATCGGATCACGATCTCTTTGTCACACTTCTTTTTAAGATGGCAATGCATCAATTAGCCTAAATAAACTCAGAAAACAATTCCACATTTAGGCATCTTTTAAATAATTTATTTAAACAAATTCAATGTAGTTGAAGACTGAAGAGGCATGAAACAAAATCGGAGGCACCTCGATGTCCATGGTATACCATACCATATACCAGTTAAGCCTTTATGTACCCATCCATATACTTTTTGGTACTACATAATCAGCCCTATGATATATGAGAAACGTCAATTGAATTTATATAAATTCAATAGTGTTGTAGGTTATCTGCCAAAATTTGCGTTATAAATTGTATAGACAAAATTACGTTTCTGACAAACAACTTGCACATGTTAGTGATACATCACAGAGCTGATTTTATCTCTGTACGTATGTAAATCGTGTGTAGCAAATTATCCGCGTTAAAAATATTCAGGACAGATTTTTAGCTGTACAAAGAGATAGCTGATCTTACACACTCATACAAAAGAACGATACGACACGCACAATAGCTTGGGTACATAATATTGTATAAGCTAAACATAGATTTACACTTTACAATTACAAATGTATGTGTATTATGTGATGAATTATCTATGTTTGTATTTAATTAAAACCGGGACAGCGCGTACGCAGTCCCGACTACCAAAAATTACGCGCCCGAGTTATCCGCATTAGGGATAATCGCAGGAGTCAGCCCAATCGTAGTGCAATGAGAAGGCCTCTTCCTGGGGGAACCGCCTTATTGATCACGGTAACCCCTACGCCAGGTAAGTATGCTTTCTTCGCGTTTTCGACAACCTCATATTCAACACTCAACATAAGATCAAGTGTCTAAGTTGTTGGTGGCGCCACTACTTATTCAACTTAGTCAACTAACATAATTATCTACAACTGGTTCAGAAGATTGACACTTTAATTACGATATCTGTAACTTATGTGTAACTACAGTTCACGCGACACTATAACATGTTTTTGATTCTTGTATACCGACGCGTAGAACAAAAAAGAATTCTAATCCGACTTTTGTAGCAATTAACGTGAAGTCGTGAACGGTCTATTTTCACAATAAATATGAATTTCGGTTTTATCAACGTAGGGGTAGCTACATTCAGTTCTCATATATATATTAAGAAATATTGATTTTCGTTTCAGAGTCGGTTTCAGTTATTATTGCAAAGTAGTAAAGTCGCTGAATGAATTTTCATTCAACCATAAAATATTTTTTGTTACACTCATTCCTTGTGAGTCCAACAGATGGCAACATTACAAAAACTTACACGTGTTAACGTTGCACTTTTGTAAGATAATATTTCGTGTAACCCGGATTCGTTACTCTGGTTTCTCTTCAAATGCGAATAAATCTTTCGCCTTTTACTAAAGATTTCCGTGGAGAGGAGCAACTCAAATGAGTTTATAAACAATTTTTTTAATGCCCGACGAAAGTTGGGCAATACTTAAACTAAACTAAAATTTGAGTAGGAATGTTATATATAGTCACATACGTTTCTACTAAATGTCGTTGTTTGCGATTTACTAGTTTTGTTCTTAGCTGTTTGCTTATTTTGGCGTTTATGGTACTGAGCGTGAGCGCAGAAGAAAACTAATAATTTATTCATAAACTACAGTGGCCTTTTCAGATGCTTATAATGACCTAATAGGCTGACTTATTAATGCGTTTTATGTTGTAAACTTATGTTTTAGACAATAAAATATCTCATTGCACTAGTTTTGTAGTTACAAATTCAATGTTTCCGATCCAATCCCATTACAATTCAACAAAATTGTAAGCATTTTGAGTGGGATTTATTGCAAACAGGCTGACATGTTTACTTTCTGCCATGGCAATATAAATTCTATCCCTCGATTGCCTCATTTTTCCCATGTCCCATCACTCAATAAACCAAACAACAACCTACCGCTATTGCATTCGCAATATTCTCAACACCATCACCTCGGACCTCCCAAAAGCCAAAAACAACTCTACAACTCCATCCTTTAGCAAAACCTATAAACCCAATTCAAACACTGGAATTGCAGTACAATTTTACTATGGTAAACAATTTACATCGCTTCAGATCGACCCGTGGTCGACTGTTGTATCCATGCGACGTACGACGCAATGGCAGTAAAAACATCCGGATAGCCTTTGGCGCAGGGTATACCCCAGGAGACGACTCCCACTTGCAAATTGTTGTATACTAAAGGACCGCCGGAGTCTCCCTGGCATGCGCCTTTGCCGACACCCCCGCTAGTGCAAACGTGATTATCGGAAATTGAATGTCCGGATAGTGAAGCTTTGCATTGGGCGATGCTGATTGCCGTTAATTGAACGGTTTGTAGACTATTTGGGATGGTGTCAGAGGGGTACCTTGTCAGACCCCATCCGGTTAGTGTCAAAACCATTCCGGCCGGTGGGCGATCCGCCGATAGAGTGACGGATTTTACAGTCGGACCAAACACAATTTTGCTGGAGACGCGTAGTAGTGCGATGTCGTTAGCATGAGTTTTAGTGTTGTAAGAAGGATGTGAGATTATTTCCAAAACCCCATATCGAGAGCCCCCCGCGTTGAGGGTGACTGTACCAACGATCACCATGATGGATGGAGCACTCTGCCTGCAATTCCTTTGTGTATCAGAGACGCGTGCAAAAACAACTTACCCAGTAAGACAGTGAGCGGCAGTCAAAATCCATTGCTCGCCAATAATTGAACCTCCACAGAAATGTTGGTTGCTCTTGCTCCTTAAAGAAACTTGGTACGGGCAAGACGAAATATCCGCAAGGGTACCTCCGAGAACTTTTTCGGATGGCGCTCCATCAAGTGGGAGCACTACAACAAATTGGCAAAATACGAATGAAAATTTAAAAACTCACCACATAGAACGATTTGCACTACAAAAGATATTATTTTCATCTCGGAGAACAGTTTTGTTCATCTCGATTTTCCTACGGTGTTTTATACAAACTCCCAAGGAGACGGCAATGTTAAACTGGACTATCAAAACATTTTTTTCCAATGCTCCACTTCTAATGTAAATTCGTCCAAGGTTTGCACAACGCATCTGATATGAGTATGTATTTGCCCATCATAATATTTGATTAGTGAGTACCTTACTCTAATTTCGCTTTACCCTCGGTGTCACTTCGAATTTCAAAATAAGTGACTCTTTGATTTAATTAGTTTTGTATCAATTATGGACAGCAGGGGGTGTAAAAAATTTCCCTGAGTATGTTGAATGTATAAATTCGTTTAGGTACTTTGTAACTGATAATTAGTGTTTACCAATCCAATGTAATTAGTTCGCAACGCGCCTTCGAAAATATCCAATTATTTTCAATACCTATTTCAATTATTAATTGTAAACAACAATAAAACAAAGTTTCGACAGGACCACGTGAAGCAAAAAAAAATTAACAATGAGAAATAACACCACTCGCGGTTTAAAAATCATTTACCCTGCACGCAGTCCTATAAGCGACCTAGCCCATAACTTGATTTAATTATTTGGTGCTATGGCAATGGGCCGCAAGACTTTAGGACGCAGACATTAGGACGCGGACATTATAGGATGCAGACATTGGGACGCGGACATTAGGACGCGGACACGGGGACGCAGACACTAGGACGCGGGCATTAGGACGCAGACATTGGGATGCGGATATGGGGTTGTTGACAATAGAACGCAAACATCATGCAGGTTACCTTACAAAGCAGACATTAGGTTGCAGGTAAGACAATAAAAGGTAGAATGAAATTAAACCAATGTTATTTTACTTATTTTATCTGTGTAAAAAGGTTTTAATGTCAATTTATTACACCCTTTGATTCCTCCTTACAAATAATCCGTGTAAAAGTAAAAACTGTTTTTCTTTAATTACCTTACTGCTTTTCATTCAAAAAGGCACAGGTAACTGCCTATTTTTCCTCTCCCTTCGCGACACTAACGCGGACCCCTCCTGATACGCGAAAAACAAGGGGGTCCTGGGGGGGGAATGCGTGGACGTGACCCAGACGCGTCGCCGGGCCCCCGTCCGCGTCCCAATCTCCGCGTCCTAATGTCCGCGTCCTAGTGTCTACGTCCAAATGTCCGCGTCCCAATGTTGGCGGCCTAATGTCTGCGGTGTATTCCCTTTGCGGTCCAATGTCCGCGTCCTAATGTCTGGCGGCCTAATGCCCGGTCCCGTAATTATGTATATTCGAAAATCTGCATTATTTTTAAATGTACAATGAACGTGAAAACTTAATCTGACAACTTATTTAACAAATACAAGCAAAGATAATTAAATCTGTGATAATACGTATACAAATGTATGCACATTTATTAGGTACATAATGGTATGCAGTTTGTAATGAAAGCGTCCTCTGTGTAGATGGCGACAGTGATTAATCATAGTTACAGAAGTTAAATAAGTGGTGACGCCACTAACACTTTTTCCACAAAATATGTTAGTGACCGCTGGATATGTACCTAACGGAAACTGCAAGAAAGCATACTTACCTGGCGTAGGGGCTACCGTGATCAACAAGGCGGTTCCCCCAGGAAGAGGCCCTTTTATTGCACCACGATCGGGCTGACCCCTGCGATTATCCCTAATGTGGATAATTCGGGCGCATAATTTTTGGTAGTCGGGACTGCGTACGCGCTGTCCCGGTTTTATTTAATACAATACCAGCTGTTTACTTCTATCTTAATTATTATTGGGGGGTGGCGCGCGTGTCATCTGGGTGGCATCCCACCCCCCATAATGATTGCAAAAACCGCGCAGTGCACTCAGTTACTGTTGTTAGGGGCGCACTCTAAAGTTTTGCATGTAAATTGCAACGAGTGAGCAAACATTTTTTCAGATTTCATTCAGTTGGCCGTCAAAAAGATAAACGTGTCGGTCATGTACGAAAGCGTGTAGGTGCCATGAAGAAAATTTATTTTACTGTTCCTGCGATCCCTATAGTTTTTTCTTGCAATTTGTTAGTTGTTTCTCGATATCACTAGTGCATGACATAAAAGTATCAATTGCAACAAAAAAACTAGCAATAGTAAGAAAAAAAATGTGCCAAATTCTTGACAGAAAAGCTTCCTAGCTCAGACCAAAAATCGCTCTTCACCGTTTAACGTCTTCGCACGCTTTTTTTAACTTTTGTTTGTGTTTATTACTAACAACTACACTGATATTTTAGCATAGGTATTTATGTTTCATTAAGTTGTTTGCATTAAAATCAAAAAGAATGCAACGACCGAACTTCTGCAACCGCCCATCCTAGATATTAACCGCGCACTAAGTTGCTATAGATCATTTTTTAACTTTGACATTTTTTATACTTACGCTTATTTATAATAAAACGTAGCATAATTTTGTTGTACCTACACAAATAAGAGTCTTTCGAATAATTAAATAAAAATATTGTTGTTATTTGAAAAAAGTTGTATGACGTCACGGCGCTAAAATCTTAGATATTAAAAAAATGTTTTAACAGTTTTACATCCTTTATAATGCCACAGACATGTATATCTGTGATAATGCCTAATATATCGTACATTCGCAAAATTTTAACGAAATCATAATAACCGTTTTGGCGAAAATTTTTTAAAGTTTTTTTTAACTTTGACATTTTTTTTCTCAATTTGTTTGTAATGAAACCTGGCACAATTCTTATAAGTTGTACCTACACAGACAAATAAGGTCCTTTGAATAACATAAAAATTTGAAGTTGCTATTTGAAAAAAAAAGTTCGATGCCGTTGGGGCGTTACAAAATAACTAACAACGTTACCGGCTCGGCCGATCAGGTATAGGCAGTGATCTAATAGAGGTCAGTGGGTGTAGGTAGGTAGATCCCGCCATTTTGTTCCAATATGGCGGAATGTGAGTAAGTATTCACAAGCTTGACCGAGATATTGATGAATTACACCAACCCTTAAAGTTTGGTGGAAATCGGTTCGTAATTACGAAAGTTAGAGTGTTTCTTGGATGTGTGTGGAAGTATATAAACCTATAAATAAACTGGTACCTTACAATAGGTAAATTCTACCTATAAAAGCATTACAATACTATGTTTTTTTTAATAATTTGTTCCTAGTATTTATTCTAGTTCGAATTTAATATTCATAGCTAAACACAGGACATGACATTGGCACGGTATACGCGAAATAGCACAGTGCGACATCAACGAAAAAAGAATTTTTAAAAAGATCATATAATCCGATCGGGGCCAATTGTGAATCTAAACCATCCGGGGACACGTAGAGAGCTAGAGACACAAATTTTATCTATAAAGATTATAAATTTTTACGATTAACCTTATTTGAAACTATGATGTGGTTTTGCCCATTCATCAACAATATCTAATACTTTTATAAACTGCAATAATTATAAAATAAACAAACAGGCGAGCAAAACGGTAAATAATGTCTATTTGTTTCGGTCCAATACAAATGCCGTTGGGATCGTAGTTGTTAAGATAAAAATCTATAGTAGCGAGACAGTTGTAGGGACGGACAGACGAACGGACAAAGTAGCCACAAAATAGCGCATTTTTTTTAAATGTTTGTGGAAATGCACTAAAGATACGTTATATGTTTAGGTAGTATTCCTACATGCATATATTGTGCAACATGTATAATCAAAGTCCATTGTAATTGTTTTTATTAAACCACTGCAAATTGCTTTACCTACATAGTTGATAAAATGATTAATTGCCACCAGCGGTGCTTTAAAGTAGGGTAAGATTACAAACAAAACAACTTAGAATGATTATGTAAAGTGAATACCTACCTATAACGGCAATTTAAAAGTGAAATTGTGAGGAACTGAATTACATAAAATCTCCACCTCCAGGTGCTAAAAAGATTGGAAAGTCTCCGTTTAAGGTAAACACTCTTTTAATGACTTTTATGCCTTCACAAAAATGATAAAATATTTTACTGTCTAGGTGCACAATGATTATCGGTTATAACTTATCGTGTAATTTATAATTTCAAGGTAATCTTCAACACATTAATTGCGCGTAAATGTCGGACGACTATACGCTGTTTGAATTTTGTCAGTTTAACAGTACCAGTGCACTCCTTCTGCCGAATGCATAGCATTTTTGTTTAAATTAGAGTGAACCGTTTTCAATCGACTTTTTAGGAAGTGGAATAGTACTTAGGTATGTGCAAACAGCACTCTGATTAAAAAAAAAGGTTAGTCATACCTGTTATCTGTCTGTTACTGTAGGTTACTTTCACAATATCTATTGCTGTCTATGCGCCCCGTTTGCCAAAAAAAGAGGCAATGAAAACTACCAGTACGGAAATTTTGACGCCTTCGAACAGATCGAGCGCGGTAAGGACCAAAAATTGTTCCTTTATTATAATCGACAGCGCAAAAATAATTTTAGATCCAAATACCGATGGGTCCGAAAAAGGCGCCACAACTGATAATGGTACCGTGGGATAAATCAAAATCGTATACATTTCTGACGCTTATGGTTTGTGCGGTGATATGGGCGTCGGTATATTTCCCGTTAATTCTTTAAGACGTACCTACATACCTATAAGAATAGGCAGATAACTACCTATGTTTGTGTAAATATGTAGTGAAATGTTAAGTTTCTAAATGTTTTATTTAGGCAACCTGAAGGTTAACCATATATTTAATAACAGATTTCCTCCTATCTATTAACATAATTATGTATAGGTATTCTATGCAAATTGTACTACCAAACCATATGGTTGCCAGTTTTTGTTATTGTACCATATTTCTATATAAGTAATTGCACTACACAATTGTGATTTTTACCAACACGTTTTATACATTATACCTTTGAATTATTATACCTATTTCAATTTTGATATTTAAATTTTGTAACCTTTATGTGTAGTAGCGCACGTCGGTGTATTTTTTCCAGTCTAATTTGTTAAATTGTGTGATGCAGTTCAATAGTGTTTGTACCCAAAATTACATTAGATTTTACAGTGGTCAAATAAACAGAATGTTACATTTATTTAACGAGTAGACCATACCTACTTATTGTTAATTATTGAAGCGAAGCTATACGCTATACCTATAGTTTAACGGTACACTATCTATAGGTAGCGATTAGTCAAAGCGATTAGAGGACGCGTTTAAAACACTCCAGTTGTTCGAAGTCTGGTCTATACCTTTAGCAACAAGTCTAAACAAGATGACGTTGATATATGGTTCTCTAATCTCTATACAGGGTGGTGACTTGCGTCGCGCATCATAGGGATTTCAATGTAAAATTCATAACATGCCATTATTGGCTCCCCAAATTATTTTAGAGCAAAAATGTATTAAGGTTTTTTATAGACAACAATTTTTTACGTCAATCAACCGCGTTAGTTTCCAATTTTTTACATAATGAAGACAGAAAATTGGAAAAATAAAACCCGCATCTTTTTCAATAATCTGTGATGCCATGGAATTTTATAATACAAAAACTACGCCAATATCCGTCATGCCATGGAATGTCTGCTATAAAACAAATCAAATTCTATCAAAAAGTATTATATTTAGAACAGCGAATTCAACATAAAGAAAGACCAAATTACTAAAAACGGTTTCCTAATATAACAATTTACAATAAATGCTCGAATAAGTCCTCATTAACTGCAAGACAGTAACCAAGTCGATCATAAAATGCATTTCGAACTGCTGCTAATTGATAACTGGACATCTTTTTGTTTTAGAAAATTCCATGACATCGCAGATTATTGAAAAAGATGCAGGTTTTATTTTTCCAATTTTCTGTCTTCATTATGTAAAAAATTGGAAACTAACGCGGTTGATTGACGTAAAAAATTGTTGTCTATAAAAAACCTTAATACATTTTTGCTCTAAAATAATTTGGGGAGCCAATAATCACATGTTATGAATTTTACATTGAAATCCCTATGATGCGTGACGCAAGTCACCACCCTGTATATGAAAATACTTTTAAACTCTTGTGCAGATAAAGCGCATTTTTTTAACCGAAATAGCTTTTGTTTTGACATCACTAATGGATATATTTCTTGCAGACGTCTCAATCGCCCTTTGTGGGTACCCTCTTCCCGATCACAATAAGAGGTCGAGGAGGAGGGCTATGGTTGGTAGAAATTAATTCCTTTCGTTGAGACCTTTCATTAGAGTACCATGAAGGATAAAACTAGTTCGCCCCCTCCACCCCGTACTTTGATAAGAACAGAAAGAAGGGCAGTAATTGGTATAAAACGGTTCCTTTCGTTGAGACGTTTAATTAGAATACAATGGGAGATATAATTAAACACACATATATGACTTTACCCTCCAAGGCCACTTAAATTTAACTTTCCATGTTGCTTTTAACAAAAGGGTTTTATTGCACGTAGGTACTAAAGATGAGGCACCTGCTGTACAGCTAATACCTTGTTTTCTACCTGCTTGTACCCCTATCCTATTATGCTTTTAATTATTTTTAATTTATACGAGTATTCATCGTGCTTATTATCAATGAATTACAACAAATTATCTTACACATTGACAGCATTTTCACTATTGCTCATTGGAGACTATTGACTATTAAAATAACTGATCAAAATGCAAAGACTTATTCAAAATAGGAATTATACGATTACGCCATCATAGTGTCTCAGTTACAGTTCCTTCCTTTAGGTCATCGCGTAGTTTACAACTAACTTTAGGAGGCCCTGCTTTAGATGTTCGATCACGTGCCATTTTTCTATTTCAATTTAAGCGGGATATGTTTAGCTTTTGGAGGGATAGTCATTTCCGTGGACATTTTGACCTTGCCTTTTGACTTCGATATAGACGTGATATAGGATTTCGAGGAATATTTAAACAGTGCCCATATTTTTCGTCAAACCGTTCGACTTAAAATCGATTACGGACGGACAGATAAGACATTTCGGCGTGTTTCCAACAAATATTAAAGTTACCCATGAAATCCCCCTTCGATCTGGAATACCCTTAAATTATAACCTGATATGTTTATGAACGAAAAGTTAGTAGTTTTGGTACTGATGACACAATGGTCTTCTATTTTATAACAGGTAGGTAAGTGAAAGGTGGTTATACAGTAGATTTTTTAAATTTAAAAATATGAGAGGTTGGTATTTGCCTATTTGCTATAGGGTAAAGTTGTTTATCAATGAGAATGGGTTTATGTAGTCCCTACTATTTAATTTGGCTAGTTCAAGGCCCTATAAAAACTATTATACAATCCAAGAGTTAGTGCTATTATAGACTGGAGAGAATGTCACAGAGGTAGAGAGGTACAAGCCTCCAAATGCTGGAATTTTATACTTGGGGAACTCATCACAACAGGCTATTTGAGAGGCATGCGGGTCGTGTAGGTCATCCGACGGTCCTATCCCAATTATAGTAGACCATTATCCACGGTAGCAAGTTGGTGTTTTCCCGTTACTGTCAATGACACCAGAGAAATTGTACAGAAATATGTATCAAAACGTAGAAACATTCCTGAATGAACCAACAATAAGCCAGGACCTCCACAAATATGTTTTTTGTGTTTATTGAATTATTGAGAATTGAATCTTTCATTAAATAATGTTTTTTTTAAATAAACGTTAATTTGACGCCAATGTAACACCCCTCAATTGACTACATTATTTTTTCACTTGTCTGTTTAGGTGTTAGTGTAACTCCAAGCACGGAGATACTTTGGCACCAACTTTATTTTTTTTCCAACAACGGTAAAACGAATTTGGAAGGTTATAATTATGACCTGTATTGCTGGCCATGATTTTTTCAAGTCGATTTGATTAAAAATACAGCGCCTAGGATCAAAAATAACTAAATATAATTACCTCAAAAAGTCAAAACCTGCACAAAGTAACTCCTTCACAAAAACTTCGAAAAAATCTGTTTAATTTTATCGGTCAAAGTTAATAACGTTGAATTTATAAACTTAATTCAATGGTTGCGTATGCACAATCCTACCATCGGAAGTTCAGTAAGACATAGAGTAGGTAAGACAAAGAGATAAATGATTAATTACAGAAAGTCCCTTTGAATCTATCCCAATTACAGATAAAATAGACAAAGTAAACAAAGTGTATTAATTCCGGGAACAATATAAATTCAATCTAATCGACATATCGCAATCTACTTTCGATACGCCACTGTCATTATCCATTAAACAGGAATGTGGTCAAGCAATCATTTTCCGTTATCCTGCTGCGTATCTCTTAAACATCAGTACAGAGGCTAAATCACTTTCAAAACGAATTAAGCAAGAATAACCACGTGTCACTACAGTTTAGCATAAGGCTGTTTGCTTTGAGCAGACAATTATCCAAAATGGACCCCTTGACCCGAATAGTATCTTATACTTTGTTAGTTGGTGCAGTGATTATTACGGAAGTATATTGTAAGTATATATTTTTTATTCGCTTTGTGAATCGTACTACCATTTTTCCATTCTAAGCATATTGTGTGTACTAATTTTTTTAATCGAATAATTATCCATTTCCAACGTGCACTGCAGCAAAACGTCAATAAACAAAACAAAATGTAAATTTGAATCGCACCAGTGGCGTCACCCTATATCTATTTCGGCGGGAGGATTTTTTTAAAAATTGGATTGAATGCAATCGTACATATTTGATTATCGATTGTCTTCGTCTATTTTTCCATATTATTATTTATATATTATTATTATTAAAGTGCGGGTGGTGTATTATTGCAAAAACTGTAAATTTTCGGACTTTTTAACCTCGCACGCAGATTCAAAAGAATATAGTTACCTAAAGTATTTTCTTGCCACTTGTAACGTCATCCCTATAGTATATAGTTATTAAGATCTGCTTAGCGTAATTTGACGGTACAACAATGAACACAAACACAAGTTCAGTGGCGTATCATCTTCATTTCTATAGCATTATCGCACGTGTTATCTTATCCCATTTAGAGAACAAGTGGTAAGGTAACAACATTTGAACAAAAACCACTTACACATTTTCCTTAAGTGAATGATTCATTTACGTAAATCGTTCAATTATAGACTATAAGATCATTGAATACTAATTAATAATCGTCAACGTACCTATACTTAATACATATATGCTTTATTAGATTTGTTTTATTTATGTATTCTTATAAACATATACTTATATAGATATTCTTTTAAGAGAATGCTTCCATACAATTCTGCTATGTATCCTTTTACATTATATGGATTTTTCCCTTGGAAAAGAAATGTTGGTTTAGAGTACATATACATATATGCATATAACATGTCCTTATCTGAGTAATTATCTACATTATAAACAGATGTAACTGAATTTACCTACACTTATTCAAACATGTTGATACACCTTTTATTTAAACTTGTTTTAATACCTATACCTACCTATTGCTGTGTAACTCGCTTGGATGTCCCATATATGAGCCACATAAAAGCATACAAATGTGTAAATGTAACGCAGAATTTCTCAAAATAACTGAAACTGGCATCCCGTTATTCGCCACCAAAACTGACTTCAGACTGTCAAACAACTAGATTTCAACACAAAATATACTTGCTTTATTTTCACAAACATTTTTCAAATTTTTATTCATTTCATCATTCATCTTATACCCAATTCATACAATCATTGTCTACGTTTTTTATTTTTCTGTTGCTTTTTATTTGATACCAAGGCAGAAATTCGACTGGCCATGGACATAACGTGACTTACACAATGGCTCAGGTGCTTTCAAATAAGCCGCCGCAACAACGTATCGAATCTTCTTTTAACTCGAATATACCAGTGTGGGTACATCCTCACAATGCTACCAACCCAAGAATAGACGCTTGGTCTGACTCGAGATCAATCCGCAGACCGCACCATTACACGAATAACAGTCGCATACCTGTGTATTCCAATTTAGGGCACAAAAAAGAAGAACCTCATCGCAATGCGTCTGTCCCTAAATACGACGTCGCTGACGACGAGTTAAGAAACTTTGCGGAAGAAGTGTTGCGAAGAGACGATAACAATGCCCATAGATATCTCACAGTGAATTATCAAGGGAAAACCACCTCCCGTTCCGATAAAGATCTCGCTCCAGAACCGTACGTATTACAACGTCCCCAACGACGTTGTCTAGAATCATTTTTAGATTGTTGCGTGTGCATGAAAACGTCAACAGGATTCCGACAATTAGTAAAATTAGACGCTTATACGATAACTATATTCCTTTAGTTGAGAATAACGAAGAAGTGACTGGCGAAGAAATGCGGGAAGAAGACGAATTGCTCGATGCGATTATCAGTACGAACGTTATGGATTATACTAGAAACTTCTTAGTGTCAAAAGGTACCTATAGTCTGATTATGAATCATAGCAATTCTAATTTCTTTTTCTCTAGGTGTAATTGGTAATGATCCACTAGAGTTTAAAAATGTTCTGAAAGAAATGTGGTTCACTTTATATCCAAGAAGGAAGGGAAGGTATGGCTCCAGTGGTTTTGAACACGTATTTTTGGCGGAAATAAAAAACGGCGAAGTTTCTGGTTTTCACAATTGGATTTATTTCCATCATCAGGAATTGAATAATAACGTTAATTATTTAGGATATTTGAAAGTTGTGGAGTTTGGAAATGTGAGTAGAATTCATGTGATTGGTAACGTTAAACATCTCTAGGTCTTTCAAAGGCTTTCCTTTGGAAGACGCCAACTAATAAATGAAAGTTTTACAGCCCCCTACAATAACATTTCTTTAATGAATTAAAAATATGTAGGGTAATTTTGTCCTATGTTCTAAATTCTAGTTCGCTTATAGTGTAGATACCACGAATAATATAATAAAAATTTTATTTCCGACGCTTCAGATGTGCGAAGACATAAACATGAATTTTTTTAGTCTATTTACCTCGAAATATTACGATGATAGAATTTAATTTCACGCGTTAGATTATACTTACGCTATTATTCGTATTTTATAAATAAGGTCACGCGGCGTCACGCCGTTTTCCTCTTTGTAGGTTCAAACTTCCATTATTGTTCGTATTTAACGCAATAGTTTCTAAGCCGTAAATTATCATTTTTGAATGAAGTTTACTAAACTTCAAGTCATGCGTTTACTCGTTTGTTTTTCGTGTACGTAAACGCTACCATAAGCGTACGAAATTTCTTCGCAATTAATACACTCTCAATTATTAGAATTGTCAAACCACACCCCGTGACAAATTACAGGTGATCGCATTAACTGCGCTAACAGATCGGTGCGAGTTCGAATAACACTAAATCCACCCTACGATAATTTACAGGTGATTCACTTAGTTTCGCTGGCGGCTCGACGTGAATTTTCTAACATATCAAACACACACTACGCTAATTTACAGGTGGCCGCGCTGACATTTTTATGCTACTTTTTTCTCTCGTGGTTCCTGGTTCGACGTGAATTCTAACACAAAATATAAAAACCACTTTGCGTTTGTCACATTTGGTAGTCACAGGCAGTCAGTTGAAGAAACGGCTTAGTCCAGAATTTGGCGGGCGGCTACGTCCAGGGAAGCAACTAGGTACTTATAACAAATGCGACACACGGAGACGGTAACAATTGCATTAACGGGAACGCTTACCTTTAATGTTAATGGAACGGTGATAAAATCGCAAAACCAACAGTGAAAATTGCCAAAAAGTGATCTGACGATTCGGTTAAACACCCACTAAACAACGGCTTTACCTTTCATGGAGACAACGCAGGTTTCTCAGTCAGGTCTATTCGAATAAGAACGTCAAAAAATTAAAACTTCTTTAATAAATTGCGCGGCCTGCTGACGGTTCTAAAAATATGTTATTGGTCTTGAAATTCAAATTAATCGAGCGCTTCTTTTGAGACATATCCTAATCGGATGCTGTTCTGCAACTCATTTAATCAGCAACGGTTAATTATAGTTAACTAAATGGCCGGATCAAATTTCCAAACTCGGTGGACCAGTAACGCTCATTGTTACCTAGAATAAGATCTTGGATTATCTATGTATACCACACACTACATCGTTCTTAGTTGCTTTCAATCCAGGTTTTTAATTCCCCCTTGTCTTCTATATGATCGAACGCTACAAAAATAATTGAATTATTCGCGGTCCCTCTTTCTCGTGTTGTCAATGGAAGCTTGAGCTATGAGATGTGTCGCAAAAATTGAGTACCTACTACTGTTTTGTGGAAGGTTTTTTAGCAAAATCCACCAAAATGTGAATTGCGGGTTAACGGAACATTGGAAGCGGGTACCGACAAAGGGAATGTGTGGTAGCCCCCGACAAGATCTTACTAATGGTGGAGTCCAAACTTCAAGTGTAAATTGCGGGTGGACGGAACGTCAGAACTGAGTACCGACAAAGGGAATGTGGTAGCCCCCGATAAAAACTGTCCAGATACCTAAAGCGCATTTTTAAACCAAAATAGCTTAGTGATAAAGTTCATTAAAAAATTTGAAATTGGAACCAAGTATTAATTGATTCTTAGCGACACGTTTAACCAATCAATAAATATTCTCACTCACTTAAAATATCTCATTTTATCATTATTAGATTATTTAAGCATTGAACGATCTGACCACGTTTATCTTGTTACTATGTTATTTTGTGCTTTAAACCAATAAATTAATTTTTTTCTTATTACAGAAAGGCGCAATTTTGAAGCACCATTTCACATTTAACGGATACGATAAACCTGTCGACTCACTCTTTATTGGGACAAGTCCCGAATTTGAAATGGCATTGTACTCCACTTGTTTTCTTATACGACCTGACAAAGTATGTCCGTTGCAATTAGAAGGAAAGAAATTTACAATAAGAGTGTTCACTTTCAATTCCCAAGGGAAGAAGTTGATAGGCAGCGCTTTTCCGGAAATATAGGTACGCTACGTGTTAGCGTTGTGATACATTAAGCTTTACACAATGTAACTAGGCCAAATTGTAATGTGACCTGTTTATTAATAAATGACTTTTATAACGCAATGAATGGAATAAATTATGGCCATCAGTAGGTATTGGCCCCTTGTATGCAAGGAGCAATCTACTTAGATAAGTGAATTTCCTTATCTGGTTACAGTAACCGATAAAACGATTAAAATAAAGCAGTATGTCACCAATTAAACGATAATTGTATATCCATGTTGATATTGGAGGTCAACTCACTTCATTGCCATTTGTCGAGGCGTAACATATAATGTAAAGTAGGTTAAAAATAAAAATGTATCTAAATTTATACCGCTTATACGTACGGCAATCTGCGCTCGTTAAACATTTAAAACAAAACGCATTGAGAAATTACCATAGCGATGGTGCGTTTGGCTACCGGCAAAGTACCGAGACAAAGTATTGTTGTAAGTATACACCTACAACACACTTGTTTTGCTTTAATCAATGATAAATAATTGTAGTACCAGAAGATGTCGTGCAGCAAAGATTTCAGGAGAGTAATTTTTACAGATTTGTAACTGCCTATAGACAATTTGGCCATTTAATTGCAGATACCAATCCTGTGTCGTTTACTCCACCTTTAAGGTGAGTACCTACTTGTGGCTTGTTAATAAACACACCTACTAAATCTGTGTTTTAGTGAAATACAAGAGCTGACTCCTCAAAGATATGGACTCAGTGCGTCTGACAAGATTTCATTTAGGGGGATCATTCATAATGGACAAAAGGAAGGGACCGTTGCAGAGGCTATGGAATTCTTAAAGCTTGTGTATGGAAGTCACATTAGTACGGAATTTTTACATTTGCAAGTAATTCATTGTTTATTAAACTATCTTAAACGTGCCACAAACGTAGTGAAGTTTGTGAACTTTTACTCGAATTGATCACGTCTTGTTTCATAACGAGTTACTTCAATATGCTAGGTACCTTCAGCGATTTTGGAAAGCAGCGATTAACTTTTGTTGTGCAACAGACGTTTATATACGCAATTGAATATTTTGTGGTGTGTGGTGACACGACAGGCATAAATTTCTTTTGAGCCGTGGCTAAAGCCAGTGGCAGATGAAGGGTCTGAGCCCCCTAGCAGCTATGAATCGAACAACAAATGAGTAGCAACACGCTATGAATGTGAATGTATTACATCATAAGGTTGTAATAGTGCATATTACAGGTGAGTAGAAGCGAAGCGGCAATTCCACCAACCTGTAATACGCAAATTACAACCGCCACAAAAATTAGTATTAAGATATGTCTCGATTTTCCTTTGTACACCTGCCTGTCTGTCTGTGTACAGTAAATTTGTTTATCGAAAAACTCCGTTTGGGCTTAACTGAGAACACTCACATGATGTGATTTGTACATTTTAATCCAACGGGGTAATTTTTTTATCTAAAATGAATTAGTTTGACAGCTCGCGTGGAAAAGTTATTATCCGCAGTGAGTTGATTATGTGATTAAATAGAGTTGTGAACAAAATAATAGCATCAGTGTTAATACATTGACCGGTGCGATTGGTGAGGTAGTCTAATACACTCCCAAAGCCTTCAAGAGTAACAATGAGTGTCCTTTATAAATATTTCTTATTTAAAAAAATTACTGCATGTGGCTCTCGTAAGTTCGGTGTAAACCATTCGCGCTTCTTAGGAAAGGAACAATCTGTTTTAAATTTACATACAAACTAAATATACAACAAATACAATTACATAAACGAATTAAACAAATACCGATTAAATTTAAAACAAGAAAGTAACATTAAAATGATAAATCAACAAATTTTTCCAGTTCTGTCTATTTGAAATTAAAGAAGGCTGTTTTTGTATATGACGTCTTTAACAGTTGAATATTTAATATATATTTGATTTATAAAAAATATATGTCAATATATAATATATTTAATAATATATATTTTTAAATTTTACTAAGAGATTGGCTTTACTTGTCCGAATAATTTTGAATCCTTTGTTTATTTGGAAAAAATGATTGTTTTAGTTCCCGCTACAACCCAATTTGTTAAAACATAGACATATGTTTTAACACCCTCTAGAAATAAAGTATAATATAGTGTCGTAGCATTGAATAACAAATTTTTATTCAATGGTTGTAGTAAGTACCAGAAAACGACAATATAGTACTTACTTATAACTTTAATTGTTATTAAATCACTGACACTATGTTAAGATTCTCCAACGCGTGCTAAACGAAGGCATTCATTTCATGCCCATAAAGTCTAATTATTACACCACATATCACAGTGCGCCTTTTATACCTGTAGTTCCATGGAAGATTTTGGATGCTATACTTGGATGTGGGTAGGTACTCGGATGTTTTATGGCACTCACTCGGCTATGAATTATATCCATTCGCGAGAAGAGTTCGTTAGTTTGAGAGGAAATAAAGTTAGACGAACTTTCCTACACATCATTTTCAATTTTGACCTTCACCTTACACAGATTTGCATTTCTTCTTTTCGTTTTTCCTTCTGAGATTTCAAATCGTGAATTTCTCGCACAATTTTCTTCCATTTTTCCTTTAAGTATATTGTTGCCTTTTGTTCGCCTTTAATTTTTTCTTGAAAATCACGTATCTGTTCCAATATTATGGCAATTTGTTCTATTGTAAGAGTAGTTTGATGTGTCTCCTTTAAGGCAACGGTTTGATTTTCAATCGTGTTTTTCAAATTGCTATTTTCATATTCTAATTGGCTCATGGTGGAAATAAGGGCAATTTTCTCAGAATCAAAAAATGTATCTTTCTCCATGTTTCCGTCAGTTGACTCTAGTGCGCTTTTGATATGCAGAGCATCCATGGCATTCTCCAATTCCAAAGTCAGAGTTTCACACCTGCGTGCATTTATGGCCAGCTTTTCTTCAATTTGATTTTCTTCGCCGTTATACCAGTCTTCGTGAAATATTACCAACTCGTTCAAAAATTCTAAATCGTTAGTACGCCGAGCTCTTTGTGTCTGCGCATCCTTCCAAGCTTGAAGCTCGCATAATTCCCGAATCACAATGTATTCGTCCAAAAGTGGTGGAGGCAATAAAAACTCATTGTGCTTCGAATGATCTGAAAATTCGCACTCGTCTAAGCACATTGTTATACTTATGTTGGCGAACGTATCGTGTGTTCCTATTGCCTTGAACTCGGTTAGATACTCATTTGTCTTGAAAGTGGAAATATTTAGTTCTTCTGTCAAGGGCTGTCCAGTCTCATCGGTCAAAAACAGTTTGGGAGGCCATGCGTAAACCAATTTTTGAACACTAGCTTCAGTTGAAATAAAAATGAGTTTACATCTCGCGTCTTTTAATGTAATATTTCCTTTGATAGTGTGACAGTTGGCAATTATTTCACTCGTCTCTTTCGGATGCCTGAATGTAATCCCGATGATCTTCGATTTAAAGCAGTTTTTGAATGAAATATTATGAACTCTAAGATCGAAGCAGTATTGTTGAAAAGCCACGGCTGCTTTTTTGACTTTTGGTCGAATAGACCGCAAACTTTGTGTTGCTCTGGAGGATTCCATGGTTACATCTGATTGTGGAGAATGGCGGTCAGATGGTTGCGATTTTGGAATTGTTTGTTCGGCCAGATCCGTTAACCTGAGAAGTAAGGGTTTGGATTTATCATCGCCATCAATGGCAATAAGTTTTCTTTGGTTATCATCAAAGGTATCTTCTGTGCACTCATGTGAATCTAAACTGAAAAGTTCTGAAGGTTCTTTAACGCAGGTCAACACAGTGTCCGCATTTATTTGTTCTCCTTGGTTAGCATCGCCAACATGTAAGTAGGTGAAAATATCTTCTGTGGAGTTATGCGGATCTAAACAGGGGTGCTCATTGGATTCGCGCGGTATGGACAAATAGGGAAGTTCTGAATCTCCTCTTAAATACACCACAGTATCAGCAACTCGTTGATTATCTTCATTTTTATGGGAGTTATCAAACATATGTTCTGTGCACCCATGTAGATTCGAATCGAAAGGGCGCTTGTCGGATTCCTGCCACACACATGAATAGGAAGAATCTTCCTTAAAATCCAAATCGCGGATTGTTAATGACATGTGCAATTCAGGCTGACAACGTTGGAGCTTGGCTGGTACTCCTACAAGTTTCCACCACTTAAACGGAATTTCGGACCGGAAACCTCGCGTAATGATATTTGCACTGCGTGCACTTAGTAAGATCAGTCCTACCCGATCTTTGCAACCATGATCGTCAACCATTTGAAGCTCCACTTTGAGCGGTATATTGTTCGTTCGCATCTTTCTCAGTACCTTTTTCTCGACTTCCCATGCAAGCTCGGTATTGAAAGCTAAATTTTGTTTCGAAATAAACAAATCTGTTTCTAATGGTCGACCATTAAAGTTGACCACAATTTTTAGTGGATGCTCCAGGATGGGCATTCCTCGCGCCATTTCGATTGCTAACACCACGTCTACATAATTGCCATTCAACTCTTCCATAGTTCAAGTATCGCTTATCGATCAACGTTACCAAAAAATATTCCTATTATTTAGATGTGTTACTTTTGACAGACAGAAACAAAACAATTAGCTTCTCAAACCCGTAAATTTCAAATCAAAATTAATTATTGTAACGCATTCGAAGGTCAAGGAATAGGAAATGGTATTATGATACAATTCTGTAGGTATATCTTACATCACTTTTCCGCGTGCTGTTCATAATAGCCCAATGTAAAAAACGTCGCTGAAAGCATTTTTGCAACATGAAAAATGAAGACAGATTATAGACCATGCTAATTGAGTACGTTTCTGGCACTTTTTTGACTGCTTATACCTGGTGATAAATGCAAGTAGTCTTATATCTTGAACTGCACAGACTGAAGAGGAAATCGAATGGTTTTCTACCAGGATCGAAGAACTTAATCATGAGGTTTTGAATAATAATGAAAGACTGGAATTAGCGTGCCATCTCATCAAATCTCAAACGTTCGATAAATTTTTGGCAAATAAATTTCCCGGACTAAAAAGGTATGGAGGTGAAGGTGCCGAAAGTATGATGGCATTTTTCAACGAGGTCTTTCAAATTTCCGCACAAGGTAAGTTTTAATCGGGCCGGGTTTGGTTTGAAAGTGAGGTTTGTAGATTCCTTGGAACAAGTTGTGATAGGAATGCCCCATCGAGGTCGTTTAAATCTGTTGACTGGGATGCTCGATTTTAAACCCGTAAAGATGTTTGCCAAATTGAAAGGTTTGCCTGATTTTCCGGCTAAGTTTAAGGCTACTGGAGATGTGCTTAGCCACTGCAGTAAGTGAGGCTCATATCAATGATCAAGTACTGTAGCTCTACTTTAGTATCATCCACCAACTTGAACATTAAGAATACAGCGTTGCATGTTACTATGTTATACAATCCTTCACATTTGGAGGTTGTCAATCCAGTATCGATGGGTAAAACTAGAGCGAAACAAATGAGCGTTCAAGATGGCCATTACTCACCTTCCAGAAGATGGAGTGACAAAATCCTGAACATACAAGTACAGACTTTTCGCTGTTAAATCATATTTTACCATTATTCATTTAGGTTCATGGAGATGCCGCTTTTGCAGGGCAGGGTATAAATCAAGAGTGTCTTCAATTAAGTAATGTCCCGCATTTCGAAGTAGGTGGCTCCATTCACCTTATAGTTAATAATCAAGTAGGGTTTACTACTCCTTCAGATACAGGACGTTCCACGAGGTATTGCACTGACTTAGCCAAGATGTTATCAGCACCAATTTTACATGTGAATGGAGACTATCCTGAGGTAATTTCATATACACATGGTGCAAACCTAAATCAAAAGTTTACTCTATAAGCTCTTCGACCTATAGTAGAATGGTGAACACGCTATTTTCTTTAGGCTGTCCTTAAAGCGACAAGAATTGCAATGGAATATCAAAGAAAGTTTAGAAAAGATGTTTTTGTGGATATGAATTGTTATCGACAATGGGGACATAACGAAATGGACGATCCCACATTTACCAACCCTCAGCTATATAAAATTATTCGCTCTAGGAGGTAATTTTTGCGTTCAAATTTGAGGAACATTATCGTAATTGTTTAATAGAACTGTTCCTGATCAATATTCGGAGTATTTAATAAACGAAGGAGTTTTGACAAAGGACATGGTCGACGAGATAACCAATCAGCATTACTCGTGGTTGTCAAATGAACTCTCAAGCGCGGAAACTTACGAAGCCGATGTAATGGTGAAACCAATTTGATTAATGATCACTAAGTTATTATTGTAGGATCCCTGCTTCAAAGATCAATGGAATGACTACAATCAAGCACAAGATATCATAACGACATGGGATACAGGTGTTCACAGTGATTTGTTAAGCATGATCGGACAAAAGTCGGTGGAGTATCCTGCTGATTTTGTAAGTATGAATTACATTGTTGTATAGTATTTGACTCGGTATTTAAGAAAATACATCCACATCTTCAAAAAACCTACATCAAATCAAGACTCTCGAAGATAACGCAACGATCGAATATTGATTGGGCCACTGCAGAAGCGCTAGCTTTTGGTTCTTTATTGTACGAAGGTAAGGAGTATTATGTTACTCAAACTATTTTTTGTCAGTAAATCGCAATTCATATCTCGCATAGAGATTCTAAACCAAAGAGTTTTTGTCAGGCAGAATCTTGCCAATAACAATCCGGGCATTAGTTGTCATAATTAATGTGGTTACAGTTATTTTCCACCCCGAGACCATCTCTTCAAGGCGAAACGTATTAGCTTACAAACAATATAAGTCCATACATACATCAAACAATTCGATAATTTCCACATGTTGAAAAGAATGATCAAAATTTATAAATGCAACTTTGGGCCAAGACCATGTAATCAGAGCATACACAAACATTTAGCACAAATTCACAACAAAAAAAGTCAACGATTTCAAACAAAAGGTTAACGGTGTCAAACACATCAATACACAGACAATCAGACTTCCCATTTTACCTTTTCTTGTTTTTTGTTCCACCCGGTGGTTGTCGATCCGGCCTGGCTGAGCTTGGATTTAGGGCAGTAGTCTTTATAGATATTTTAATATTTTCTTGCAATATTTTGTGTACTGGTTCCGGCCTATTCTTCTTAGGTTGTAGTCTAGTGTAGTGTCGTGTAAAGTATTGGGGGCGCTATTTCTCTAGCTGAAAAAATGACGAAGATGAGAGCAAGCCACCCCGTAGTGAAGAAAAATACCTGTTGTTAAAACGTAATTTCGGTTTAAGTATCGGAAATAGCAGTCGGGACATCCTGCATGCCACAGCAATAGATCATGGCGCAATGAAAATTAAATAACTATTTTCAAAACACCTTTGAATACTATTCGCTATCTAATTTCCTGATCGCTGAGCACTATGATCACATATTTTTTAAAAAACAATCTGATTATCTATTACTTATTAATTAATAATGCTAATAAGCAATTCACACAATTTTTTTGTTCATAGGATACAATGTCAGAATAAGTGGCCAAGATGTAGGAAGAGGAACATTTTCTCATCGCCACATTATGCTCGTCGACCAAGAGACGAACAACATTCACATCCCATTAAACAAAATACATTCGCAACAAACTGGATTTTTGGAGGTGGCCAACAGTATTTTATCTGAAGAGGCCGTTTTAGGTTTTGAATACGGTATGAGTGTGGAAAATCCAAAAAATTTAATTATCTGGGAGGCGCAGTTTGGCGACTTCTTCAATGGGGCACAGATAATTTTCGATACTCTAATCGCAAGCGGAGAAGGTACTTATGCGGTTTGTCTATGTTTAAATATTAATCGGAAAATTCCAGCAAAATGGTTATGGAGCACAGGAATTGTTATACTTTTACCTCATGGATATGATGGAGCCGGTCCAGAGCACAGTTCATCCAGGATAGAGAGGTTTCTACAGTTATCGGATTCGAAAGAAAATGAAATTGATGGCGATAATGTCAACATAGAAATTTGTCAACCTAGCACACCGGCACAGTATTTTCATTTGTTACGCAGACAGGTACAATGCTTGGTAGCATAACAACCTTACAAATAGTCATTTTAGATGGTCCGCAACTATCGAAAACCCCTTATTATAATTGCGCCAAAAACTCTGTTAAGACTTCCAGCTGCCACCTCCAGTATCGATGATATGACTTATGGCACAACTTTCCGACCAGTAATAGGTATAGGCATTAGTGAATACTGACTTGTGATATATACTTTTCTGGCCCTAGGAGAAACAATATCAGAGCATTTGGCGGTGGACAAAATTATTTTCTGTTCCGGTAAACATTACTATTCTCTAAAGGAGCAACAAAACAAAATGGGAAAAAAGAATGTGGTTTTAATACGAATTGAAAGCTTTTGCCCGTTTCCCACTTATCAACTGCAAGAAGAGATCAAGAAATTTCCAAATGCAACAGGTTTGTCTATACATTCATTGCTATCCCATTTGAGACAAACCTTTTTCAATGTTTTCTCTTTTTTTTCATGTACAGTGTGTCCACGGATTGAATACACATAAGGTGTATATGACCAAAATTCCGAATTCTAAAAATTCGTCAAGAGTAAAGCATGTTTATTTTTGCAAATATAACAAAAATGAATTTTCATACAAATCAGCCTACTTTAATTTTTTCATCAGCACGAGACAATTTTAAAATCAGTAAATCGTGTAAAACTCAATCACATCTTAGACATATCAGCTTGACAGATATGGTAGACTTTCAACTTTTATACGATCAGCTTGCTTTGATTTTTGTTACAAGCATTGGATGCTGATGAAAAATCAAAGTATGAAAATTGAATGTCTTCTATAACTTTTATTTCTAAACAACATTTTTAATTACATTCGGAGTTAAATTTTACGCATTGTATAACCGTATTATGTTTTAATTGACCCATTTGTTTAAGAGATATAAATCCTACCGTGGTCGATTGAAATGTAGACTCAAATGAATTTCAATGTTCAACTGGAGTATGAATTTATAAATGCTTGTTACAGATTACATATGGAGTCAAGAAGAACCCAGAAACATGGGCGCATGGAGTTTTTTGAAACCAAGGTTCGACTACTTAATCGGCAAAAAGGTAAAGTTATAATCACAAAAAAAAGGCATAAACTAATAATGTTATTTCAGTTGAAGTATTGTGGTCGTGACACTTTACCTACACCCGCAGTTGGTGTTGGAAAGTGGCACCAAGAGCAAGTACAACATGTTATTACCCGACCATTTGAAATGTAACAAATAAATCTCTAGCATAAACTTGTCGCCTTTCATTTTATCCATATATTTTTGTATAATAATGTACACAGTACAATACAATGTGCTAATGCTACTAATGAAGTCAGATTGATCTACAAGCCTGACCAATTGTTATATGTAACTTAACCTATGGTACCTAGATTTAGAATTAGTATAATCGTAGAAAGACATATGTTACAATATGATATACATGGATTACAGTCATATTCGAATCAAAGAAGCACTTAAAACTGATTAGGCTCTCAAATTCTCACCAATGAATCAATTACAAATAAATAGTAACCTTATTCTAGATGCCTAGCCGTTCAGTGACCAGTTACATTAAAATTTTAATCACAAAATTAAACGATCCTTCCAAACTAATTTGAACATTAACATTAACGTTTACAGTGAGGCAAGAATTATGTTTTTATAGCCATACAAGTAGTTCTTACGGGTACATGGCACCTTAAGTGTGTCGGAATAAATTATAAAGACGTGACATTAAAATTAGTGTTTCATATATGTATATATAATACCTTAGTACGCAATGCAAATGCTATACGATACGAAAACAAAAGTAGCTCGTGAAATAAAATACTGACCGATTAAAATATTGCATTCTACACACCCATAAAATTCTTAACATTAGTGACAGTATCACACAATTAACTCTCAATATCCTACTTATTTACAATTACTATTTTTAAAGCTCTAAAATGTCGTAACGTAAAAATTAAACGACAGACATCATTCATCTTGTGAGGTGTAATTGCGAATTAAAATTTGTATGATGTTTACATATGCCATATATGTATTATTCGGCAGTGGTGAGTAACCAACAAATTTAGTCGATCACATTGGTAGGAGCATGATAAAATTTCTAACAAGTAGGTATGCAAGTGTGTATCAGTGGCCATATTCAAAGCGAACAATGATATTTTTTACAGGTTTCTTACAAATTAAAATTGCTCATCTGCATGGCCGTCCGATACCCACCATGCACAACTTCACCTTTTAAACCCACCCAAAAAAACATATGCAAACAAAGTGTTCATTTGAACATAACACACAGAGAACAGACATTATTAGGAACTATTTTTGAAACATATGTAACCCTTTTCCGTCAACCTGTGTAACTTTCCAACAATAATTTTATAACGAAGGGAAACAAATTGAGCAAAAGAAAAGTGGGTAAAATCTAACAATAAATTTCAACAAATTATAAATATTTGGAAAGTTACATTAATGAACGAGTCTTTTAAAAAATAATAAATAACTAATCTACATTTAATAAAAATAAGCTTAAATGGATTACAATCAATAGGGGTTTTTAACCGTGTATTAATTAAAAACAATTAAAAATACTTATCTAGTATTTACTATACATTTTATGTGTCGTACTTGGCTGGGTTGGCGATTTATTATACAAAAACGCTTTAGCTATAATAAAACCGTTTACTTATTCCTAAAATTCACTATTTGAATCGCATGTTACGATTATGAGTGTATCACTGACAATAAAGCTTCTCAGAAAACAATTGAAAACGATCATAAAAAATGGACTACATTGAAAAGATAAACATCCCCCAGTGTTCAGCGTTCAATAATTTTGAGATATCTAAAGAACAAATTTTTGTTCTTTTAATGAAGTTTCAAAGCAACACTCAAAAATAATTATTAAATGAGAAGACTACTGGGTTCAGGTTTTTTCATTAGTTCTTGTCGGTACATGTTACATTTACTTACATAAAATCGTAAAAATAAGTTCACAAGCGCAAAATTACCAGGGATGGTATTCAAAATGCAAAGTACGTTATTTGAATCATTTTTACACTAAACCAAGACAAATGTGGAAGCCTGCAATGATTGTCTCTAACAACTACAAAAAAAAAATGTTCAATATCAGTCGCGATTTTTTTAAACGTGTGCATAAGCGCTACACTAGATACTAATTAAGTTTGAAATTTAAAAACACTGCGCACATTTGTATCACTTTACAATTAATAATGTCCTATTTAACGAAAAGTGTGACGAATACCACTTAATTAACCATTAAAGTATGAGATTCCATAGGAGCTGCAGAATCGTATAAAGTGTCTGTATCCTGAGTCGGTTCACCTTGCAACTGGCACTGATTTGTTAAAGTTCCCGCGCCACAATCACAAAAGAACCTATAATACAAAGTGGTCAGTTAGATAATATGTTATCCTTAATAATGTATTTATAATGTGGAGCAATATGATAGTGATTCACAATTAAAATAGGCTGTTTTCTTAAACACATTCGCATGCTGCAGAAAGTTGGATAATGAATTTTCAAAAGAATTACATTAAAATTTCTAAAGAAAAAAGATCAGATTTGAAATTAATACTCCTTTGGGAGAAATTTGCCTACATAGACCCAGCAAATTTATTTATATTAGGCTTAATAATGAATTTATTTTAACTAGAACAGATAATATTCACTCCCCTGTGACTCAATTAATCAGGTCTACAGACTCATTTATAGTTACCGCATAAAACTGGGTTGTTTAATGTAACTGTACATTTCATTTATTTATATGTCCAGAAATAAAAAAGGTAGGGGTTCTCTTCATCGTTTACATTGTCTAATTTGATCCCTATGATAAGAATCCCCCAGCGAGCAATTGAGGTATCATTCGACGTCGATTCGACTTCAAATAAGTAACGACACCAATTTCAATAAGTGCAGTATAACATAAATTCGACGTCGAATCGACTTAAGTGGTGTTTTTTGACACGTCGATTCGATGTGAGAAATAAGTGTGATAGGGTGTGATTTAACTAATAGGTGTTAGGTGTCTAGACACCTTATTAGGTAATTGTCTACGTCGAATCGACTTGGCGGATTACTTATTTTCTACATGTCGTTTTGAACTTATAACCATACTTCATTATTGTCCTCTCTTTTTAAAGAATAGTACCTACAGTAAATAAGAATACTGTTATGAACTTTATGGCTGGCGTCATGTCAGACAAATTACCTATTATATGTAAAATATTGAATATGTTTAATTTCATGATTTCTGTGTAGAAATATTTCGTGCGAATGCATTTTCTATGACAAACATATATCTTCTGCCTTCAAAAAACACAAAGCCCCTCTAAAATAACTATTATAAAAATAATAAAAAAATAATTATTCGTTTTTCATTTAATAGTTGTACATTTTTGGCAGTTTAAGTATTTTATTCAAACATACAATCATTAATAATACCTAAATATAATTATATTTTAATTGTATAACACATATTTATTCATTAATGCTAAAAAACATGTATGATGATATTTCGGCCATCTACGCTAGCCAATAAATATGTCTGCCTTCTCGTTATATTAATCTAATAAGTAGAATACCCTAATTTGCACCTATATTTTCGACCTCAAGTTGGTGAAGAACAAGCTACTTTTGATACCTATTACCTAATTGGTGTACAATATTACCAATTTTTATACACCTAATTGTAACAAATTCATGTAAATACCGTATTATATACTTATTGGTGGTCTGTTTAAGTATACCGTATACTTAATACGTGTAATCGTAACTCAGTATGTTGGGAATTCGACCTAACTAACTAAACCAACCTATTAAGTGTAAGTCGAACACCAAACTGCACCTACGTTCACTAAATCGACACCTATTAGGAGCACATGTAACTTCTTTTGGTAGATTAATACACCTGTTAGCAACACAACTTATGATTGTAACCTACTACCAGGGATTCACAACCTATTACCTATTGTTTAGGTCGACATTGATACCTACTATTATCTCTTCACCCAACAGATGCAGTAAAGCTCCTCCGAAAAAATCCCGGCAAATTTAAATGAACATTTTTAATTGGCCGAATTTTCAAAACCTTTAACACACGCAACTATTTGCTTCCAATTACAATTGTCGCATCTGAATTGACATCCTTAACCTCAAACCTGTCACTGCGTTTTGTATTTGTCTTGCCTCAATTTGCCGTTAATTTCATTTATACGAACAAAATAATCTTTCTAAACTTAATAAACAATTTGAAACTATGTACTGCTGTGTGTTCAAAGATCAATATTCAAAACAAAACACTTAATAACTTCGTCGTACAATGTGACATGCGATTTTAAATTTCCCGGTTTTTATAATTTTGTGACTGTGAAACGGGTCTGTTATTACATTGGCCCAAATTTATTGGGAGTTGCTTAACTGCATCTGTTGGGTGAACAGATTATAGTTGAAACAGACCGGCACTTTCGCGCCATTATTTTACTCGAGTGAAATATATTTATTTTGGTGAAATGCTACTAAATAGGTGATCTGTCGTTTCGACCAATAGGTCGAAAAAACTTAATGGTGAAATATTCAAGTCATTTCAACCTATTGGTCGAAATGTAAGTAACTGTATTCTCTTATTAGGTGTCTATGAAATTTTCTTCTATTCCTATTTAGTCATTTTGTTGACTTTGGCCTATATGTCCTATTAGATTATATTTATGACGTGAACAAAGTTACCTAATAAGTCATGGAACGAATATATTACCAATTAGGTAACAAGCGTCCCTTTAGTTACGTTACAAATTGGCACAAATAAGGTCCTTCTACCTACTGCTCCTATTAGGTGATACAAAGTTAGGTATATGCCACTCCTTAATTGGTAATTTTAACGTACCTCACCTATTAGATGACCATTTACCACTACGATAGTTTGTTGCATCCTAATAAGAGTTTATTTCACCAATATGTCACCAGTGCCTAATAGGTAACATACTTACTTTCACCTATTCAACATAAACATTACATAATTTCCACCTACTTTGGTCGAATTTCTTTTGCCTCAGGTTGCAGACACCTAAATTGCTAGCTGGGCCTTATCTTGGACACAGTGTATAAAATATATACTTTATCTGGAATGGAATTCAACACATTACACCTCTGGCCGCTATCATTGACCTTATTTTATAGTGGACGGAGTGCTGGCTAATTCATATTTACTGTCCCACTCACCCCACTACAATCACAGTCATGCTTTATCTGGGATTCGAACCCACAACCCTTGTAGCCAAAGTTAGAGCTAAAAACATACTCATCTGAGCTACACAGATTGGCAATTAAATTTATCTATTCGTCAAGTATCTCATCCACCTAATAGCCTGTCTCTCTCTAAACTGAATTGAATTAGCCTATACTATAGACCATACCACAACAAGGAGTACCATGTGCTTTAACGATTTCTGGTTAAACCTACAGACTAGACCCATTATTCCATACCTTTGGGGTACCTACTCTGTATACATTTCCACTCAAACCCCCTGCTGTGATATGAGTATCAATATCATTTTATATTACATTCAGGGCTCAATGCTCTAAAAAAATTTAAATTTGCAGATGACGAAATAAAAATATCATGTTTAGTGCCTTTAATTTCGTTCATATTTTGATCACACCCTGTGTATGTGTAGCGGATAACACGTTTTATAGCAATAAATGCTCAAAGCCCTGACAGACCAGGGTTACATGACCAAGACCTCTTAAATCATGTAAATGTAGGACATTGAGAAAACACTCTTGAATTGGCAACTAAAGTATTCTTAGTTATCCAACTTTCATGTTCATGTATGACCAAATAACATATGTGAACAAATGTCACATAAATAACAATAGTGATAATTAAGAGTTAATTGCAAAATGTAGTGCAACATCAAGTCAGTTGACTGACATAATTTTAATTAAGACACAAGATTGGAGAATTTTAAAATTTTAACTCAATCAAATTTGTTCATTGGCTCAAGCAACTGAACTGAGGTTGAACTACCGTGGTACAACTGGCCCAGTTTCTAAATCATACTCACTTAGTTGGGTGAAATAGCATTTCTTACCTGTCGTGCCTAATAAATTCCACATCGTGTCCTGCGTGACAGGTCTTGATGCAGTTCACACATATTGCATTACGATCTGTTGTATTGCATGTTTGACATCTATAGAAATCGTGCATGGGAAATGATGTGTAGCTAGATATTTTATATAAACACTGTCCATTAGCAACTGCTTTCTCCACGGCATCCTGGTTATTGAAAATCTTATTCCCCCGCACGATCGGTTGTACACCACTAGCGAGACACAGACCACCAAACCGATTATTAAAGATTTGATTAAATTCTAATGTCGCCGTAGCATTGTTGGTAATTTCCACACCCGCAGCCATTCCGTCAAAAATTCGGTTTCTCCGTAAGATCGGATGACTTTGTGTAGAAATTAGAACACCAGCTTGAGCGTTTCGGAATATATCGTTTTCCTCCAAAATACCTTTACCTCCGTTAAAAATGCAGATGCCACCATCACGACCGTCAAAAATTTTGTTACGCTTTAAAGTTGGATTCGAATCCGTTTTAATCCAAACACCTGCCATTGCATTATCAAATATTTCATTTTGTTCCAATAATCCCAAACCCCCATTATACACTAATACACCACCGTTTTGCCCGCCCCATATCTTGTTTCCCCGTATCACAGGATTGCTACCTGTTCGAATTTGGACACCCGAATACAAGTGATTGAAAATATCATTGTCTTCCAATTTACCATGACCGTTATCGTAAAAATACACTCCCACTTGCTTGCCTGAATGAATGCGATTCCGCCGCAACACAGGGGTACTCCCCGTAGTTATCCACACTCCTGCCAAGGTGTTCGCGTACACTTCATTCTCCTCAATGAGTCCTTGCCCCTTTTCGTGCACATATATTCCGCCGTGCTGTCCGTGATGTATTTTATTATGTCGAACAATAGGATCACTATTGGTCCGAATTTGAATACCCGCAAGAGCATTACCGTATATATTATTATGTTCTATTAAACCCCTCCCTTCACCAAATATATACACACCACCTTGATGACCGTTATATATCTCATTCCGTCTAATCGTCGGATTACTATTAGACGTGATCCAGACACCCGCGAAATTATTCGAATGTATTTTATTGTCGATAAATTGCCCGAGACCATTTTCGTGAACATAAATACCACCAGTTTGTCCATGATGAATTTCACAGTGCACTACTGTCGGATTTGCTCCCGCTTTCACTTCAAACCCAGCAATTCTGTTGTTGTGAATATCGTTTGCTTCAAAATAGCCCTACAAATTAATTATTATAAGTTAAACACAATGTAAAAATTACTCCGTTAGATGTGACAAAAATGGCCCACCTTGTAACTTGTCAGAATACACGTCACAGAAAATAATATCGCAACAGAAACTTACCAAACCATTGTCAAAGGTAAATATGCCTACATCTCGTCCATGATGAATGTGATTTCTTCTCATGATGGGATTGGCATAATTTTTTACCCAAATACCGGCGAGTGCGTTGCGACTTATTTCGTTATCCTCGTAAGTCCCTTGAGCGTAATCCGTTACATATAAGCCGACATTTTCACAGTCACTAATATCGCAATGGCGAATTAGGGGATTTGCTCCGACACCACTTACGCAAACGGCGGCTCCAACTGTAAGTATATTTTGTACAGATTAGATTTTTCATTATGTTATAACTTCATAAACAAAGGGGGGGGGGGGGTTTACTATGTCGGCGTTATGCTGTGAGACTGCATTGAGTCTATGTGACTGCGAAATGAGCACAGTACTGCAGTGTCAGTCGTTTTCGCGGTCTAAAAACACTGGCGTTTTAGATAGTCTCCCCTTTTGCAAGCTGCATAATAGATCAAGCTCTCAAATAAGCCATCGCATAAACACATTGAACAAAAGAAGAAAATTGCAATGGTCCTACAAGACCCACTGAACTGGTTCCATCAAAGACATAATAACATTCTCCATGAGTTCAAGTTCATGATAACCAAATATGGAACTGAAGAGGCCAAAATAAGACAACTATACCTCTAATGAACAACTAAAAAAAATGTACTTGATTTGTATGGTCAAACAATAATCATTACGTTTGTAGGTATATTGGAAATCCATTATTTATTGTCAAAATTTTATCGCTTCTGATTTTATTAGTTTCAAATATCAAAGATATGAAACGGTCACTTCAAACAAGTCTACCTAATGTGGTAGTTTCGAATTATCTCTCGCTCACAGTCCAGTTTTGACTTTTTGTGCAAATTCTTTTGTAAATCTTGAAACTGCTGTGAATATTTATTCAGGAAACAATCATGCCGAATATCCCGAATGCTTAAAAATAGCCTGATTAAATTTTGTCGTTTTTCGTCAAATTGTTTTGCTAAGAAGAAATACTTCTCGTCAATTTTCCACCCAAAATTTAATCCGCTATTTTTATGCACTTAGGTTATTACTGTTGATTAATACACCCCATTAATATTCGACCAATCAGCTCGGTGGTTGTTCAAATTCTAACCAATCAGACGATTTTTTAAGTGATTAAAAGCTAGGTAGCTTTTTATCAGCGATAAAAATTCTTGCAGGAATTCGTAAAATATAGTGGCTGTGCGATTTACTGTCTTGTATTAATCTCCCTAAAATACACTCCATCTTGGTTTTAAATCAGGATAATTTTATTTTTAATTCACGCAAATTTTGTTGCCTCCTAGAAAAAAGTCTCGATCAAAAGCATAGTTTTTTTCCATTGCAACAAAACTTTCGTGTAAAAATAAAATTATCCGATTAAAAATCAAGCTCTTGTGTATTTACCCTCGAAATTGTTTTTTTTTGTTATATGGGCAAAAGTTGCAGTTCTCGATTTTTTTATGAAAGCCTATAACTTCTATTTTAAATAAATTATCAAAAATGTTTTTTGTAATGATTGATGCCTAATCTGCCGTTTTCAAAAGAAGTATACGAGGTCAGATAAAAATGTATCGGACCTAATCTCACTTTTTTAATGGATTCAATTCAAAAACATTAGAAGTTTTTAAAGAAATTAAAGAAATTCAAAAATGTGAACTTTTTTAATATCATCCTTGATGTGTGATGAGCAAAAGGAAGAATCTAACAGTGGTGAAACACAACTTGAGAAGAAAGGGGGGAATTATTTTCTACAAGTTTTCCGTCCTCACGGTTAGACCAGCGTCTGATAATCTTGCAGAACTAGAAAATAACAAAATTACACACATTGGCAAAACAGCTACTACTAAAGTAACTCCTTGCAATTTAACCAAAAGCATCCCATCGACATGATAAGTGTAAGCCGCTCGTGAACATCCTGAGAATCTAAATTTTTTTATTTCCTCTGTATATGTATTAATCAATGAGGGTGTTTTACATACATTACGAAGATATTTAAGTAAGTAAAGTGTTACGACGAAAATCTGACAGAAAATGAATAAATTCGCCCACTTACCTACAGAGGTACTACGTATAATACAATGGTCAATCGTAGGACTACAATTTTCTCCAACCTCAAGGCAGTAATGTTTGTGATGCGGTACTGTCGACGTAACATCGGGAGAAAACTTAAGAGTTAAGTGACCGGCATACGCCTGCTTTGCACCCTCAACAAACATCACAGTAGATTCGGACTCTCGTTCTAAGATTACCGATTCTGCTACGTTGCCAGGAGCAGCTCCTAAGGAGAATAGGTAAACATTTTTAATTAATTACAATTAACAATTTTACCCATAATGGCAACATCAGAGTCGATAACAAGAAATTCCCCTCTATAAGTGCCGGCGTGAAGAAAAATTAAAGCCCCCTGACTGCTACTATCAGATGTATCACCACTACAAGTGTTGGAAGTAGTACCAGTTATATTATTGCTACCACTACGCTCGTCTGCGTAATCCAAAGCACTCTATGGTGGTAAACTTATAGTAAAAAGAAACGACGAGGGAGCTTTACCTGAACAGTGTTGAAATAACACAAATTGCGACCACGAAATTGCATATCTTGATACCCGGGCCGGACATGAATACCACGATAAAGTTGCCGAAACGATTCCTTCCACGGATTTGGCAAATCCGATTCTTCCGGGCTGACAAATTCGAAAGTCCGCGGTGCTGGATTAAATAGGGGCAAGTCATACTCGTAGACGCTTTGATATAAACGTTTCCTAAAAGCAGTATTAAAATAATCATGACTTGATCTTCGATGAATTGGTTTTGTTGTTTTCTCAAATCATTAAAAATCGTTTTAGTATTTTAAAATTGTGGATAGAAGAAAACAACAATTAAGCAAACACTAAAAGACATAATCGCAAATAAAAGTAATAATTGCAGGGATGTGAGGTTGAAATAAGTTTATTTGGTTAATTTAAATATTAAACACAGAAAATGTAACCTATTATAAAGAAATTGTAAAATGGAAACAAAAAATTCAAAAAGCAATACAAAAGCAGTGATTTTCTACATACCAAATTTCGGTGTCATTGGCGATCGACTGGAATCGTTTACACACTTGGCTAACACGACAAAGGTCTTGTTCCAGCAGATAATTAAAGATAGTGAGTAAAACCTCATCAGGTAATTCATATTGTAAGTAATGAGCTGCTGTATTAGTGCAAGCTACAAACACTATGTAATAAACGATAATTGTATATTTTTAATATTACTTTCGTAAGAAACCGAGCAAGTTCTTCGGGGACGTTTACGAGCTGGTAACATAGCTGATGTGTAACCTTGTGCCGATGTCGTGGGTGCAGCGGGTGAAGTTGGCGAACCAGCGGTAGCCGCACTAGTGCTCGGACCTGCACCACACTCGTGATGGGAAGGCGATTTCCTTCTTAAATCGTACGGGGAATGATGTGTTGGTACAGCACCTCCACTGGTTCCAGGAGCAGCTGCCGAAGTGCCCCCGGAACCAGGGGCGGCTGTTGATAGAGCTGGAATGTTTTGATTGGGAACTGGACAGGAAGGTTCACATGGTTCAGCTGAAACGTTAACACAGATTCGTCATTAATTTTGCACAACTTACAGGATATATCCACTATATATATATATTCAAATAAACTTTGTGGTTTTTATTAGACTAGCCCATGTGTAATTGCATACTGGTTGTACCATTGTTTAATGAATGATTGTTGTACAAAGAGAACTCAGGCGTTGTCTGTTCTGGTGAAAAGTAAGCAGCCAATGTCTGTCTGATACAACCATAAAAGGAAAGCCCTATCATTTTCTGCAGTGGAGAAGAAAGATGCTGGAGTTTTGAGAAACCATTGAAACATGCATCACCTGCCAGAAAGAGATCATAGGTAAGGATAAGGAGCAGTAAGTCCATGATGTTCCAATTATTAAGTGGCAGAGCAAAACGATGCAAGCTTTATAGGGGAGTCGATGGTGTCCGTGAACAGACCTGGGTAGTGCTTGCATGAAAAGTGCTTGCGAATTACTACAATTACTTTGAGTGCTTGCAAGCACAGTGCTTGAACTACTTTTAAAACAAGGGCTTAGGGCTTGGTGCTTGCAATTACTTTTTAAAAGTGCTTTGGTAATCGAAGTGATTGGTTGACATTTTGAAGTGCTTGAAAGCACTACCAGAGTGCTTGAAAGCACTTTCGAAGTGCTTGCAAGCACTTTCGAAGTGCTTGCAAGCACTTTGCGGGTTTTAGGGCTTGCAAGCACTCAAATCCGTCATATTTTTCTTCTCGCCCAGTACGGAGTGGGGTAGGTGCAACTCTAATCGCCTGCGGCGCGTACCTGCTATTGCGTTTATTAGATCGCTGATTTATCATTTTAAGTCATATCAGTTCTCATTTTGTTAGACTGCAGTTCATTGTCATTCGGTCACTGCTTGTTCTTGTGCTCGGTGTTTTAATAGAATACTGATCTGCCACCCAAAAATGCGCTGAAGGCCCTTCAATTTAAACGAGGACTTTGACCAGTTTTTTTTCTCAAATAGGTAAATATGTTTGTATTTGTATTACCTTCATTCTAAGAGGGGAAATGTTTATATCGCTTTTATTTTGAGCGGACAACCTTCAGCCTAATCTGCTGTATCGATCCCCAAAGTGCTTTTAAACCCCAGAGTGCTTTGAAAGCACTTTCAATAAGCCAGACATTGTTTTCAAGTCCTAAAGTGCTTTCGAGCAATAAAGTGCTTGCAAGCACTAAAGTGCTTGCAAGCCTTTTGTGTACAAGCACAGTGCTTGGAAGGCTTGTTGTAAAAGGCTTGGTGCTTTGTCATTGTAAATTACTTTTTAAGAGTAATTGGTAATTGCAAGCACTTTTTAAATCCAAAGGGCTTAGTGCTTGGAACTTGCAAGTACTGTTTGCGAGTGCTTGGTGCTTGAAGCACTTTCTCAGAGTGCTTTACCCAGCTCTGTCCGTGAACACGATAACTGTCTAACGCTTGGACCGATTTGGTTCAAACTTTGCACAGTTGCTCTATATACAAGTAATAAGCCTATTAATTGAAAATGGGTCAAATCCAACGACCCCGTAGGGTCACACCAAGGTGCTCTGCCGCTTTTTTAGATGCTCTTTAGGGGTTTATTTTAGATGCATCATTTTCTTCCTCTGATGGTGTGGGGTAACGACCGCTTTTGTTTAAAAATAACCAATACATAAACAAAAGTAGATTTGTAAACCATAATGTGTTGTTATTTCTTTATGGCTGTAGGTACCTACCTTGTCCTACTGTTTGCAGTACTATGTTGATGTCAATGTAACAGTCTTCAATTTAGTTGAAGGCGGTTTGTAATCAAAATCATTGTCTTCCTCCTAGAACTGGGGAATTGCATCATTTCATACGATACCTACTCATGAAACTGGACATTACTTGTAGTACGCATTGAAATAATAATGGCAGACGATTATCGTGGTTCCATGGTTCCACTTATGTGATGGTTTTGATATTTAGCTACACTCTGCATTTATTTTTTCCCTTCAATATAGTGCTAACCTATTTTTTTATGGTTGTGATTATCTCTGTTACGCCGAGTGTATTATTGTCAAGGACAACATGACCTCGTCTTCAGGTATAAACTCTCAAATAATCGAATAAAGATAATGGCAACCATAACAAAACAAGTTTAAATTGTGCACAACTCTTGTGCAGATAAAGCGAAAACGAAATAATGTTTTGACATCACCAATGCAATGTGATTTAGATAGATCTTTTTTGTCTTAAACCCTCGCTTAAATCCTGAATCAAACTCATACACATAGACGAACAAATGAATATAATATGATACATAGTAAAGATGGTAAATATGTAGTCATAATAGACGGGGATTGTTCCTACAGTCACATGTAGTACCTGCCAAATGTACCTTGATGAAGATATTTCTACAGATCCAGACTAAACTATCGAAATAGTAAAGATCATGTCAAATGGAACTTTGACGAGTGGAATCCTAACAAGCAATATACCAGACGCTATGTGTAGATATCACATTCAAATGCATTAAATAATTGGCAGAACTGAGTATCACTGTAATTTTCTTACCTGGACCTACCTACCATGTTTTCCTTCTTCATTACTGCATTTGTTATATGGTTTATCGTTACGTATTTCTGCATGCGCATCTTTACGCGCACTTCACCTTGTATTCTACGCATGCGCACGTGAGTGGTCCTTCATTCACCACAGATGTCAAAAGAGAACAGCTGTTCTCTAAACATTTGTACTGGCAACACAGCTGTTCAAGTAAGGCAAATAGTGATCATCTAAACACTCACAAAACTGAATCCCAATACAAATGGCAATGGATGGATGGTATCGTGAATTTTGCAGCTCAAACTCTGAGTCTACTTTCACAAGCACATCAATTAGTTGTTTACAATGTTATCTAATTTCGTAAACAGATCTGCATATCTGCTTAAGGGACCAACATTCTATTATTAAAACAAATTAATTGAACAACAGTTCAAAATAAGATTAGATAGATCGCTAAACTTAATACCTAATATAGGAAGATAACACACCAACAACCATTATTGATGGTCAAGTATCACGAGTACAACCATCTTTCCCTAATGACACAGGATTTACAGTTTGGGCTGTTATGAGTGTAAGTGGTGACGCGAATTGAATATCGAATAGTACAGTGCACATCATAAATTCGACACACTTTGAACGTAGGTTAAAAGTATTGTATTCCCTGGTAATTAGGCGAATAGGTGCGTAAGTGATGTTTCGTTACCCCAGTATGAACACATTTGCAAAACAAAATTCTCACTGTGATGTTAAATGGCATATTTGAACAATCAAGTACTCCAGTTTTAGTAATTCCGGACTTAATTAAAAGTGAAACTTTCGAATGGCAATTGCAATTTTACACTTTCATTTTCTAAAAATTTTCATTAACATTAGACTTTAGGTACATCCAATATACTTTTCTAACAATTTAAATCTGTCAGCAAGTAATTTAGGTTATTTGTGTATATTTATCTCTTATGTGGGCTGTCTTATTTTTATTATTTTTGTGCGACTTTTAACCAATTGAATATAGCAAATTCGAGGATTTTTTCAACTAGTAAAATAAAATTGTCGTTTCCCCGTAAAATTTCTTGAAACGAAAGGGAAATTGTGGGTGAGAATACATTAAAGAGGTGATTATTTATTCGGGCCGAGGCACGGTATAACTTTTTAGCATGATCAGTTCGACTTACCAGACGTTGTTCTAGAAGGTGTGGGGATTCTGTTTGCGCCTTTTCTTCGAGATCTCCTTACATACGACCTGGAGGCCGTAAATGAGGCGCTCGGCATCTTTTCCACCACACAAATTATAAAAAATCGACTGCTAAACAAAGGAAACACTACCACTGGCACAGGCAGCCATTTTCACGGTTCTTGATAGAGGAGTTCGGTGACCAATGAGGATGACCTAGACATAGTCACGTGACCACGAAAATGTCAGCATGGAGCTTGAATTCAAGGCGATCTTTGGCTGTTTTCTATCAGTAACAACATGTTTCTTATTATCCGTCGTCTATATTTCGAGTTTATACGTTTGGGATGCGAAATACGACAGGTAACGACTTTTAAACATAAAATTAATTCAATATTTCACACTTACAGGGGGCAACAGAACTACGGGATTCTTGCGGCAACACCGCCCCCTTTCTCCGCACCCCGTAAATACCGATTGTCTGCTATCATACACTGTTAAAGCAGAAAGTTGCGGTCGCATTTCATTTTATATTAATAGTGTACTTTTAATCAATGTACGTTACTTATGCATTTTCTTTTTCAGAAATCATCCCTCTACTATAAAGAAGAGATTTGTTAGCGTTTTTATTATGATGTTTGTATCCCCGGTCTTCTTATACGCCTCGATTAATAAAAGGATTTTGGAAAGGGTATGTATAAGTAGCAATTGAATTTATAACTATCAGAAGTGTGGATTATATTTATATGCAAGAAATGTGATGATTTTCAATAGTTGAAATTATAAATACGTGGTGAAAAATGAGTAAATCCCCTTGACATGCAGCAATAAAAATTGCTCAAGTAGCAAACTAGCAAGAGAAATTGCGCTAGGCATGCGCAGTTCAAATTTAGCTGATTAATTGCTGTAAGAGCACGAACTTATTTTATAAGTTCGTGTGTAAGAGACTTGCATGCAATTTTTTTTCAATTATTTCATGAGCCAGATCAGCGTGGAAATTCGCTATACATGGCTTTATTATCTTTATGTCTTGTATATAATTATAAGCTAGGGCTAGGATTTTAATGACGTTAAAAATTAGCGAAAATGCAAAATAAAGAATGCAATTATGACTTAAAAATCTCGCAAAAATGTCATAAAAATTTAAAAAGATGACATTTTAAATGACAAATAAATTTTATTGATGAAACTGAATAAAACCGTAAAATTATTTTAAGAAGCAATTAGGTAAGATATTGTTGGTTCATTTCCACCCTCTGCAGGCCTGTCGTAGAAAGCAGGTGTATTTGTGTGTAAGTTACTGACTCACTTCCGCATCCCAAAGAAATTTAATCCCTTGGGCATTCCTTTGTGGATGACTTGAGCACGTTCCTCCGTGGTCAAAGTTGGCGTGGTTTTCATGGCTCCAGTGACTCTCAGACAGGCGAGTCTCTGTGCCTTTCCTAGCAGCTTCCTGTAGGTTGCCCTGCGCAGGCCACCACACAAGTGGTGCACCTGTATGCACAGTATTATTAGCCTTATCCACTGTAGTGTAAATCCCCTATACCAGTCGAGGGTTCAAGCACCATGTACAATCAAAATCCCTTCTACATGCCCATAGACATGCAGTGGCCTTTTTGGTTATTGTTATGTAGAGCAATTAAACATTGCAATCTGGTTGTAAGGGCTTGTAATTGACCACTTATTATTGCTGAGTTTGTTTTGATTGTTTTGGCAAGTATGTAGATTTTCTGATGGACGATAATTTATACAAGGTCGCTGATAAGTCTGGAAACAGTCGATTATAGGGGATAATATGCAAGTTATGAAAAAAGTTTTTACAATAGTTTTGGGGTTCTTCAATAATTTTAATTATGCAGGGTTGGTCATAAAGGTGTGGCACATCAATATTGCATTTTTTAATGGAACACCGTGTATATTATTCGATATATATTCTTTTAATTTTATACTTTTGTACTCAAATTCAATCATTTCCTGGTTATCAAGTTTTGAACATATGAATTAACATTCACGAGACAGGTGAGAGGGTGTTTACCCCTTTATTGTCGTCCAAAATAGCAAACTTAGGTTCTCCCGTCATTTCCATGGACATTCTGTTAATTTTATATCGCGCTCCGCGTCCCATTTTTAACAAGAATGACAGATGTCATTGCTATGTACAATGTGATTTGTTTCACTTGATCTACCCTTTACCGTTAAAGTGATCACTTTATTTACCCTTACGGTTAAAAAGCCTATTAAAATGTCAATTTAACATCTGCTATAAAAGAAAGATTTTAACATGTTTAATTATCATGTTGATAAATGATCTGTATGATTTTAACGATAAAAACTAACACATTCAAAGTTACTAATTTTTCTATACTTTTTTTAGTCGAGCATATGGGAAATAATGGGATTAAAGATTCACGGTCTTTCGGAAGCCTTTTTAATCCCATGGTTTTTAACTATGGTTCTGTTTCTGGGGCCTTTATTTATGCAACTCGTCAACGGTAGTTTAAAAAGTTACTTAAGTGAGTATAACATAACATCACATTTGATCCTACAAACCGTATTTTTAGAACCAATGTATTGGGTTGACAGTATGCAAAATCTAATTTGGCTTAGAAATCATGTGGTAGCACCTTTGTCAGAGGAATTTACATTTAGATCGTGTATGTTACCTTTATTGCTTCAAAGTTTTTCACCCTCCACTGCAATATTTATTTGTCCGTTGTTTTTCGGTGTAGGTAAGTACGCAATGTAAGGTTAGAACCAAGTAATGTTATGGTGGCATTTACAAACTGATCACGAGAAGGATTTTTTGGAATTTCCAAGGTCTGTAAATGGCACCCTAAGGTTGCGCCATACGTACAACGTTTTATCTGAGACTGAATACCTAGGAAATATGTTTAAATTCAAAAACCTTAGAAGTATCAATTATTTTGACTCATTGCCGTTTAGTTTTGAAATCAAGTCGTTTGACTCACTATTGGCAGCAGCTGATGTTATGTGACTATAACATTCCTGACAGATGCGCAGTAGGTAAAGTAGCAACGTCGATTGTTTTTAACAAAAACGACAACTGAAAAGAAAATTCTTACATTTCGGTCTCAGGTAAATGAAAGTTACTTGCTGTAATTCTGTGTCTAAATTTACTTATCAAATTTTAGCTCATTTTCATCACATGATCGAACGAATACGTAAAGGACTAGATTTTAAAACAGCATTCTTAGCATCGTGTAAGTGTCAATGACATAATACTGCATTTATGTTTAATAGTTAAATGTTCTCAGGTTTTCATTTTACATACACAACAATTTTTGGAATGTACTCTGCATTTTTACTATGGCGCACTGGACACTTCGCATCGACATTCATTGCACATGCGTTTTGTAATCACATGGGAGTTCCCGATATTCAGGAGTTACTCACATACAAAGGTTATTTTAGATTGTTAATGTTTTCAGTCTTTATTACAGGATTAGTGTTGTGGATTTGTTTATTATATACATTAACAGAGCCCTCTTGGTATTATAACTACAAAGATATATACCTACTCTGAAATAGGGTAGGTATACAAAAACATTAGGTTAGTCAATAGTACATTGACTTCACATGCTCAATGTAAAAAATCTATTGTTGTTACTCTGTTGAGAAGCCAATTTCTATTTTACTAATTGTTAACAAATTATTACTGACTATATCTCTGGCAATCATATCATGTACATATTTTGTGGTTGTGAACATGTTATCATTGTAATATCGTGTTATGTAGATACCTCATAACATAGTTGCCAAATTATTAATAAAAGATCTATAACAGCGAGTATCTATAGTTTGCACGATTATCTGCATACTTTAATAGAATGTCTGGGCATGGTTCTCTATGTAATTGGAACACCACTACATTGATTTCGTGATGTGTCCAAGATTAATAAAATCATGATGCCAGCCTGGTTTTCATGCTTAATCATGCCATCTCGTTGTACGTTATGCCATCTATGGGCAGTCCCCTTACTCGTTATAACTCTGAAATTAATAAAACTTTCAGTATGATTCTTATATCACTTGAGGAGAACAAAATTATGTTATCAATGGTTACTCGAAATTGAACAAGTCTCATCATAAATCTTTACCTCAATTTTACAACTAAGTACAATTCTGGAAAACATTCATTCCCCACCACTAGAAACAGTAGATAGCATATTTATAGGGGGTGCTCAAGTATGTGCCTCGCACTATGCGTAATTTGCCTTTTATAAATGTTACTGGAAAGTGAGAAGGTATAAGTGCCTCTGCACCTCACCCTACAGGCATGGGCCCATGACCCAATAATACAAGAGGGGTCCACATGGACATTTGATTATTATTGTTGATTATAGTATTAGTTTTTAAATATATTTTGCATTTATATAGATTAAGATACAGTAACAATGACCAGTTGCTCTAATCTCAAATTTTGCATGGTAGAATTGGCCCTCAGTTTGACACCAAAGAAGAGGCCTTTCAGCTTTATTCAAATCATTTGTTCGGACGGGAGTATCAGTATTACTGCAGCGTCATGTGCAGCATTAACAGAACAATACCTTTCAATCTTCTACAAAGGAAGCAAACACCAAACAATTGATCAATTGTGGTCACGGAAAATGATAAGTGTAGAGGTTTAGGCCTAGCATCTATGAAATAAACCAATATTGTGCTTATTTGTAAAATGATAATCGCTTAGAGGAAATACTTTTTATTACAACAATAAATAACAAAATAAACCTTGTAGTAAGCCGTACAATCTAAAATCAGTTATATAAAATGAATACTAATTTGTATTGGAAGAATGATCTGCCGAATCTTGCCATTGATTTAAAAATGCCAAATTGCTAGATTTCAATCTGACAGCTGCTGCAAGTGACGGCGATGGAGACATACAAGGCGTTGAACATAGACTATTGCTTAAATCGCATTGATCTAACAAATGAAGCAACTCTTCTGGAGACGGACCGCCATTCTCTTTGTCAACTGAAATAATTCCCTACAATATTGGGAGGAATACTTTCACAAACGCACCTGTATCAGTCTTATTAATGAGATCAAGAGCTGTGGTAAGATCCCACATCTGTATAGCGCCATACGAATGTCCAGTAAATATGAATCGACGTGGTCTCGAGCCCATTCGATTGGAGCCTTCACATTCGTGTACACAAAAAGCGCTTACTGTCGTACTGTCAACTGATTTTATAATACAGACCCTATAGTAGACTTTATATTTAATCGCATATTTGTTTAAGAATACTTGACCTCTTTCCGTTACTCGCAAGCCTTACATATAACTGATCAGTCTCGGGAACAACTTTCTGTATGAAAACCTGCTCGTCATTTTGTTCACCGAACGGTCCACACACATTAGCAGCCGCGTGACTTATTCGAGGTTCTACAGCTTCCAATGCAATTATCTTAAACGATGCTTCCGGTGTAGATCCGGGCTGCGTCGAGATCATACCACGAAAACGAGTTACTCGCCAACTACGCACGTGATTGTAATCACAACAAACTGAGACCAGATACTTTTCAGATAGTGTTACCTGCGAAATGTTGGAAGTGTAGTGTATACAATAAAATGTACTTACTTTTGTGACTGGACTTTGATGTACATTGAACGTTTGAAGCAATTGTGGACCGTGGCCTACAGTTTCAGGGTGTTGTACAATTACGTGAACGGATCCAGATCTTGTTCCATAAGCAATTTCCAGCCAATTACCGCATAAATCTATTTAAAAAATAGTAGGAATAATTTTGTGTTTTGAAAAAGTTCATAGTTCACAAGGTAATGGAGGAATTAAAATAAAATTATTGCGTTTAAATAATTATCAACCAGTTCTGTTTTGTATTAACAGCCTTCATTATTAGGCTTTTTTTTTCATTTTCAAAGAATAATTAATTTTTTGCACTCCTGGCACCAACGTTTTCTGATTACTAAAAGAACTGCTTTCAACTTTAGTGGCTCAAAAGCGGGTCTAACAGTTATTTTTATACAAGACAATAAAGAAATGTTTTAACCACCTAGTGAAAGATGTTAATTCAGGAGTGGCATAACAACAAGTTAATTAACTTTCATGAGATGGTTAAAACATCGCTTTATCGTCGTGTATAATACAAAACTTTATTTTATAGCAGAAGCCATATAAATACATATTATAAAGCTTCTGAAAATTATGAATTTAATTTAAATGTGGAAATGGCATGCTTAGGTCCCCTCCTGTCGTCTCCATTGAAACAATATTGTTCTCTGTTCTGATTTTTTGAACTTCATTTTACTTCATGCTCTGTGTCTCATTTTTAATAAGAATGACAATGAGCAATCATTTTTTCTATTTACCATTGCCATTAAAGTGATCACTGTTAAAGAGTAATTTACCCTACTCATTCAAAAATGTCAATTTAACGTCTGCTACAAAATAAAGAAATTACAGTCTCTGGTACATGTTTAATGGACAAATCTGTGAACGCTTTTGGTCCTTTTTTTGAACCAGGTGGACAATGGACATTAAACATTAGCAAATCAATTTTGAGTCTTATTTAAAATAAATAGATTTAGTTAACATTGAGGTAAACATGCGAGGTACTGTATCTCCACTCCAGCACTCCACTTTCTCCCCATGACCACTTCTAGTTCCCTCATTGGTTAATATACTTACTCCTTTGCTCAAATGTTACGATACTTACTTGTTTTTGGAGTTAAATACACAGAAATTGCTGTTATTGCTTCATTATTGATATCTCGATATAGTTCAGTGACTAATAAATCATTATCCTTCATGCGCAGGGGAAACTTTTGCATGTCTGAAGAAGACAACTTGCATATTTGAATCAGTAACCAGAATGCATACCTATGTAACAAATGCATCCATTATTACAGCCGAGCAACAGAAATGAGCCGGCAGTATCAAACGAACTTATCGGTACAACATCTTGCGTTTGCCAATGCTGTGTCATTGCGTGCCACACTCCGAGTTTACCAGAAGGTGATATAGCCACTAACTGACTTCCGATGAAGAACAGATACTCCACCTTTACATGTAAATTAAATATTCCTAAAAATTCGTAAATCAAAAATTTTTTAAACACGGGGCATGATTCTGTATACAGGGTGGTGCATGGTAAGTAGAAACCGAGACAGGAACATAGGGATTTAACATGGGAAATTAGTTTTATGCAAAATCCTGCCCTCCTGTACATTTTACAGAAAAAACTGTAGAGTTCAAAGTTGTTCAGAATTAAAAGATGCATACAAAACTGTTTTTACATGTTTTATTGAGATTTTGGTATACCCGCAAATTTAAAAATAAAGTTCAACATTTCTGTTATTAATGGCAATTCATAAAACAACGGCTATTGCTACTAATAACAGAAATGTTGAAACTTATTTTTAAGTTTGCGGGTATACAAAAAGCTTAACATGTAAAAACAGTTATGCATACATCTTTTAATTCTGAACAACTTTGAACTCTACAGTTTTTCCTGTAAAATGTACAGGAGAGCAGGATTTTGCATAAAACTAATTTCTCATGTTAAATCCCCATGTTCCTACTTACTGTCCACCACCCTGTATAATTATACATATTTTAAAAATGTAATACCTATATTTGTTTTAGTTCCCTCTTCTGAGATTCCCCACAGTCTCACCAATGTACCGTACGATATAGCAACCATCTTAGATGCCTCGCCTGTACCTGTAGAACCTATTTTGGCATTAATAGCAATTCGTTCAATACAGTCGTCGATATAAGGACTTGTAAAAACTTGTTGCCATCCACTCGAATCTTTCAGTCTAAAAAATTCTACAAGTTACAAATGAATAGTAAGTAAGCAAAACTACCTATAACAAACAACAAAGTGTGCGTAGGCAACAGCAATCCAATTGTGATGAGCTTTAATGATTTGCACGGGTAGCGGATCCATATAAGCCAAACCTTTAACAATTATCAAGTAATTATGGCACAACCATCCCTATACTCATACTAGGATGCCTGCGATCTAACGAAGCAGTTCTTGAATGCCCAGATACGGGTGGGCCTCTGGCAGTAAGACATCTCAAATCTTGAGTGCTTCGGTTACATATTCCTGATAATCCCATGCGCAGTTCCAGTGAAGAGTTTCTGGAATGACCTTAAAGAACACAACTACTCAATGGCATTTGAGAAAATAGATAAATACCTATAGATCTATTCTGCACAAAGTTACCATTAATAACTTGACCACTAGCACTTTGGAGTAGAGGATACTGACCCTCGTTGGAGACACTACTACTAGAACCGGTAACCCCACTACCCGAAGTTCCCAAATCCTGCAACGGAATACCTAAAAAAACAATAGAGTTGGAGGTCTAGAAGAAGAAGTCGAACATACAAGGTGGTGGAAGATAACCGTAAAATAACACATCGCCGCAAGTAGATTCTGACATTTCCTCACATAGTACCAATCTTTTTACTAGAGGTGCGATGCCATAATACTCCGCTTCATGTCTTAGAGTCTTAATTTCGATGTCTTTTAATTCTATTTCTCTTGTGCGTAAATAATTTAAAATCACAGAAAATAGTTTCGGATCTCGATCAATAAATACAGCACCTTTTTCGTCACGTAACGTTGGAATTCTACCATTCAGTAATGCGGTAAAAAAGGTATCGGGAATCCAGGTGAGTGTTTGAATGGAGGTGGAGAACCTAAAATAAACAACTTAGAAAGAATAAAAATCAGAAGAGTGGTAATGTGCCTTTTGCCTCCAACGTTCAGGTGAAGGATGTCTCCAGAATGACTCTGATTAAATGTGGCCATTATTTAATGTTAACAACAGCCACTTTTCTTTTCAATTCAATAACTTTTAAATTCCATTTTTCTTAATTAATCCAAATAGCTCCGAACTAATTGTCTCCTGTTGGAACTGACCTTTTGATTACTGCAGCATTTTAATGTACATTTATTTGATTTCTATTGCATTGATTATTATTTTGTTTTTGTTATTTTCTATTTTTAAATCACTGCATTAAAAAATTAGGTCACTTAACCGTACATTTCAGAGGCGGAGGCGGTGAAATTCTTAAATTATACAGGGTGTAGGCAGGGGCGTATTTTCAGTTTTTGGGACGATCCCAGGGTCTCGTGAGTGGTGAATGTAAAGGTGTTCCGATCGCCGCAATAATTACATTGTTGCTACAGATACTTTTATTTGAGTATTTACTTAGAAATAAATAGATTAAAAAATTGTAACTATAATAGATACCTTTGTTTCAGTGTATCTAGATATACAGATACTTATATTTTGTATTTAGATAGCATTATACATAGTGGAAAAAAAGAAGTCTAGAAGGCCCTAGAATTGAGTTTTAAAAAAAAAAAAATTAAAACATATGTTAAAATGACATTTTAATGGTTTGAATGAGTGATAAAGTAAGTGATCACTTTAACCGTAAGGGTAGATAAAGTGAAACAGATGAGTGTGCATTCTAATGACATATGTCATTCTTACTTCAAATGCACGATGTAAAATGACGTCCAGAACATATGACTATTCTGTTTCTATAGCAACGATCGCGACGAGACAACCTAAGCTTGCTATTTTTGACGTCTCTAAATTAAATTCAGAATTGTCAGAAGCTTTCCAATGGCTTCTGCTATAAAATAAAGTTTTGTATTATACACGACGATAAAAAGAAACTAACCATCTCTTGAAAATTAATTCACTCGTGCCTGCGCCACTCGCGAATGAATATATTTCACTTAATGGTTAAAATATCATCTTGTATAATAAATAACTATTCATCTACCAGTTTACGGTTGTGTAAAAAGGTGCAAATATTACTTTGAAACTCTCAAATTCAAGTTAGCGTTTGAACGTATGTACGCACGTAGTTACGGAGGTACGTACATACATACAGACGGAAAAAATGTTATTCTTTAACAGTTGCATAAAATGATCTAGAACCTCGACATTTGATAAAATTTTAACATGTCCAAAAAACGGTGATCGCAATATAGTCACCTAGCTCGTGGTAGGAGCGCTACAGAAAATCGTGGTGGTGGCATTGAAAGTGATGAAACCTGATTTCACTATGAAACAATTGAAAGCGACAATGTATGTTCGAACAAAAAGTTCCTGTAGTCCTCTCGTTCCGAATAATGCAAGAAATTGTGAATGAGTGCAGGGCCGCCGATAAGGGGGGTTATCCGGGGCAAATGCCCCGGGGCCCGGTCATATTCTGGGGGCCCGGCCAAAAGAGATTTTGAAACCTGATTTTTAATTGTATTTTTTAACAGAAATCTATATGAGAGAGTTCCTAATTACGGCACAGTAGCAGAAGGCTCGCTAGGTAAAAAACCGTTTGAGATCGACTATGGGTCAATATCATTAGATCAATCTCGGTTGCTAGAGAAATTAATTTAGAGCGACTGATATTCACTTTTGCTAATAAGAAAATCCGCAGAGTTAAATTGTAATTTTGTTATTTGAATTCTAAGAATTCGTAATAAATTATGAAAATTACTGTGTCTGTATGAAAATTATTCAAATGTTCTCCTTTCAAATCTAAGTAGTCAAGATTGAAAATGTCTAGTTTAAGATAAGAGGGTGATATGGACAACAAAAATTTCAATTATAAGGGCCCGATCCAAAAATATTCCCGGGGCCCGTCGAGGCTAACGGCGGCCCTGAATGAGTGAAGCGCGGTTTCTCATTTTGTACCACTCTTTAGGACCACCGTCGTTTTTCCTTTTGCCAGTTGTGCCTGCAAGATGGTAAAAAGAAGCTTAGATTTTTTAATTTCCGACAGCGGCCACAATAAATTATGTTATTTATTGCCAATTTTGTTAGCACAGATTCAACCTTCCAGTTTTTTGTTTTCTCTCATACCGCATACGTGCTTATACGTATGTTGGAGAAACTTAACATGAATTACCTATATACAATTTGCAAAATCGACCAAAGAACTTTATCTAAGCAATAATACCTATTTAGTTTTGTGAGGCGATTTTTTTTTCTCTTTTTGGTTTTTAAAGGGTGAATTGAAAAACGGCATTGCCGAATTCATTCCTTTTTTGAGCTACTTTTCCTTTTTTGTTGTTGTATTTTTGTTTTGTTTTATTCATAAAGCTCAAATAAACTTTATTATTATTATTATTGTACTACAGATAGATCAAAATATCTCGCCGTACACTTAAACGTACCTATATTCTTTCACATAAGTATAAACATGATTACATTTGGGTACTTTTTTTGTAATTAATTCATAAAAGTCCATGTTCATATTTCGGTATTATTCAAACAGCACGAAACAAATAGTTGGCTAATAAGTGACTTCAAAAGTCAACGCACTTCAAATTTACTCCAATTAGTATATAGACCATAGGTAGGACACACATTTTCGATTCATTTGATATGAAATCGAAACTAAACGGTGAGTTAACACCAATTCTTATTTATTATTTGGAATACAAACTTAAATGGTATGTTGTTGAACCTACTTGTAGATAATAGTTTATACTTTCACCAATTTTCTTTCGCATCGTTTTGTTTTCTTGAAATACTTGGAGGTACCCATATTTTGGTCAAATTAAAAATTAGTAATCATAACAAAAAATTATAATTTTGTTCCGTTTCATTGTTTTTGTCCGCACGCTGTTTTCCGCGTTTGCAGTAATTTGATCTGAAAATGTTCATATGCAAACGCTTCCAGTAGTTGTTCTTTTTTCCGAACTCCTGCACTTCCGTCTAGATATCATGTTTCCGTTCGAAAGCCGTTCCGTATACATAGAACATGTGATCTTTCACAAATGTATAGGTTTGAACATGTTACCTCCACATTGGTTGCCAATGATGATTTTTTAGGTTATTACTCGTTGTATAAAACTTACCGTTTCTGCTTGGTCTATACGTATATTAAGACCTGTTAGTGTTATGTATTATGTGGTAAACAGTGTAATGTCGTGTATTGGCTACGAGTAATGTATTCGTATATCCAAAACTTAATTTGGATCGATTTATGACAAGAAAAATTGGGAACGTTATGCTTAGGCAAAGCGCCAATTTTAAATGAAAAAGGACACAGGGTAACATTAACATAGCATAGGCATAGACTGTAATGCGCACGTCACGTTCATCTTGCCTGCCTCGCGCGTCTCCTCACGTCCCTTACCCCGAAAAACCGAAAAGCGTGCTATAATTTGTTTAAATTCAAATTACAAAATGAAAAATATACTTATTCACTGTAACGTTTGGTATTGAAAATTCTTATATACAGCCAGCCAGATTGGCCATTATTTGCCACGGTGAAGGATGAACACAAAGTTTGGCCACAGTGATATGTGACATTGATGCTGTCACACTAGAGACTAGAGTAGGCCATTGGATTGGTGAATATTTTGTTGCGACCGTTGCAATCCTTGATGGAATCAATAGGTGGATAGATCGTAATATTTCATCTGCATACATCAGTATGTAGTAGCATCCTGCATCTAGGATATCATTGATAAACACTATAATAATAATAATGCCCAAGGTTTGAGCCTTAGGGGAAGTCCATCAGTCGACTCGGTGAAATGCTTTGCAAAATTCCGTATTTCCAATAGGATCAGTGATGGGGTGGCAAAAATTGATGCAATCTTTAATTTAACAAACTAGCATAGTTTAAAAATAACTACTTTCTGTCGTTAACAAATACGCAAGTAAACAAATGATTTATGTGGCGTGAAGTAGTGCATGCATATTTCCATCATAATCACAGAAGCAGATCAATCGTTTTATTTGATACTATCCGGAACCAACTGATTACTTTGTTTTGTATGAAATGAAAGTGATTTAGTTAAAAGGTGTAGTTGCGGGCAGTTGATGCCGCGTATTGGGCGTTTTGGATCACTGCTGTTTTGTACCTACTCAAAAGATACAAATGAAAAACTTTCACTAGACTGATAATGGACTAGGAATAATATAATTGTCGCATATGCTCATTTTCTAAAGTTATACCTACTACGCAATAAATAAACTCCTAAAGCTGATCTAAAAATCCGGCAGAGCATGACCTCAGTGTCACCCTACGGGGTCATTAGATTTGGCCCACTTTCAAATTTCAATAGGCTTGGTACAAAGATTGAACCGAATCGACTCAAGCGTTTGACAGTTATCGTGTTCACGGACGTACAGACAGACGAACACCATCGACTCGCCTACAAAGCTTCCATCGCTTTGCTCTGCTGCCGTAATACCTACTTCAGTTTTTAAGAAAATACCTAGGCCGTTTGCAAGCATAGTTGCATTACAATCGATTGCCCTTAATATTTCGTTAATTAAAAATAACAAGAATTTCCGTTAGGATGCACGCATTGAACGGTTTAGATATTATTCAATATTTCTCTCGGAGTAGTCTACGTAATCATCATCCTTGTAATATATTACAAATCGGCAGCATTTGAGTAACCCGAAAGTAAATTTGAATAACTTAACCTTAACATCGCCCCATAGATCCGCTTTAATTGATAGGAGATGCCAAAAACATCGGCAATTTGTAAGTAGAAATGACCCTGAAGAAATTACGAAGAGAACAACAGAGACGCCTTGGCATACAAATATTCATATTAAAGAATAGGCAATTCAAATTAAATAAAGATTAGAAATTGCTATAATTACGCTCGGTACCTACCTACCTATTTGCAATAAATAAATTTCTTGGCAAAGCTCAACTGCGATCGCGCACGTTGGCGTAAATAGAGCAAAATAGTTAGATGTTTCACGTTTTTGTATTTTGTTTTGTTTAGTATAAATACAATTAAACTTAGAATGTATCAGACCTTTCCTACCCAAGAGAGCCGAAAGTGGCACACTTACACTTTCACAAGAAATTACATCGAGAAAGAAATCATTCAGTTTATATGTAGTAGACAAACAAACGCGAATAAAGTAACATGCTTGTGTGATAGGTATTCAATCGTACTTATTCTTACTTATTTTGAATAATGCAAACGGTGCATCAAGATCACTGTAAAAAATTGAGAGGTACCTAACAGCTATACCTGAAATTTAGCTAAAGGTTAAATTTTAATTTTTAGATGATTTATCTACGCAAGAAACAATTAAATTGATACAGGAAGACTGTACTTCAATTTGTGATGATTCTTATCAAGAATTTGAAGATCGCCAAACTTTGCCTCCGTTTTATGATGAGGAAAAATTTAAAAAGTGAGTACATGTAGGTACTAAGTATTTATGAATGAATGAGAGTATTATATAAATAAATAAGCGCTAAGTGTTTGCCAATTTTTGTCAGATAACTATGGGTGTGCACCTAGAAAAATAGGTACATATTATCATACTCGCGTAGGTAGCCAATTTTAATTTGGAACAGTTTCTATTTGAATACTGTAATAAGTATTTTAAACACGCGATCGGTACAAGTGAATATTTAGAACTTTATAATAATGGGAAATGAAAATGAAATGATTTTTCTAATATACGTATCGATGGATACCTACATTTGGGCATGTTTATCTTATTTGAAAAAAGTACCTATTCCTCTAAACTAAACTAAAAATGCATGAATATTTAATCGCTATAACAAAAAAATATGGTATACGACCCACAGGATTGTGCCGAGTTTGATCTCCTTTGAGATATTAGTAAACATCGTCATCCCCACATCTCCGGAAGATAAAAATTAGTTTATCCGTAGTGGTAAGTAGCCATTCAACATTGTCCCCAACACAATTTAAAGCACCTATTGTGTGTCACAACGTCATCGACAAGATTCTGTAAATTTAAAAAAGTTCCGAGTTCTTTAACTTGACAGGGTCTAGGACCTAGGTTGTACCCTAGTAGCTGATATTATAGTAGACACCACTCCCGAGTGGTATAAATTTTGCTATTGCGAATTTGCGATCACCGTTTTTTGCACATGTTTATGTTGTCTTCAAATGTCGATGTTTTATTTCATTTTAAGCAATTTTTAAAAAATAAAATTGTTTTCAGTCTGTATGGTACGTACGCAAGGGCATTGAACTTTTTTTTTAAATAGCAATTTTTACTAAATTATTCGTAAGACTTTCTTTTTGTATGTATAACTACATCCTACACATTACGCTAGCTTTTATTAAAAAAATCAGCGTAAAAATATGTCAAAGTTTAAAGTTACAATTTTTAGCTTCCTAGCATGTGCTAGGTAGCTATTGCGATAGCCGTTTTTTGAACATTTCAAAATTTCATCAAATGTCGACGTTTTAGACCATTTTAAGCAACTTTTAAAGAATAAAATTTTTTCCGTCTGTATGTACGTACGTACGTACGTACGTTTGTTGGCAATTTTCTGAGAAAACGGCTCGACGGATTTTGTTGAAATTTTGTATATATGTTTTAGGCATACCGAACAGAAAAATAACGGGGCGGATTTTTGAAAAAAAATTTTGGAGCGCCGTAACGGCATCGAACTTTTTTTTCCAAATAGCAACCTAAAATTTTTATTCTGTTATTTGGAAGACCTTATTTTCCTGTGTACAACCTACAAAAAATTGGGCCGGGTTATATTATCAAAAAACGGAGAAAAAAATTGTCAAAGTCAAAAAATTGTGTTGCATATGTGCAAAACGCAACGATCTTGTTTCTGAAGCAATTTAAACGAAATTTCTATGGTAAGTCCCTTTAATAAAAGCAAACAAAATTCATGCGCAAAAATCGTGTTGCGCATGCGCAGAAATGCAATTTTCTTATTTATGGAACAATTAAAACGAAATTTGGATGGTAGGTCCTCCTAATAAAAGAAAACAAAATGCATGCGCAAAAAATCGAGTTGCGCATGTGCAACATCCAACTTTCTTATTTATGGAGCAATTTTAACGAAAATTGGATGGTAGGTCCCTCTAATAAAAGCAAACAAAATGCATGCGTAAAAAATGCACCTTTCTTATTTTTTCCGTCTGTATGTACGTACATATGTTGGCAATTTCTGGTTTCAGCTAGGAAGCTATTCTGTCAAGAATTTGACACCTGGTTTTCTGCAAAACTGAATTAATTTTAACTGGGAATTGCGATTATTGATTATATGTTGCCTTGTACCATTAAAATAAAATCTAAGATCTATAAACATGAGCAAAACTTTAAAAAAAGAGACAATGGCACGCAGCGACGTCGAAAGTATAGGTCAGAGGGGCGACTCGCCCCCTCATTTTTTACACAAGGGGGGCCGCGCCCCCTCTAAGAATGAGTAGATGAATCACTCAAAAGCGACTAACACATCGTTATTACAGTTTGAGAAGATAAATTCGTCATGGGCCACCAGCGCAGTTAAGTAAACTACCTGTAAAATTAGCACAGGGATTGATGGTACGACACTATTGATCGAGAGAGTGCATTTTTTTGCAGAAAAACTTCATGCTAATGCCAAATACGTGTTGAAGGGATTCTTTACTGTTTAGAAACTACGTTAAATAGTAACAATAGTGGAAGTTTTTAAACACGCGAAATTAAATTCTGTGTCCCTGAAAACTAGAAGAATGGACAGAATTTCACTTAAGTAGTATAATACTTCCGTCGCATTTCTAAAGCCGGTGTTGACATGACATTGACGCTTACCGTGTTGGATTATCTAATTTATTGAGTGGCAGTATATTACTCGAGGTTGAGTAGGTTCGCGTTTCAAGGCTTCTTATCTCATAGAAGGATACCTGTTGGCTGTTTCGTCGTTGGAAGACCTTCTCTATCAAATTGGAATTACGGTATTGGCCGTAAGTTTCCAGGGTCGAAAGGCTACCGACGTTTCAAGGCTCTTGATGCATACCCTCGTTTATCATGAGGGTCACTGTGTCCCGTATACAGGGTGATTCCTATAGTACCTGCCACCGTTTGGGAGCGTATAGGGGGTGCCTAGGGGAAGTCTTTTCATATAGGACACTTGGGGTCGGAAATCCAAAATAAGGGCGCCAGAACCAAATTTATCTTCTGGAATTTCACGCCTGTATGTAGGCAACCCAACCGACCGACGTTTCGCGCGGAGCGATGCAGAGCGAGTTAGCGCGAGGAAGCGACATGGGAGGGAAGGAGGGAAAACGACAGTCAAAAGCAATAACGTTTACAAGTGTTCAACGTGGCCACCGTTGTTCTCAATGCACTTCCTACATCTAGCCAACCACTCCCCTCGAACTCGCGTGAAGACTCCTATGTCCTGGCGAACAGCCTCTCCGGCCATGACGACGCGCGCAATTAAGTCCTCTTCGGATTCGACGGGAGTCTCGTAGACGTGCGCTTCCATCACACCCCACAAGTAAAAATCTAATGGGGTGATGTCGGGCGAGCGGGCAGGCCACTCCACCGCACCTCCACGGCCGATCCATCTGTCCGGATAGGTTTGGTCCAAGTGTTCCCTCACCTGCCGCCCGTAGTGAGCAGGGCACCCATCGTGCTGGAACCAGTGGTCCCAGTACAAGTTCACTGGAACATCCATTAAAAGTTCTGGTAGCACCTCGCGCAGGAAAATCAGGTAATTATGGGCATTTAGACGCGGAGGGAGGATGTAAGGCCCCAGTAGGTTGTCCCCCAGGATGCCAGCCCAAACGTTTAAAGAAAACTTGTCCTGGTATCCTCGCGTAAACGTTTCATGAGGATTGTGCTCCGCCCAGTAGTGGCTGTTACGAGGATTGAAGGTCCCCTCTCTTGAGAATCCTTTCTCGTCAGTAACTAGCACGCTCCTCAGAAAGTTCGGATTAGCTTCTTCCTCCTGGACGACTAAGTTGCAGAATTCCAGCCTCCTTTCATGGTCACCCGGCCGTAACTCTTGCACTTTCTTAAACTTATAGGGGTGTAAGTTGTTGTTGTTGGCGATGTTCCACACTGTGTGTTGACTACAACCCACCTGATCTGCTACAAGTCGAGTGCTAGTACGCGGGTTTGCCTCGAAACGTTCCAACACATCCTCCTCTAAGGCATTTACCAACGGGCGATCGCGATCACGGGCGCTAGTGGGCTGCGAAATAGGAGGAGGTCGGTGTAAACAAACAAACTTTTCGAAATGGGTGCTTAAATGACCCAAGTATCGATGTGCATCACGAATCTGTGTGTAAAGTTAAGCCTCCGTCAGCTTACCTGCAATTGCCCTGTCTCGCACAGTCGGAAGTGAACTTCTTGAAAGACCTGTCTGCAGGGTAACTGACGGTTTGGATACCGCTCAGCGTACGCTCGTCGTGCAGCTCGTGCGTTACCATTTGCCAATCCGTACATGAAGTGCATGTCCGCGTATTCCGTGTTAGTAAAACGTGCCATAGTGTTTATTCACTTGATACGCGCCGTTTAAACAAAATTCTGATCAAGTGTCAGCCACACATCGCCGCCCGAGATCGCTCCGTGTGCACCGCCGGCCGGTTGGGTTGCCTACCTACAGGCGCGAAATTCCAGAAGGTAAATTTGGCTCTGGCACCCTTATTTTAGATTTCCGACCCCAAGTGTCCTATATGTATCAAAATACTCCCCTACGCACCACCTACACGCTCCCAAACGGTGGCAGGTACTATAGGAATCACCCTGTATATTAAAGAATTTATTGATGTTGTCACTTTTGGGTAAGCACTGTCTCTACCTGCAAACGGACTGGGTGTCGTACAATAAGCCCGGCATTATGGCTCAATGGTAGAGCGTTGAGTTATAAATCCGGAGGTCGAGTGTTCGAACCTGGGTTGAGGTGAATTTGTCATCTGTGCCAGAGATGGAAATTACCTTAGACCAGTTTCGAGCATTCTGCCGGCTACTCCGAATTAGGTTTTCCTGCAGTTTTCCTAGTTAGTGAGGTAAATACCGGAGTAGCATAGAACAACTTAAGACCTTCTGCAGAGGCACCTCTAAAAAGCATTATGCGGGTCACCCTGTAATTGGGCGCAAGCCTATTGAGGGCCCAGAACAAGAGAGGGATAATAAATAAATAAATAAGAAAATTATTATTAATTAGAAGTTTTCAAAACTCGTTGAAAATACAAACACTATACAATGAGAAAGATGCCGCAGATAAGATGTGAAGAAATGGCGACCTTCTGCGGTGAATGATTCCAAGGAAGGAAGAAGTTGCATTATAAGCGTGTATGTCTTGCGTAACGTTACGTAACTAAACTAGTCAATAATGCCGAATGTAGCCACTTTATTCACATAAATGCATAAAGCCAAGGAACCAGCATTCCTTTAAAACCAGTTTGATTTCGTGTGTAGTACGATTAAATGGAAATAAAAGTAGGTTCCCCAATAGGTAATTTCGTCACATTTTCGATTTTCTCATACGCAAGATTCAAGATTCTAAATTGCTTGGAAATTAACACACAATGCTTGAAACAATATTAAGGTACCTATTCATGCCACAATCAACCAATTTGTATAGTAGTTTTGTAACTGAATATCGTATCTTTTAATAATTGCGCAAATTTTAATGAATTCTTAATCTTGATTTTAAAAAACTCACCATTCGAATTACCTATCCGATATGCGTCGACTGTTGTACATCTTTAACAAAAGTCATTGAATTATACAAGTAGTTTTGTTAAATTTCTAATCAACAGGTGTTAGTTACTTCGAGGAACTTTTGTTTTCCGATGACCCCTTTCGAAAATGATGCCCAAGTAGTAAGTACACGTTTCATTGCCTACTAATATCACAGATTACCGTACAGTATAGGGAATTATGTGGTTCCTTTATGGAATACGTTTAACAAAACAACTTCAATTTTACTTATAACATTACAATGAGAATACAAACGTAACGAATCAGTTAATTTCGCCTCTTACTAGGTATCGTAGCGCGTATCCCTGACATCGGGGCGCCAGCAGGGGCCATGAAAACTAAAACGATTAGTCAACGGCTAAGGAATGAAGCCACTCTTTCCTTGAAATACGATAGGCCCTCGAGAACGTTCCGTTATTTTTTCTAGAAACCTCCAAAAAAAGGGTTTCTTTTATAAATCCTGTTACAAAGAACATATGAATGTCCGATTTTCTGTGATAGTAAATATTCCTTAAACCTCAAGAAACTATGCAGATGAGAATTTGCGCATGCGCAACCAAACTTTTGTGATTGCACAATCCAATTTTTTTATTTGTTAAAATATTTAAATGAAATTTTGGCACCTCGAGTAAAAACAACACTAATGCCGAATCAAAAAATGCAGGTGACGGCTTGCTTTTAGCATTGGAAATGCTTATGTTTATTATATTGAATTTATTTTTCCCTAACTCTTGTCTATACTTTTTATTTAAAACCGTAAACTTTTTAAAGCCAACTAGATGGTGTCACTAAGAAAAGGCAAGCCGCCACCGCCACTATTGTATGAAAAGAATTCAACTTCTATTTAGTAGGTACTTAATCATTTATTTTCTATTACCTATTACATCACAAAATGGCACAACGTGTTACACAAAACAAATATTGCACTACCAATTCCACCGCGTATTATAGTATATTACATAAACAACACTAATTAGTTTATTTATTTACAGAGGACAGGAATTCTACCACAAGCATGTACTCGCAATGTTTGTCGCAAAACTTTTTGGACTGCTCACCGTTATATCAACGCCTACAATTTTAAAAATTCTAACATTCACAAATATGTCCAGTACCCCTTTAACAGCTTACAAACGATATTTGGCAACGGTTTACCACATGTGTGTATGGTACGATAATGACTTTAAACCGGGATCAAAGTAAGTATGATAATCCCACTTCCCAAATACTATGCATATTTTGAATTTAGGTTGTGGGACTCAATTAATAAAGTTAAGATGATGCACTGCTCTGCCAGTAGACGACACTGTGTGGCAGGTGGGCAGCGAATTTTACAAAGAGACATGGGTATAACGCAGTTTGGTTTCATGGGATTCGCAATCTTAACGCCGGAAAAGGTTGGAATTCACAATGCGACCAGAGAAGAATTGGAGAGCTTCATTCATCTATGGAGAGTTATCGGTTACATCATGGGCGCAGACGATAAGTACGTTTCGATATGACTACGTGCCTAATTAGTGTTATTACACTTTTAGATATAACATCTGTAAGGGTACACTAGAGGAAACGAGAGAAATATGTGAAGGATTGGTTAACAACATTTTCATAGATAATGTAAAAACTAAAAATGCCAACTATCAACGGTTAGCCGATGCCTTGGTCAATGGAATGTGGGCCATGCAACCATTTCTTGAACCGACTGCATTTAAAACGTATCTTGCCAATCTTCTTAGCTCAGTCAGTAACAATAATCTAGAAATTCCTACGGTACCATTAAACTTGTTTCAATACTTCATTTTCTATGGCCTGCAGGCGTACATATTTAGTTTACAATTTCATTACATGAGGATATTCGCAAATTTCCTACAATACCTATCGTTTTGGCTAATGCACCATTTCCCTTTCCTCGCATTTTACAGTTACGGATACAAAAATTCGTTTGTTGCGATTTTTAAGGAGAGACTAGGGAAACGAGGGTAGTTAAAGAGGCGCACTGTTAATTGTGCAATATACAATTTAGGTATATTACAATATGAACCTAACTAACACAGTATTAGATTTGCTCTTGCCACACTTATACAACTAGATGCAATCTTGAAACGCGGACAAGCAACCCTGGTTTATACTTTCGGGCTTAGGCATCTCATCGATGGAACACTCCAAGGGATTTGTATAGAAATACTCATTGGTCAATGCCTAGAATAGGTATTTTGTTATACAGATACACAATGTTAAAATAAAATGGGTTATTTTCATATTTTTTTGAACTTTAGTAATCACTATTTACAAAAAAAAGAAAATAACCAATCATTATTATTGTTAAATAAAAACTCCAAAAAGATTATTGTTTCTTCTTCAATGTCACATCTTTTAATATACCGAATATTTTTCGAGTTGTGCAAAGTGGAGATCAATTTAAGCCAAAACGGGATTCATTACAGGTATACGTTACCTATATCATTGGAAAATAGTGTATGCAAAAACCTGTTCTACTTGCGATTTTAGAAGAGGAAGATAACAGTTCGACTATCACGCAATTCCTGCAACGTTAAAGATATTGCAAATAAACTAACACGTTTCTCCGTGAAGAGACAGTCACAGGGATGGTAAATAACTGTAACCACTTTAGTTATGACATCTAATGCTGGGACTGATCTCGAATCTCAACTGTAGGCTCCGATACCCCGGGTGAAAGGCAAGTTATATGTATTCAAGGGTTGGAATTCTGTTAGCAAAAACTCTTCAACTTACAATGTTTGTGCGATGAGTTGCGATTCACTAATTTTTACATATATTGTTGTTAATGCTGAATTGGCCCAAAGAGGGTTTTAATCATTTGCTGACTGCTCCCACTAACCTAAACTGAACCAACTTTGTGTATGTGCCTTTACTGTTTCTCCATTGCTTAAACTCGATAATTTTAAAAATGACTGTGCTCACTACCTTTTTCTGGATTTATTAATCAAAAGTCAATATTGTCGAATAATTGCACTTGGCATTGAAGTAATTAATCTATACTAATATTTTGTCTCGCATGTTTCATTAATTAAACACTGTAACCTAATCTCGACCTGTGCGCTGAAGGTACAAATGCAAATAAGACACCTAACATATGCCAGAGATATATTTGTGTATTTGTTTTTATGTGGCTTAGAAAAGAGCCACCTTGCTGATATTGCTAATCGATTTGTTTAGTTGACCCTTGACATGAAATGACTGAATAAGTCAACCTTTTGCTAAGTCGGTGTAAATATGTCATCTGTCGAAGCCTACCGTACAGATGCTATATCATGTATGAGTATGTCGAACGTTAATGTTGTTATAATTTTATTGTGATGCATTGATATAACATTACAATTTACAAACAATTCATTTTGCTATACAATTTAAATATTAATTTGTTGGCTGGTTTTTACTTGGGAAGTTCTTTTTTTACCAGTCTATTTTTACTTGGTGAAGTACCATATCAAATTATATTCAATTATATTTTGACTATACATTTCCAAGCTTTCGCAATCTTTATAATAGCAGTAATTACTAAACAAACTTTTGGCCATTTCAGTATTTTATTTTGCGTTCCTTCCCTACCGTACTTCAGGTCATAGCATTCTTATTCTTTACAACTAACGTACGGGGGTCCTGCTTTTAGACTGTAACGGAAGCCTGTTAAATTTTTGAAGGGCTGTTACTAAGATGTTTGATCACGCGTCGCTTTGTCAATTTCAAATTTAAATGGGATCCAGTTAACTTTTGGAATCATTTTGAAATCAGAGCAGAGATTTCATCCTTAACTGAAGAAAGAATAAATGCAGATCCCTTGTTACATACTTATACTATTAAAATTTGTAGTAATTTTTTATACAGCAAGTGCTGCATTGGTATGTGACAGTTAATGGGGATTAATATTGAGGAGATACCCAATCACTATAAAAAGCGGTGACTACAAACCTCACTCGCGCTAATACGAGTCACATGATTATACTGTAAACATCTTTTGATCAAAGCTAATGTCGAATCCAGAACGCCAGGTACAATATCTTTCCAATCAAGTCCAGGACTACGAGAAAATGTTATTTTATTATAATCCGGTAGAGAATGTAAATCTGGCCAATTCTCCAAGGTGGGCGTTCCCAAAGTATGTAACACTATTGCCAACTGTTCAATATCAGTCTCCCCCTAAAACAACAATAGTGTATTTACATGGATGTCGCAGTCTCACTATAATCACCGGAAATAAAGGTGTTTTATTGTATAATTCAACCATAATGCATCCATACGACCACATATCTATTGAATTAGTGTAATTGTGAGAACCATACAATAATTCAGGCGCTCTATACCAACGTGTAGCGACCTGATGGGAATACTGACGAATTGGTTCATTTTCCAAGTATATCCTTGCTAAACCGAAATCTGCAATTTTCAGCATTCCGCTATGAGCGATCAGTAAGTTTGCCGGTTTCAAATCCTGAAAAGCGTACACTGCATCATTTAAATAACAAAAAAATTACATACTCTGTGCATAATATGATTTTGATGCATATAACAGATGCCCAATAAAAGCATTTTTAAGTAGAGCTTAATTTGCGATTCGTTGAGCGGTTTGTTACAATTATGCAACACTTCGTAAAGGCTCGTCGGTAAGTATTCCATAACTAACACAAACCCCATTCCGTGAGGAATAATTTCTAGTAGTTTAACAATCTAAAATTGGTCATAAGCAAATTATAGCGGTAACGAGAATGCCTAACATAAACAGAATTGAGGACCCGTAAGCTGGCTATCTCGCGCATTATGTTTGTCGGGATTCCCTCGTCCAAATTTCGTATAATCAATTTTTTGAGTGCCACTTCTACGCCTGTCACCTTATTAATTCCTTTCATCACGTATCCGTGAGCACCCTCTCCTATTCTTCCCAAAACTCGATATTTGTTCATTTGTGAATAAAATTTGAAAATATTTCGTGTTTGTTAGGTTAGGTTACCATGGTTACAAGTTACAACCTAAAGTTCAGTGGCGGATCCAAAATTAAATCTGTAAGGGGTCTCATGTCACAATCTAGCTCTAGATACTGTGGTAATTTGTATAATTTCATATTTTTCCATTAACCATAGGCTACATTTTTGTAGTGTGCAGCATTCACTTCCACAGAGGGCACTGCCCACTCTAGTAGCGGCTTGGCGACTGGCGGCCTACAATCTTTGCCGGTCTGTGTTCGACATTCAATTCTAAAATTGCAAATATTAAAGCCAAGTTCACTAGAAGCAGAAGGCTTTCAATTTGAGTACCATATGATACTATAGGTTAAATCTTATTTTTATTTTACAGAACCAAAAAAATTGTATTTTTGATATTTAATAAGTGTGTTCGTTTCAGTTCTGTTTATAGCAGAACTAATATGATGAAATCATTTTTAAAATGTAATTAACTATGCGTGTGTTTCTACGAATGAACTCTATATATAACAAAAGAAAATGCTACCTATTACAAAAATACAAATTTACTTGAAAGCAGCAATAAGTACAATGCAAATGTATACAAATATTATCCTGATTCCATTTTAGTTTTCACTGCTTTTCCAAATTCATCTGCACCTTTTTGATTAACTTCCACATAATTTGGGATTTCTAATGCACATCGCGAAACCCACGAATAAACATTAGCATACGATGTAAGATCCCATCCGATTGCCTAAAAATTCAAAATACAATTTTCCTTAAACAGATGGAGGAAACTTACAGCGATAGTGGCAACTGAAGCCACTAATAAACAATCGGCTATTGTCAACTTATCTCCACATACAAAGTCGTTTCCATCTAAATATACGTCTAAGAAACCTAATGCTTCATCAACAGGTGCTTTCTGTTCATCATGCATTTCAATCTCGTCTTGATATAAGATAGGAAACTACAAGATAAAGCATGTTCAAGCTACCTAGAACGGTTGTTGTAAACGTACACAAATGGCTCTCACGCGAGGATACAGCATTGTACAATTGAATTGTAGTCTTTGATCTACAAGGGCCTTCTTCATCAAGTCTTTTGGGTATAAGGTGTCATCCTTTCCATACTGATTCACTAAGTAGGCCGCTATAGCACTGCTTTCCCATACCACAAACTCCCCATCCACTAATGTCGGGACTGTATGTTGTGGGTTTATCTACTAACAGGTTCACAAATATATAATGCGTTCCGAAAGGTAAGTGAAAGCGATTCACTAAATGATATCAATTATGACAGAAAATGACTTTATAACAGAGTAAGCAACAGGGGATAGCCACTCTGCGTGCTTGAAGCAGACTCTAGCTAGATCAAGAAACAAACCAGAAGGCCTACCTTAACAAAGTCACTTTTAAGCTGCTCCTTTTTAAAGAGATTGAGAACTTGTACGTCAACGTTGACACCGACAGCGTGAGCAGCAAGTAACGCACCTCTTGACGGAGCAGACGGTGGAAAATGATACAAAGTTAAGACCATATTTCAATACGTCAACACACAACAATCAAAAGTTTTGTAGGTTATTTACACAACCTGTCACTGGTCACAGTAGATACGATACCTGCACCGTTGATGGAATTAGTCTGTGGTTATACTTACATTGTAGCTGCCGTGAAAGTGTGTGTTATGTGCCATACAGTAAGGCCCGTAAGTTCTGTCGTCCTTTATTTTGGTGTGTACTTATTTCGAATTCGACATAGCAGATGTGTGAGTGTGACAAACGTTGATACTTTACCCTCCAGCTAAGTTAATTGTTTAGTGATACAGAACATAATATGTATGAGGGCCATCATTATCGTGGCGCCAAGTCCAGTGTGAATATTGTCGAAAAAAAGGCGGTGTGATTTCTTCAACTAGGGATTTTGAGGACATAGGTAGGTTTCCACATCAAATAAAAAAAAATTAATTTATCTAGAGAATGGTAACTATTGTTTTGATATATATGGTGTGTTAATCAGAAGAATTTCTATTTTAACGCACTTACTTTTTCATCGACAGAAATTTAATAAAAACCTTATAATCGAAACGCCTGTACTATATCATTTATTTTGCAAAGTAAAATTTAATTGAACCCAAAAACCAACCAACATCCCCGACACTCTGATTTTGATGGTTGATACGCCACTGGCGGATTTCTGTCGAACGACCTTGAAATCTCCTTTAGGATGATGTTTACGAATATTTTGGTCGTGATCCGTCATCAAAAGTATATTTTTGACTTTTGGAGGTATGCTCCTTGCCTTGCACAATTTTAGTCTTCATGCAATAAACGACGTTCTATCGGGTATCGATGAGCGACCGAAGTGATAACGCAAAACATCAGCAGATACGTTATCAAACGAATCCAACGAAAATGCCGGAACAAGATTTGGGCCCCCGAAAGACACTATTCGTGCTAGTGATTGTTGTCGGGTGTTTCGCAGTTCTTTGGCCCAAAGTGTTCTACCCAATGTTGGTGGGGCCTACAAATCAACGCATGAAACCAAATCACTTGGATAAAGGTAAGTTACAGTACAACATTGTTATTATAGCCCTTTGGATTTCGTTTAACACCTTTATTTCACTGTATAGGCTGCTGTGATGTTATTTCCGATATTGACGTAAACACTATTAAGATTATGACGGAGCTGTGTAACACTATCATTGAACATTTAGAAGAGAAGCCTGTCAAAGCTCAAGATGTAATAAAACAGTGTCGCACTGAAATCTACAATAAGTGCGGAATAGATATTTCGGCTGTGCTACAGGAACAAGTACGACTCGGCCGCTCGTTTAAACAAATCGTCGACGAAATACGATCATTTAACAGTTCCTTTTGTTTAAAATATCAATTTGGACTCTCTCCTTCAAAATTAGGAATACCGCACAGAATCGCTATTAATTTATCTCCAGTCTGTAAGAAACTTGTTTATTATTTGGTTTGCGATAACCATTTTAGGGTGTGTCTGTTTGAGCAATTAACATTGTTTATTTTGCTCTAAATTAATTGTACTGAAATTTTGATAATAATGTTCAATTTTTCTGGCAGATGTGAAACAAGAACGCCCGTCACATTTAAGACCCGAAATGTTACATCCTGCTCTCCGTGAACGTGGCAGTGCCATTGTGCAACCTTATCAACCACCAGTAGTGAAACCTGGACAACCCAAGTTTGTTGATGGAAGGGTAAGTATCACCAGAAGGGTAAACGCTTGTAAAGCCAGGTTTATGTTGTGGTATGAAATGTAAATAAAACCAAGATTTTAAACTTTCGGTGGGTGAACTTTGTCTCTTATGGCTGCAGGTTTATTGTGTTTAGCACATTTTTGGCAAAGTCAGTAATTTCTTTTAATATCTCCTTGTAATATTTATAAATCATAGTGAATTATTTGTAGATTCAGTATGAAAAATATTTACACTAGGTCATCTGATTAGGATTAAGTGAAGGTATTTGGCCAAATAATTATTTTTGCATATACGATTTTCAAGTTTAAAGATGATAGGATATACAAATTCTGGAAAGTGGCCAATATTAACTGCATGTGAATGTATATTTATCTTCGATAAAATAAAATTGTATTTTATTTACACGGAAGGTTGTCAAGAATCGTAATTGTAGGACACTTTAGCTTCAATTTTTAGTAGTTCTTCAGGATGGCTACTTACTTGCTGTGTACAATGGTTCAAGCTCGGGTTCAAGTAAAAACCTTATTGACACATCCAGCATCTGCTACTACGAAAAATCTCAATAATTAAATTTGATGAAACTCATCAACTCCACAATTCCAACAAATTTTTATGTAAACATCTAACATAACCCTGGGTACCAACAGAAAAGTAGCAGGAGAACTCTGATGTAGGTCGTAATTTAGGCTTGATTAAATACAACATAGACATCTACATATGAAACAAATACCATGCAATAAGCAATCGATTGAAACAATTAATTAAAGAAATCTTAATTAACTTACCGTTTTAATAATCCAAAATATCTGATCGATTGCACTGATGCACAAGCACACAAAACACCATATTGCTTTGAAATTCCACTTCTTTACTTTAATTATTGCACATGCATCTCGAATTAGAAGACACTGGGTTCATTGTAATTTCAGATGTAATATTGGCACTTTGATGATGAAAAAATTTCCTTTATCTGGTAATGAGAAATGCTTCACATAAGCGATAAAAACAACTCTCCGACTAACTCCTTCGAAAATTGCACTTGCTAATCCGAATTAAACATTCACTTTAAATAGCATAATAAAAAATCTCTCAAAGCACTTTCTGTTCTGTTAATTTTTTCAAAAATTAATTTTTTTAGATATTCCCGTGGCCCCACGTTGGGCGCCAAATAATAATGCTGTGGTTCCACGTTGGGCGCCAAATAAATAATGCTGTCTGGTGTATGCGGTCACCCTCAAAACACCTGCTAACTCAAAATTGAAATTTAGAATCTTTATAATTTCTCCTCGAGCACTTCCGCCATCTCCTACAAAGAATAAAACTAATATTGACTGAAATTAATAATTTGGTAGACATGTTTTTATTACGCTTCAGCCTGGTCCAGTTCCTGGAATTCGTCCTCCAATGGGCGGAGCTGGTCACATGGTCCATTCTCCAAAGGGATCCAATTCAATGGGAGTCATAATGCCTATCTATACAGTCGGTATAGTCATATTTTTCTCCTACACTTTAATGAAGGTTTGTCTAAATGTACTTATATAAATCGTCACTTAACATTCTACATATATTCTAGTTACTGTTTAAAAAGAAACCCGAAGGTCCTGGTGCGCCTCTATATCCCCCTGTAGAGCCATCGCTGACATTCAAAAAGGAGGTGTTCGAATTACAAAAAAGCAAACCTCCGCAAGGACCTTTAAGTAAGTACACATTTTTGCCATATTATTTACAATAATGCAGTTGTTGCTATATCATTTGTTGTTTCTGCTGCTTCAAAGTAGGCTGGAGAGAAAGAGATGCAAGTAAGTTAACATTAATTAATGAGAATGTTATATTAACCCTCCCCACAATAGTTTGATTTCTTCTGTAATAACATATACCCTTCTTAATCGATGCCTTACATATTATGCACTAACATATTGGTTTTAATTAAGTATTGAAGAAACTAGAAGTATAAAACCACCCAGAGCTAAACCGTTTATTCTTGCAGCACTTGGCGTTAAGTAGTTAATTGTAAGTTGGAACTTAGATCTCTCGTTGTTTTTATTACTTGGTCTTACTATAGACAGATATTTTTAAGGATCCTTATTGTCACTATCAAAATTTAGGAAATAATTAACGTGCGAAATGATAATAACAATAGCATAATGAAAAATGTTGATATCTTTTATCATGGTACAAAAACAGTAAGTGTTAAAGAGGATGGGGTTTCAATAGAGGGTTGATCTTCCAATCCACCCCACCTAATCCATGCCTGAACTTTGAGTTTCATGCTGAAAAAGGAAATGGAAAGGTTGATAGCAACCAAATACTTTCCCTTCTTGAGATATCAGCATTATTTCGATATTGCAACATAACTAATCCTATCTGTTATGTAATTCTCTTATATAACACACAACAAATAACACTAGTCACTGCCTAGAGTGGTGCAGGAGGGACATACAACAACATACTCAGCGTTAAAGAATTTAAAATCAAAAACATTTGAGTCTGTATGTCTGTAGGAGATGAAGAATTGGATCACTTACGGCGACGCCTTCGTGAAACTGAATTAGCGATGGAGCGCATCGTAGTCCAGATGGCGCAAGTACCACTTAGGTCACAGGTGTGCCATTCGCACCCTCCTGCCCGCACTAGCAGCTCAGCATAGCTTTTGCTTTATTTGTCTGTCTTGGCTGCACTATACGCTTTCCTTTCTGTTAGTTTAAAATTCGTAGTCATATTAACTTACATAATAACACCTACAGAGTGTACGGACAGTATTGCAGCTGTAAATTATCGTCTTTGTTTGCTTTATCGTTTAATGCAATACTTTTGGTACACTGTATAGATATACAAATGGTCCCCGTAAATTTATGCCATAATTGTCTGATGTAAGTTAACTGCTTCAAATTGAGGATTTTTGCTAGCTTTTCAAATTGGGTTCAAGCATTAAGTCACAGAGCATATGTGACTGAATTCCAAGTTGGAATAGAGAATTAATTGTTTGTTGTTTTACTACACTTGGGATAATATGTTGTGTGGTCAATTTGAAGACGCCAGAAAATTTCTTGTTATTAAAAACTGGAACAATTATAACTACCATAGGTTAAATTTGGAAAGCATTTATAGAATGCGCTGATCCTACTTATGAATTTGTCTTACCTTCACTTGTGTTTCAAAGACAACAAATTTGAGACTCTCTGTGGTGGTCAGATGTCGATCTCGAACCAAGGTATTGATTTTGTTGGCATGTGAGTCGTAAATTAATGTGGCCATCTTTCATGGTCTTTAAACAGTTGGCAGTTATTTTAAAAAATGTGAAAATGTCCCACACTTCATAGCAACATTGCAGTAAGCTGTCTTTAGCATCATATATAATAATAATAATAATATAAATATAATAAATAAATAAATAATAAAAGTTTCACTAACAGATTTGAGGAGTTTAACACAAACGCCTTAACACCCAATCCGTCTATCCGTTACATAATTGAAAATCGATTTATGGAACGGGTAACTGTAACTGTGGTCGGTTTTTTCAATTTGCGGTACATATTATAAAATAGTTATTTATATAACAAGAGCGCGAAGTTCAATTTCGCGCATTGAGACTGAAGGTATTTTGACGAGGCGAAGCCGAGTTAAAATATCAGTCAAATGCGCGAAATAACTTCGCGCTAGCGTTATAGACAATATTTTTTCTACAACTGAACCGATTATTAATTAAATTGCTGTTTAAGTTCAACTTTGTCCCGTGCGCGAAATACTTTTTTTCACTGTTGACGATTTCGCGCACGTTGTCAAGAGCAACCTTGCTTATTAATTAACCGATTAAAAATCTAGTACTTCGCGTTTCGAAATCCGTCAGAAAATGACAGGGATTTTTGACAGTTGTAGAAAATAGTTATTTATATAACAAGAGCGTGAAGTTCAATTTTGCGCATTGAGACTGAAGGTATTTTGACGAGGCGAAGCCGAGTTAAAATATCAGTCAAATGCGCGAAGTAACTTCGCGCTAGCGTTATATACCATATTTTTTCTACAACTGAACCGATTGTTAATTAAATTTGCTGTTTAAGTTCAACTTTGTCACGTGCGCGAAATACTTTTTTATTATACCTGAATCACAATCTCCGTTTTAAACACTCAAATGCGTGCGAAAAAAGGCCTTTAAAACACACGTGCTTTAAAGTTGCTAAGTAACGATACTTCAAGTGTGACTTTTGAAACTGCCATCTGGGTGAAATAAAAAATCTTCCTAAGTCGCTTTCTGTAAATGCAGAACATTTCTTTGGCTTGTACCTATCCTTTGGTTGAAGCTTTTACAAACGCGCGTAATTTAGGGTACCTATGCTTCCAAATCTGTTCCACTTTTTAGTCCCAGCAATAAGTGAAGTTTTGAATGAATGCACCAAAAGTTAGAAGATTTAAATACCTTTGACATTTCCTTCATATATGCCAGCATTATCGATGCATTTAAGACTTTATTCGTAAGTAACTTCCTATTCATCCATGAAACAACTTTTCACATGCTTGATAATAAGGTTTACTGGATTGAGATTTTACACCTACCAACTTTGTTTAGATTTTACAACCAGCGATTTAATGGACGGTGTATTATCTTTTTCAACGGAAATCGTACAAAGACGATGATTTTTATAAGCAAACGTCAAGTAACATTTCCATGGCAATCGTGAAATTACGAACACCCAGCCCACTTAATTAGACATGTATTCGAGTATAACGTCAATATGATTTCATTGAATTTCCTATTTTTAAATTATACCGCAGGTATAATAAAAAATACTATAAGATACACGTGTATAATTGGTCTTTAAAGCACTTGCAACGTTAAAGGCACTCCGCTTTGCGTCGTGCCCTTAAACTCCTTGCGCGTGCTTTAAAGACTTGATTATACACTTGTATCTTAATATACTATTTTCACTGTTGACGATTTCGCGCACGTTGTCAAGGGCAACCTTACTTATTAATTAACCGTTTAAAAATCTAGTACTTCGCGCTTCGAAATTCGTCAGAAAATGACAGGTTTTTTTGACAGTTGTAGAAAAAAACATTTTTTACAAAAACAAAAACTCATACCACCAAAATCATACTAAAATCAAAGTAGTCATTGAACATGCAGAAAAAAATATCCTACCTATGGACCGTAGTTTCCTACATTCACATAATAATAATTACATAATCAACCGGTTATTATAAATAATCGCCGCATTAATTACTTTGAACGTAACATATAGAGGGGATGGTGTGAAAGTGATATTTGATTCCTTTCTTGAGTTGGTTTTGCGTATAAAGATGTTACAAAGATGTGAGTTACCCATTGATATATGGACTATGGAGGTCTTTTCATTTTGTAGTATATTAACGCTTTCCACAAAGTTCAAATTTCTATTTAAACTATGGTAAAAGAAACCCTTATCACGGTTCCATTACATTACAGAGTGTTGTGTAGATAGTGATCCATATATAAAATTAATACAACGCTTAGATAAACAACTCCAAATGGTTTATTTTTGTGCCATTGCGTTAAAAAACACAATATATTTCACAGAAGAGGCTATTATTGTCTTCACATTTTGCTTGTAATTTTGGTGCTTACCTTGATGTATAATATACTATTATTGAAATTAAGGACATTAATAAATTCAGAAAAGTTATACACTAACGAAATTGTAGATTGAAGTATGTCATCTATTTTATTTTAATTTGGAATTCAGTATACTATAAAAGAGTATATCATCGCTAAGAAACTTTAGAGGTCATAATTTTATTAATATATTTGTTTAAAACATTCTGATGATATAATGTCAATATCTCCACTTGTATTCTTTATTCTTAGTCGTAAATGCAATGACGGCCTTGTTGGATGAGGTAGACCAAGAGTTGGAAGCCAGAAGAAAAGCTCACGAAGTTGCTAGTCAGGTATCGATAGTGTTGACAATTTTGCAAATAGCAAAATCTTAATAGTAACGACCTCAAATCCCCCAGCTTCCGGCACAATTTGCGTTGCTTTTGCTTAGTCGCTTATCAAATTTGCCTTCATTTACTTATGCGCATTACGCACACGTTTTTTTGTTTATTAATAATGTACATTATGTACTTAAGTGTTCGTTTTTGTAGTTGCTGTTTTTTAATGATTACTAAAATGCGAGGATTAATTGCGCGAATGATTTTGTAGAAGGAAGATGGAGAGTTGGCGAATGGCTGCGCCAAGCAACCGCCTGATCACGAACAGCCCTCCGTAAAAATATTGGGCATGGAAATGACGGCGAGTTGTGAGGGAGGGCAAAAGTGGGACAGATGTGAATCTCCCGTGATTCCAAAGTCGCAAGCGCCTCCAGAACCAACAGAACCGCCACAAGTAGAGCTACAAGATTTTTAAATCGCGCTCATGACATTTTTTTAGGAAATTTTCCTAGGGGGCATTTTACCAGCACAATCGCAACTGTTGGTAGCCGATTCCACAGTTGAAGAAGAAACAAATTCGTTAAGTTCGTCTGCAGATCCGCCTGTAATTTTGGCCAGCAAAATGACACTGTCCGTGATTAGTCTAGATGCTCCAGAGAATGGTACGTAATAGTTTTGTCACGAAAGTAACTGGCACTTTCCCAATTACAGAGGAAGCGCATGTAGTAGAGGATGTTGTTGATGAATCAAAGTATACCACTGCTGCTGCAGGAGACATATCAGATGTAATTAAATGTTAACAGTATTTCAAAATTGATGGTACAATTTTTAGGAAGAAGCAAGTGATATTGTTGACGAAATTGAAAAAAGTACCAATCAGGATGATGGTGCAAAGAAGGGAGATGAAATCACAGAAGCTCCTTTATTAACACAACTTAATGATATAATTAGCAGTGATATAAACAATGCAGTCGAAAGCGTGCTAAATGATGGCCTAATTAAAAATGTGGAGAGTGTAGACATAGTAAATACAATACAAGATGATGAAAGCCCAATTGTAACAGCACTCAAAGATCAACTTAGCAAAACTACTGAAGACATTTACGATAGTTTAATTGAAAGTGTAGGCAATGATACGAAGCAAGATGAAGACGGTACGATAGATATCAACGAACAAATCGATATGAGCCAACTCGAAGATGAAGTTAGAAAAGTGGTAGATGATGATATACAGTATGTTTCGAAAGTGGAAAAAGATCAAAGTGATGTAGAGAATAAAGTAGATGAGGATGATGTTCAGAAAATGGATTTGAATGATGAAGGATCTGAAGAAGAAAATAGTGACATTGAGGAAGTTGAGGATGGCACCGATGCCAACTCTTTTGATGATGAAATAGAGGAGATTATTATATTTGAGGATGAGATAGACATGAACGATGATGAAGACAGAGTGTTCATATCACATGAATCAGTTCAGAATATTGGAGATATTATTGACGAAATTATTACAGATGGAGCTCGAAGACTGGAAATTGTTAACGATATTGACAACAATGATAACTTAGAACATTCCGTTGATCCTTTTAATGATCAAGGTGATGACAATTCGGACGTAAATATGTCCAGAAATAATAATCTTGCCTCTGACGTATCAAACTCCTTAGGTCAACATGATGAAGTTCGAAATGATACTAAAGGAGAACAAGAAAAAGATTGTGCCAACTGAATGATTAAACATTTATAGTGATGATATTTATCCATAACTACTGTTCCTTTATCAGGGTATTTGTACTATAATGCAACATTCATTTTAAACAACAATTAAGGACCTAAGTAGAAGCATAAATTTAACAGTGCGCTTTTTGTTCAAATGTTCCTATCTAGAAAACATAATATTTGGAAATTTATTGATAAAAGCATGGATAGACCACACTCCTACTAATTTTATTGTTGCACCTCCTAATGATAAGAATTTATTAAATAACTGATACTTTTTATTGTACTTGCCAATAGTTGTTGCATGTTTCGGAGTTGTTTTGTGTTTTCAGTAAATATAATATGCAACTACCTACTTAAAAGCCTTGATAAATTCAGTGTTTTAATAAACAGCACAAAATGAGTAAATATGCCTATAAGATCATGTCACTTGTTGCGTTGATTTTATTTCCTTTTAGGTGTACTTCTAATAAATACTGTAAATCATTGTAAATTCTTTATCCCCTTAAGCAAGTTTAACAAATAGGACAGGTAAAATGAAAATAGCAGTGCAATCTTGTCATGCTTTGCAGCTTGTTCAGTTGGTTATGCCATTGTTTAATGTGGAAAATATTCATATCCATATAATACAAAAGCGCTCTTTCGAAAAAATCTTACCTTGAAGGTATTAAGTTACTCTGCCTAATCGGTGACTCGCCCTGTACAATCCATATGCGTTGATGATTTGTACATTTGTAACAGAACAATATAAGCGTAACCATTGTTTAAATAAAGTGTTTAATCAATGGTTATACTGATATATAGGAATTTCATGTCTACTTACTTTTACATGATAAAAAGGCTCCTGGAAGACGTCTAATTTTATGCAACCAAAGTTACTACCTACAACAAATGAGGATCTGCCTGTCATATTCATTAATTTGCATATTATCGCTTTAACTTCCCTATTCTAACTTCGGTTCGTGTGCGATATATTCAACTAAAGATAAAGTTGATATTTCCAAAGTGCCGATAACGGTTAAAGGAGCTTAAGAGATTTATTTTCTGTGAAGCTAAAGCAACAATATAATTAATAATAATTAATATGACAGCCAGATCTTTATTTGCTTCAAGAAGTTTTTTTGGTTGCATAAAGTTCTGTGTTTTAAAAGTATTCAAAACCCGAAACCAATACCTTATAAAGCTTTATTCCACCTTGAAATGGGTTCACTTCCCTTGCAATGCACGAGTAACCAGTAGTACCTATATGTAACAAACAAAATTTATTACACGATCAACTAGAATATTTTTATTAACCTTCCAGAGAAGTACAACAAACATGTGAATTTTATATTTGGCGATCGTACAGCTATACAAACTATCTTACAATCTTGCATTATTTACCAGTTGTCCAGTTACCTGGTCGATGAGCAGTTAACGTCCAATCTCTATGAGGCGACCAGATTCCACCATTCTGTATTTTACTTTCTCTCTCAAAAAGTGCAAAGTTGTTCATAAGTGCATCCTTTTTCACATACCCTGCTGTTGCAAACAAAAGTGATGTGCAGAACCCTACCATCCCGCTTCTTTTCCATGCTCCGCATACAATACCGGCTGCACATCCTCCAATCATCCAATTTATATGATCATCTTTTTTACGGAAATTTGCTGCACTGTTCGTAAATACCACGAAGGTTGTACTGATGCCTATTATAGGCGCGCAAACGGAAGCGATTCTGCCTAAAGTTGCTGCATACCCTTTCGGATGGGAATAGAGCAGAACGTCTATTGTGGCAACACAGGCAGAAACTAGTCCTGCATTTTTAATGGTAATCCATAATTTTTTACCTATTTCTGTACCATCTGGATAATCGAAATAGCTTTCTCCAGTGAAGGGAAGAGGCATTTTAATTTATTATTTTATTTTGGTTAATTGGTTATGTAAGTTGGATTACCAACATTATGGAACAGAAAAAGAACTAAAAATCGTCTCCAATTCTTTGTATGTACAAGGATGGTAAGAACGAAAGGTACAAACATTCATACATACAGGGAAATTGATATATTTTTTGATACTGAAATCATATATCAAATAAGTTGTGTTGGGCGGAATGCCGTAATGTTTTAAATCCATTTCTAGTATTTATTTTTGCTTGTGTACTCCGACACCGACTATATATATTATACATAATCAAAGGTTTCAACCCGTTATTTCATCCTGAATGCAACATGAAGTTATCGTTTTACTCTCGTTTTCAAAATCCCTCGGTACGCCCCTGTTCGAATGTGAAAATCTTAGACCAAGAACTATTCCGAGGTGAATATTCATGTTACTCGTTTTAAAAATATTAACAAATTTGTTGTGTAGTTGACATTTCAAAATACAATTTTTTGTTAATTGCTTTGTTAAATTGGATTTGTTTATTATACTGTATAAATTGTGGGAAGAGGCAGAGCTAAAAATTTAAATCTAGTAACTTTTACGTTTGTGACTCACACAGGGATGTAACATCATCAAAAAATGACAAACCAACCCAACCTAATAATGGCGTCTGATGGGGAAGAAATAATAACTGATCAAGAAAAAGTAAGAATAGTATCAGATTTTATTCTTCATTCACCGCCGGGAGAGTTTAATGAGGTTTTTAACGATGTCCGTAAATTACTAAACAACGATGACCTTCTTAAGGAGGGCGCAAGTGGGGCATTCGCTCAATATAATAAGGACCAATTAACACCTGTAAAAATAGAAAATGCCGATACTTTGGTGCTTATTACCGAATACAACGATCTAGGAAGTAATAGATTTTATGATCCTAGAAGTAAGCAATCCTTTAAGTACGACCACTTAAGAAAGGATGCTTCGGATTACCAATCGTACACACCTGATGCTTCGGCCGAACCCTGGAGAGCAGCAATAGATGCAGAATTTATGCAGTATGCTAGAAACCATTATAAGGACGGCGTTAGCAGCGTGTACGGGCGCAGTCAACCAGGTGGAGTTATTACCGTCACTGCATGTATAGAAGATCATCAGTTTCAACCAAAAAACTTTTGGAATGGCCGATGGCGCTCTCAATGGTTCGTCACTTTAAATGGCAGTTCAACAGCGGAAGTACGTGGAGTATTAAAAGTCCAGGTGCACTATTACGAAGAGGGCAACGTACAACTTGTCAGTTCGAAGGAAGTAAAAGAATCCATCCCAGTAACAAATGAAGTTCAAACTGCCAGAGAAATTGTGCAGTTAATCGAAGAATCCGAAAATTTATATCAAACTGCAATATCGGAGAACTACCAAACAATGTCGGACACGACTTTTAAAGCGTTACGTCGATTGTTACCGGTTACGCGTACGAAAATCGATTGGAATAAAATTGTTTCATATAGTATTGGAAAGGAGTTGAAAACTCAATGATAAGTGAAATGTATAAACTTACTGGCTGTCTATCAAACACTGTGCGCCTTGTTATCGCTTGAAAGGTTTTGTACATATGGCCCGGTTTTGTTGAGTTTTAGACAGTGCAGGGATAGCCATTTAGCATAATTATTTCACGAAAGAACGTAGTTTCTCAATTGTGCCGATCAGTTACTTGGACTATGACATGTTATTTCCTTTAGTTTTTCTACAAAAGCGCTTTTTGCCCATGATTTCACTGTGTTTAAGTCTATTTCGATGTTTGAACAGTCTATCCCTGAGAACGGAGTGTGCAATACAAAGGCACAATTTCCCGTTGCTTTTCTAGTTATTTGGCTTATGTTATATACAGTAAGAATTATTCCTAATTATTTTGTAATTTTTATTTACCATTATCACTGCATTTGTTATTACTTATGCTAATAGTTTCGATATTTTTAAATGGATTAGAAAATTATATGAATTGCTGCCCAGAAAATGAAATAATTTATATCTTGTTAAATTGGACCGTTGTATGGGTTATTTTTTAAATAAAAAGCAAATTAAATACTTTTGATTTTGAGTGCAGTAGCTCTAGTGCAGAGATCTGACTATACAAATAAAGGTAGCAAAGCAACTCTCTAAAATCTAAATAATAGAACAAATTAAACGGCAAACAATTTTTTATTAGCATAAAAGGAAGGTGAATGCGTTAACACGGTTACTTTTAGATCTGGAACAAAAGAGCCGTGAGCGCATAAACCTTGATCGTTCACCATGGTTTGATTTGAGCTGAGATGACTAAAAAAATTTATTCTATTATGCTTTGTCCGTATGTATTCATAGGGAAATAACATGGGAAAATACATTTTCGCCAATTCCTGCTCCCCATTTCATCCTACAGGAAAAATAAAAACACCCTCGGATGGATAATTAAAATTGGCATTAGATGACATCAAAAAAGTGCGCCTAAGCCCTTTTTTAATAGGAATAATACACGGCGAAGTTCGTGATTTATTGCCAATGTTTTATAGAGTAATATTTTTTCACCCTTTCGTGGTTGAAGTGAGATGATAGTCAAAGGAAGGATTTTTGTAGTAGGTAGCTAGCATCTGATGAATATTGTAATTGTCTATCCGAGGATGTTTTTATTTTTTTTGTAGGATGAAATGGGGAGCAGGAATTTTGATAAATCCTTAAGACTTAGTTCTTGAACTTTGAGGAAATATATTTAAACCGTAAATACATTATTCAAAAATTAATTCCTCATAGAACTACACAGCGTATTACAGGTAACGACATTTTCGCCATTCCCTGCAATAGGTAACAGCTGTGGTCATAGCCATGACTAGATAGATTTGTTTGGTCAGAGTGGGTCGAGACATGATGGACCTTAAAACTCTGAAGGACTAACTTAGTGACTGGAGAAGGGTGTCTGGTGACCAAGGGTACCTGACTAAACAACTGTCAGTGACAGAAATTTAAGTACCTACCCTTGTTTATGATGATCAAAACGAATTAACCATTTCTGAAAAAATGTACAATTTTGATGCTTACTTGATTTATTGAACGTTTAACCAGCAACAGTGCAATAAAGCTGTACATCTAAATATACCACAGAAGTTAATAATTTATACTTATGGAATTGTTCCTATACCTAAAGTAGTATATATTATTAATTACGCTCCTACTTATATAGCTAAACCATAAACAGATACAATGCAAAACATAGTTTTATTTTCCCAACGAACTGTGCAACTGCCGTCAGTATTATTATCCCAATAACACGAACTAGCAGTATGCAAACCTGCTCCATTCTTTTGCATAATTGTACATGTAACAATGTACTTATACGGTTTTAATAATTTCGTTAACTCCGACGTGCACGCTTCTACAACGGCGGTGGTCCAATTGTTTACTTTAGCTTGATTATAGCCGTTACCTCCAATTACAGTTTCGATTGCCTCTTTAATAATTTTACTAACATCGTCCACCACAAATTGACCTTCTTCTTGGAGATCTTGTTCGATGTTTATTTTCTGTTCCTTCTCGGCCATGATGATGATGCACAACTTATTGTTCTTAAGTAACTCCACGTCAAGTACTTGAGCCGAAGATGTGATATGGTTCCACAAGTAAATTTTTACTCACAGCTACACGCCGTAAAGACTTCTGGTTTTTAAAAATAATAATTATGTTAAGTATAATCAAAGGTTAGTAGTTGTCGATTGTCAAACTATAAATGATAATTAGTAACTGCCAACCTATAGAATTGATAACCCCTAATGGAATTAAATTATACAGGGTGTTTATATATGTCTACTTTAACACCCCTGCTCTGACGTTCATTTAAATTTGCGTTATTAGGCAAACACTCCATTTCCACATTCACATGGGGTAAATTACGCGAATCAGTTTTTTGATAACTTTGCAGCATTGTGCAGACAATAAATAAATCGGTCCCAATATTTACGTGAATTCCTAATTCGTATACTTTGCCAGCACGGCGGCAAATGTTTCTGGCTACTGACGTCACGCGGAGTAATTTAGCGCACAGGCACGTTTTCTTGCTTCGCGCTGACCCTTGATTTTAAAGTGCTTACAGCGGACGTAATAAATATCAATATTTCTGATCGTTTTTTAATAACAAAATCTCTCGATTTCAGTTTAAATAAAGAAAATGTCGAACACCTGCCTATTATATGGGTCGTGTTCATATCAAAATAATAATAATAATAATGTCTTTATTAAATATTATCAAGTTAATTCTAATTATTACAATATTTTAATTTATAGTTGATTACTGTCATGTATATTTCGTAAGATAAATTTCGGCATGCCTTCTTTAATAATAATAATAATTATATATATATAAATTTATTTCAATAATAACATGGAATCCCATGGTACAAATTCAGCAAAAGCTGCTCTTCCATATGCACCATGCACATAAATAAGTGGAGTGACGTATAAAATAAAAGTAACACTTTTTCAGCTAAAAACAAAACCAAGACATCATAGTAACATAAAAATAAATAATTATTATAATTAACAAATATTAAATAGGGAGACGTAAAATCACACGAGAAAAATAAAAATAAAAAGGTATAAGTAAAACAAAATCTTAACTTTGTGATGTAAAGAGAATATTAAACATTTCTCACTTAAATTTCCTACTGGTCAAACCCTTGAGAGACGAAGGTACAAGACCTAAATAGTGCGAAAGCAATTGTTATGCCTGTACCTAATAACGAGACTAAGTATGTAATGTTATGAATTATTATAAATTACATATATTATACTTGTCAATATAAACACATGCATTATTCGTGTAATATAGGTAGATTCTAAAATACACAACTCACACCCTCATAAACTTTTTCAGTGTTTAATTGGTTTTTTAGCGTCTTAAAAGTAAAGGTGAGGTGTTATTTGTGCGGAACCTACTTTTTTTGAGTATTTAGAGAAAGTAATGGAGTAACCTTTAAATAGTTAAACTAGTACCCGAATCGGCTACCGGTAAATTAAATTGGATGTTGATTAAACATTCGAGGAAGTCGTGCTCGTGAATGTGACACGCGCCCTACTGGTACAGTGACGTCACTAAACCACTCCAACCAAGGCGAAGGCCTCTCGAAACGGCCTTACAAGTTTAATACGTTAAATGGTGTCTGGTTGTGCTTGTTGCGGCTGCCTTTTGTTTATTTGAAACTTGTACCCCATTCGATAAGCGAGTTTAAATTTGTGTGTGCATAGATAAGGGATTGATTGCGTCACTGTAGCGCGTGTGTTTAAATAATCTCAAACCAGATTCATCTGCACCATAAGATCTGCACATTGAAAAGTAGAACACACCACTTCCCTTTCATTAATTTTAATTTGTACGTTTTTGCTTTGTAGACTTCAATCAAGTAAGTTTCATCAATTGTTTAATCTAACCTCCTTAATTTTCTCTCAGTAGATTCTACAAAATGAAAGATGTTATTGATGTCATGGAATTGCAAAGAGAGAAAACTCGCAGAGTACAAAGCCTTGATTATCGTCAACTAGATTTTGCTGCAGGATTTACTCCCGCTCGCTTTATCTTTGAATGTGGAATAAAATTGCACGCTCAACCTTTAACTATTGCCAGTGCGACAATTCTCATGCATAGGTTCTTCAAAGAAGTTGATCCCACTAATTATGATTGCTATGTATGTATCATTTTCCTTTTTCTATTGTATTTTGATGAGCATTTTAGGTAAATTTTGTTAATGTAAAGTTACGTACATTTTTTTAGCTAATTGCCGCCTCAACATTGTATTTGGCCGGAAAAGTAAAAGATGACGCCCTCAAAATTCGCGATATCATAAACGTAGCACATAACACTCTCCATCGGGGAAGCAGCCCTTTGGAGATTGGTGATGAGTACTGGAATATGAGGGATGCTATTGTTCAAGCTGAACTATTAATAATGAGAATCTTGAAATTTGAAGTTTCTATTGTACATCCTCATAAATACATGCTGCACTATTTGCGTTCAATGGAAGGCTGGATCGGAAAAGATAAGTGGAATTGCATCCCAATAGCGCGGACTGCTGCTTCATTCTTACAAGACTACCACCATGACTCCACAATTTTAGACTACGCGCCACAGCATATCGCGATAGCGTGTATTTCATTAGCGTTACAATGTTATGGAGTACGTCTGCCACTCATTGAAGATAATGAGGATGAAGCGTGGTACACAATGTTTGCAAAGGATCTGCAGAAGGATAAACATTGGGAAATTATGGAAAAAATAATGGAGGTGTACAATAAAGAACCCGAAAATGCATGAGTATTGTTCTTTGACTGTACTAAATAGAAGTTCTCAGTATTTTAAATGATTTTGATAATTTTTAATTGATAATAAACAATTTTTTCAAACTTTGATTTCATTTATCACTTTCCTTGAGGGTTCCATCGCCGGAACAAGTACAGTGCAACCCCTTTACTCCGGATACAGTAAGGTCACATATGATATACATACAATCTGTTTCAAACTAACTATTGCTGATGACTTTCTTAGTTGTAACGTACACGATTAAATTACCAAAATTGTGTATTATCTATCGAATCCAAATCTGTAAACAAAACAACATCGCATTTTTTAGATAACAAAAATGTGACTTATGGGACACCTTGTATATTAGTGCACCATAGCCAAAACGTTTCCATTTTCTTCATTTTTCAGAGTGCATAAAAGGGTATTTTCATAGAAAATAAGTTAAAGCTGAACTATGGTGCTAAGGGTCTCTGATTCGAATCCGGGTTCGGGCATGGATATTTGTAAATGTATAGTGGGTTGGGTTGGTAGAGCAGCCCTGGCTGAAACCCCGTCCACTCAAAATTAAAGGCAAAATCAAATAATCTGATCAGGCCCGATTGTGTTTTTAAACCATCCGAGTACACACAGACACACAAAAAAAGTTTCATCAAAATCAGAGTTCAGTCACAAACATGTACAGTAGAATTTTGCATATACATATCAACATACCTTTATTTCAAATAATGCCTCTTGTTATACATTGTATCACAAATATTACAAAATCAAATGATAAACATAAAATGAATATAACGAAGAGTAACTCGTTTGGATTGTCATGTCTCTTTTGAGCCTTTTCTGTTATACTTAGCTATTGATTTAATAGTATACTGAGTAGGCTGAGCATACTAACGTGGTTTTGTGTATTTGCCTTTCTGTACAGTAACTCGCGCGACCACAAAAGCTAATTTTGTAATTCTGTTTTCAGTCTAGAACTAGTAGAGTTTAGTCAAATCAGTTAAATTTGAAGGATACGAGCGCTCAGCATACACTAGTTACTTTTTCTTCGTAAAAAAATAAAAAGTCTAGAATTCTATTTTCTTTTAAAAGTTCTAAACGTGTAATTCGCACCCGGTCAGCCGAAAGATTCTTACAGGTCAATTGCAATAGATAAGTTTGGCGCCCCTTCCTATTAAAAACTAAACCAATTATTATTTAATGTCAAGGTTAAATTTTAAACTCTCGATTTTAACATGTGCAAGTTCAACAGCACTGATAAGGTCATCTCTTTTAATCTAATCTGTACTTGTAAAATAAACACTATGTTTATGAGTTATGACTGGCTGAGTTCTACCTAATTTGAGCAGTTTACACGATTTCATGGATGAAGGGTTTCTAGATTTTTTATTTCAATCATATATTTCACATAGGGTATACAAATGATTATTTTAAGACGTGTGATAGACAGAACATGAGAGCATGTTGGATGTCACTTACTCCCTTAAAATAAAAATAAGTATATAGTTCTAGGTATACATATCTGAAGGTTGTAACAATATCGCATACAATCCCATACCACATTTAAAAAACTATGTTAGATAAAACTACACATTTAAGAGCAAGCGGTGGAACATCTATTAACAATGACATCTATCACAGGAGCTTCAAATCAACACAGCCTAGAAGCGTATAATGTAATGTGATATTCTTTAAGAATTATTGAGAAGTAGACATTAAATGTATTGTTTTTCCCTATGTCTACTTTTAAATGACAAAATCTCGCCTAATTTTAGGCATCTAGTCTAAAAAAAGATTATCTTATTATCCTACTATTATAAGATGTCTTATATTTAGAGAAAAAATTTAAAAAAAACTTGTGGTTATTGGCAGTACCTATCATTAGTATGTAAAAAAATCAGCTTCATTCATCCAACCGTAACCTAATTATCTCTAGAAAGTTCGTGAAAAACTGACTAAGAATTATTTTCAGGTAATGCATCTGCTATCATTGAATTTATAATAGTTATAAATTCAATGCTGCTATTATAGGGCGAACCTTTAAATTTGAGAGACCCTGTATACTAACACTTGTATTTTGATGTACCGGGAATTTAAACGAGACAATGTGAATGTTAAAACGTTCAGTAGATTTGGAGTAGTGGAGAGTGGCCACCGAGATATAAAGACAAAATAATAGTACATTATATATCAAGGTAGAGAAGTCCACTATTATTGCCTGAGCACCAAGATTACATCTCGAGGCGCTTGCGCCGAGGGGTGTAAGGTGCGAAGGCAATAATAGACTTCTCTACCGTGGTATATATACTATTTTTTTCACTACTAGCACTTGAAATCCTCTAAATTAACATATTATATTGATAAGAGAGTTAACGGTTGGACAGAATTGTTTGTTTCTTAATTTAACATGTCAATCAAGTACGTGGAAGTACAAGTCAAACAGGCCGTATTTTGTTCTGTCATTGAGATTTTTCAAAGAGTAATTTCGTTCGAATTTTTTCAAAATGTGATAATTTTAGGTATGTAATTTCTCTGGAAATTGCGAATGGTGGCAATTATTCGTTTTAGAGAACTTGTCTAAACGTTCATTGAGCGAAATTTCGGGTTGTGTTTTCTAAAAGTGACAGCGTGACAGTTCTCATTATTGACTACTAGTTAATAATAAAAAATTATTAACCACTTGGAACAAATGCCGAGAAAGCCTACTTTACAAGTGGAAAAAAGGTTAATAATCATGTCATCAGACGCTAGTAGTGAAAAAAATAAATAATCAAACTATCAAAGTATTTAAAGGAGAAGTAAAGGGGTCTTACATTATTATAAACTAATACGAATTGAAAGTGTGAGAGTACTTTGTCACTTCGATTTATGTTCTATTCTTTACTGTTTTTGAAGTTGGTATAATAATACAAAAATCTAAATACCACATACCTACCACTTTCTGATTTCAAGTTTTGGTTGAGTTGGTTTTCCTTCCCGTAGTCATATTTAAACATTGCGCATTGTACAAACTGATGAGTGGAGCACAAGTTTTACTACCTAATCAAAATCATTTACAGGCCGCGTGCATGGTGAGTAATGGCGCCGGCCAAATGATATCAGCATATAAATGTGTGCAGTGAAAAAGAGTTTGCCCATCTATTGATGTGTTTCTAGTGTTAATCTAGGGCATATTTCCAAATTAGAAAAACTAACATTAATCTTTATACATAGGTACATGTATTGTTTGCCTATGTCTACTTTTAAAAGAAAATCCTCCTGAAGAGCGCCTAATTTTACGCATCCAAAATAACTTCTTAAAATAAATAAAGATCTGGCTGTCATATCAATTAATTTGAATAGTTTGTGATGAAAAATGAGTTGCTGTCAAATCGCTTGTTAACTGTTACTTTGACTTCACAGAAAATAAATCTCTTACGCTCCTTAAACTGTTACCGACATTATACCACTTGACAATATCAACTTTTTTCTTCAGTTGAATACATCGCACACAAACGAAAATAAAAATAAATTACAGCCACAACTTTGTTTTAAGAAGGTATTTTGGTTGCATAAAATTAGGCGCCCTTCGGAACGACTTTTGTCATTTACAGGTAGACATTGGGAAAAACAATACAGTACATCCCTGTTTTATCACTGTATATTGTATAGCATTTTGCGAATGCATGCGGGAATACAGGTTAATAATAAAAACGAGTGAAGTATTTTAATAAGCTCATTTAGTCATCATCGTGGAAGCGTTTACATACAACTAAGGAATCTCAGAAATTTTTGAGATGGGACCCATGTGTTCATATTATAACAATATGGCATGTGAAATGGCAACAATACATTTAAAATTAACAAAAAAAAACGAGATTCTAATTTTTGGTATAATAAATACACATAAAAGCAAACTTGTGCAAAGGGATTCATAAATATATCATATATGTTTAAAACAGCAATACAACTTACTCGCCTTCTTCCGATTTGGTTTAGGTTAAGGTTGCACCAATTAATTTTTGTTTTCTCTAAGCAGGCATCTATGCCAAATTAATTTCAGTTCATTTATCAACTTCGTTCTATTAATATTCATTCTAAAATATATCACTATCTTCTGGCAGTGTAATTTTTTATGTCCTCGCTAAATGTTTATGCAGTAATAAAATAATTTTTCATAGGTGCTGCCTCGAACAAAACAAAGTCCGATACTACTATCACGCACTACTTTATATTAGCTATTTTAAACAAGAATTTTTAAGAAATGATCGACTACCGAAATCAATTATGAACTAACACTCAACATGACAGACAACATATAATACAACCTGACAGACACTATATCTCCTCGCAGACAGTAATTTCCCATAAATACTACATAATACATTCAACTAGAGCTAACAGTTAAACATTATTCAAATTTCGAAGAATTTAAGCATCAATTCAATAGTGATTTAAAACAACAAATATTAATCGTTTTTATTACATTAGTTGTGCAGTTTAACGACTCCAAGACGGAACACTTGACCTGCAAGCATTGAGACTTGATAGTTCAATAGCACCAAAGTAATTGTACTTGTCAAACAAATCAACATTAGGTATGTACTAACATGCTGGAAGTAGCAATTTACGAAAGTAACAAATAAATTGTGATTTACATCGTGGTGCAGTCCAAATCTTTGGGTACAATGTGTCAAAAACATAATGGCAAATACTACCAAGTATAACGCTTTTTATAAAGCCAACCAGTAGGGTTTTAGTGTCAGTCCACTGTTTCCTTGTGTTAGTACCGAAATTCCAGATTTATGCAGCACATTTTGTTTTTTTAAAACATTGTTAAAAAACAAAATCCACTGTATAAATCTGTAATCTTTTAGCTCGTTGGTTACACATACTCTAGTGATTGGTTTCATAAGAAGCGAACATAAATCTCTTTATAGTTAGCACTCTTTGGTATAGTATTTAGTTGTTACTTTCATAACTAGGTTCTTACTTTTTATGAAGAAATTGAATTAAATGCATGTAACTAAGATAAGCTTTGGTAAACCCGTATAGAAGCAACAGATCCATATTACTGAGAAATAATAGCCACTTCAATCATTACAGATCATTTATAAGTTGTTCTTGAGCGTAGTTCAGATGCTTAAATTTTTCAGGTTTCACTTAACTACAACAAAATAGTTTATTAGGAATAGTTTACATACACTAATTTCTAAAATGTTCCACCTTAACCTGTGACCGGCTATATTAAAATGATATGAATTGCTTTGGTTACCTAACCTGATTCTGTGCGAGTGTGCAAATTATATAACGTCCATGTTTCTATTCCCATTTCCCGATTACAATAACTTATTTGTACATAAGGTATAGTTTGTACGATCTTAACGTAATACTGTGCAAAAGCTTGGAACTAATTGTACTTTGAATATTATTAAGTAATAAATATTGAATTTTCAGCCTTAAGTAGGTACTCTTATATATTTATTCTCATTTCAAAAGAATTCTTATTGAAACACTCGATATAATATATAAATATATGTAAATAAAGAGATTGCACTAGCTCCGAGTGTTTGGTTAACTTAATTCATACCATTAGATAAATATTAAGGCGCAAAAATAGAGTACAACTTTTTATGCCTTTATTTATATTGAGAGAGTAAAGCTATCACTTTATTTTTATTTAATTGATTAAGACATGAAAGGCAGAGGGAAAAGTTTAACAATCCCATTCAACATATAAATGGTAGAAGTAAAAATTAAGATAGTAAGTACAAGATGCTGTCCTGCGGCATCCACTTATTATGCTTAGCGATACTTCTACAGATATAAGGACACAAGGATATTCACGCAGGTTCATAATATATTATATACAATGACTAGTAAATTCTTTACCCCCGCAGTAGGATGTTGCTGGTGGACACATGCGGTATTTCAAAATTAATGCAATGGGGATTTGTTTCTTCAATGGCACAGTTGTATTCATCGAATATCCTTCATGTTTTGCTTTGAGCCGAATATCTTGAGCATTTGTTCTTCGTAATCGTTAATGTTTCTTTTCATAAGTTGCATGCATGGTCCGAGAAGACGCTCAAAGGCTTCCACATCAAGAACTGCAACAAACCAACACGTTAGATCTCAAAAATTTATTCCAAACTTAAATTAGAACTACAGTCATAAAATTAGTATGTAATTTAAATACACACATCAAAAACTGTATTCGAAATACACAATGAAAAATACTTAACAAGATACAGATGAACGGGTGGCGGACAAAAGGATGGACAACCATACAAAGGATCATATTAATTTGAAAATTCTAAATACAGTAAATTGTCAAATACAATTCTGTGGTTTATGAGTCTCTTACATTCGTTACAAAAACATTCTCACAGTTTCTCGTTTCCCATAACAGAAACCTTGTCCATTTATTACCCGATTAGTACATTAAAAAAAAATGAATTCTCGCGATGTTGAAGAGGACTGCATTTATTGTTTCATCTGATGAAATTCATGGTTTCAACGCCTATAATGCTAAACCAAAAGCTTAAACTTTTGAGGTTTAACCTTGGTAGGGGGTCGCTTTTATTTTCGGGTTGCATCATGTTGTTTTATTGCGCCTTATAAACATAAACATGAAATACATCAAGAGGAAATACACTATTTACTCATTTAAATAAATAAAATCATGACCATAACAATTCTTACCTATTTTTGAATGGAACCATGACAAACTTAATTTTATATTGTAACAGTGTGCGACTATGCAAATGAAATGTGTAAATTATACTGAGAAAGATTACCACTGTGAAACCTTTAACTGAGATGATTACTAAATCAAAAAAATACATTAAAAAAGAAACTTACATGCGAGTTTCAGATCGTCAGAAGCATAAGCCGAAGCAGCTCTTGGTCTGTGCGTCACTAAAGCGAGCTCTCCAAAGTATCCCCCTTTACCAATTCTGTTAATTTCTACCTCTTCACCTTGATCATTATACGCCTTAATAATCACCGTTCCAGTTTCGATGAAATACATTCCATCAGCGGCGTCGCCCTGTTTTATAATTCGTTCGTTGGCGCTGTAAGTCCTAGGAACTAAAGCATCGGCAAGGTTCATTCTCTCGTACGATTGCAACGTCTTCAGCATCGGCACTCCGTCTATCAACGCTTCGTACATCTTCCTTTTCTTAAAAGCCGACTTAAGTAAAATGCGTCTAAATGTTTGACGGTCCATAGCCCATAATGAACCTTCGGAGGCGGCCTTTATTGTCGCCGCCCTCGGCATATTGTAGAGTAAAGCTAGTTCTCCAAAACTTCCACTATTTTCGTACGTGTGAATGTGTTTAGGTTCCTGTCCGGAATCGCCCACCAATGCGTGATAAATTCCGCTGCAAACAAATTATAACATTGAAACAATGCAATTGTATCTACTTAACATGGCATATGAATTTTAATGTCCCTATATCGGTAGTATCTATTAATAGTTTTATGGTTCTACAAATGAATCATCTATTTACAAAACCAATTTCTTACTATAGCCCGAGCAAACATATATGCTGGCAAGCACTTAATTAGATACACCCAGAAAAAATCACTCTGAGCAAAAAGCTTAAACAAATTCGAACATTGACTACCATCTAAAATTAACAAGTCAAAAAGTAATCGTAAACGATTTACATAAAGCGCATTTCCACTTGCATTCATTTCCCATTTGTAAGATGCAACTTCTATAAAATCGTAAAAATCCGGCCACAAATATGAAAGATAGCGTTGCACATGGGCAATCCATTGTTGACGTGCTACTTCAATTTCAGTTTGAGAAGAATTTCATTTCAATGCTTTTCTAAATAAGAAAGTTGGAACTGCGCATGCGCAAACCTAAATTTTGAAACTAATGTTAGATTTTCCTTTGTTCCAAGCGCCAAAGAATCAAATTGCACTTAAATGCTTCCATAAATAAAAAAGTTGACACTGCGCATGCGCAAAACCAAATTTTGAAACTGGCGTTAGATTTTCCTTTATTCCAAGTGCCTATGTATCAAATTTCGTTTAAATTCTTCCATAAATAAAAAAGTTGGCACTGCGCATGCGCAAAACCAAAATTTGAAATTGGCGTTTGATTTTCCTTTATTCCAAGTGCCTATGTATCAAATTTCATTCAAATACTTTTATAAGTAAACAAGTTTGCAATTCGGCTTATAAATGGTCGAGATGCGAAAAGGGCACTGTGAATTTTGAATCGATTCGATTCAACTTTTGGCATTGCGTATTATATGGCTAAAGTTATGCCCATATTGAATTTCATGCAATTCAGTTCATAACTAACGGAGATGTAAAAGGGATCGAACATTTCTAAACAAAGTTATCGTTCACACGGACAGATAGATGGACAGACAGACAAAGGAACAGACGGACAGACCAACAGGCAGACGACAGATAGCAATGCAACATTATAAACGATCTCTAGGATCGTTAATAAACGGCAAAAGTGTAAAATTATGGAACATGTAAAAAAACGGTTTTTTGTTTTTTTTTACAATAACTTTTTTTGTAAGCGGTACAGAAAAAATTCCTTCCTTGGTACAAGACTCGACACCATAAGGAACCAAATAGCGAAAAAAGTAGAACAATAGCTCTTAAGATAAAGAACTAGTAGCGTCGCAAAACGAGCGGACGGACGGACGGACAAAGTGGCCACAATAGCGCATTTTTTTTTATTTTTGTGGAAATGCGCTAAAAAGCTGTAATCGATATAAAGGAACCTCTCATATACATAAAAATTACGAATCATAAATTTATGACGAATAAGACATGAAATGTAGTTGTCTGTCAATCTGCCTAGAGGAGTGGTCAAATTTGGTCCTTAGTATGCCGTAACTCTTAAACTATAGGTGATAGAAAAAAATAAATTGATGTTACAGTCTTGATGCATTTTTTTAAAGATAAACTCGATGTTAAAAACCAAACTGGCCGAAGGTCGTTTGTTTTTTCAGTTATGGGCAAAAGTTGCATTTTTTGATTTTCATATAAAAGCCTGTACTTTATTTATTAAGTTATCGGAAACGTGTTTCTTACAAAAGTTTCTTTGTAAAATGCAGTTCATTGAGGAAAAAGTATTTACAGTGGAAATAGTTAGTCTATACTGTATTCATTTTAAGAAGGTAGCGGTAAAAAGCATAGGGAAGCTTTGACCTTCAGTGTGATTGGTTAAAACTAGGGATGAGCGATAACCATTTTCACCTATCGATAAGTATCGGGTACTTACCTATCGATATATTTTACTTATCGATATGCCGATAATTATCGAAATATCGATGGTTATCAATATATCGATACTTATCGATAACTATCGATATATCAAAAAAAATTCCCATGCCTAGTTAAAACACAAGTCAGTATTACGCTGAAACATAAAATGAATGGCGAATTTTGCAAGCTGTTAGTTTTTATTGTCAACTAAACTCATGAAGTGTCATTAGTTGTTAATGTCAAAGATTTATTTCTATTTGCAGTATTGGATATTTCTACTTTACAATAATTTGGTGCAGTTTTATATTTTTCCTGTGTGTGCTTGTCTTCAGGCACAGCGCCATCTACTACCTTCTTATAATGAATGCAGTATAGTACGCGATATTTGATTTCCATTAAATGGATTTATTGGCGAATTTTTGATAAAATAGTGAGAAATACAACTGAAAATGAACTAATTTGTATATCATTAGATGAGAAAAATCTTTTGATTGGTGTCATTACAAACCCTCTCAGTTAATATGGGGAGCAACGATCTGCAAAAAACTTTTTTTGAATCATTTGAACCTTTTTTTACAATTTTTTTCTAATGTTTTTTGAATTTTTTTTTAATATCATCCCTGGTGTGCTATATTTTTGAAAACAGAATTTAATATACTGTCTGTTTAGATCAAGCTTCGAATACCTTTGTATGCGCCCCCGCCGTTTTCCAGTTATTCCGAATATAAAATTCCATATTGTTTCCTTCCCCCAGTTTTTAAATTTGACTTTTTCTAGTGATCCTTTACGGTTGGTGTTTGCGACAGCGACCGAATGTAACTCCCACAACAAAGTAAAGTCCGATACTCCCTACATTTTTCATACTTTTATACTTTTCCATGTTAAATCTTCTGAAGTGAAATGAGTTGAAGCAGTCGCCATGAGTGAAAAACCACCCGTTCCCCTAACACTCCCACCCCACCAACGGTTTGTACCTTGACAATGAGATCATCTCTCGTTTTATACAGTGCACTAGATTGTGCAAATACTAATGCAAAATTTTGGGAGAAATTAAGAATTTGTCCCCCCCCCCCATTTTAACTTTTTTTGTAATTTTGGAACTGATCACGCGCAAATGAAATGCAATCGTCAATGCGCAACCATTTGAAGAACGAAATATTTTGTTTCCTAAAATTGGGGGGCTAATTTCGCGCAGGTGATTATCCAATTTCAAACATGATTACCTGTTTCCATGACTAAATTGGCAAATTCCGCAATCATAATCTTTACTAGAAAATTGCTTCCCTAATTTCTAATGTGTTGTTACTTTTATATTCAAATTACCACAGTGCACGATACCATAGATGACGATACCGACACAGAAACACACAAGATTCTTACCACACAAGATTATTTATACTAAAACCATAAATCAAGTACTACATGAGAATTTTATTGGTAATAAACCCAGAGAACCTAATGTTAACAATATCGTACCATAAAAATTAGAAAGTATGTTAAGTATTGGGGTGAAAAAACTTGTTACAAGTCATTAAAAGAAACACACTTATTGCCACCACTTACAAAGCGAGCCTATTAGTATTCAATACCGCGTGTTTACACATAAAGATAGTAATCACTGTTTTATATAGTTTTCTATGGGTAAGTGGGCAACAATCAAGGTTCAATTTTTTTGCTAAATTAAAAAATAATGAATAATGATCACTTTAATCTACACAATATTTAATCATCAATGAAGTTTGTATCCTTAACCCCAATCTACCTTGTTAATAAAATACGTCACTATTAATTAATGTTGAATAATCTATTTAAACGGAACGTGATCAACAACCTTTCCACTATGTAGTGAGGTAGTCAGAATTAAGGTACACTACATTAAAGAAGGCCTATTTGTAGTTTTCTATCAATCTGCATTAAGTTTCCATACAATAATTGACTCTGCTATAAAGCGCAAGTGCAGTATGGGCTCTTATGAAGTAACCTCCTCCTTTACTATCTTTACCCATTTACCTATAACGCTATCATTGTCTTTCGTAACCATGTTATCCAACATACAATTTTTAACAAACTGACAACCTTTTGTACTGTTGTACTCTACTGTACCGCATAGCTAACTTATTTCGAATGTTGTTTTTTCCTGTAAAGTACGTATCTATTTTTTTGTTTGTTAAATTGTTGTTTATACTTGACCATGCCTATATGTTTTTTTACCATTTATGGCAATAAATGATACTATTACAGAAAAAGAAAGTCTTTCGAATAATTTAATAAAACTAATGCGTTGCTATTTGAAAAAACAAGTATAAATTGTCCAAAAAAACGCATTTCTAAACCAAAATAGCTTAGGTAGTAAATGGTTGGATTAGATTTTTTTAGATACTCCATACCCTCGTCCATACCTCACTATAGTCTATCAAACTTAACCACAATTCGGTGTTATTTATTACCTATCAGATTCTCAATAAAATTTTGAGGAAGCTGATATTGGAAATTTAAATTTATTTATATGGATGCTGCGCTTCTTTATCCCTACACGCTGCTTTCATGCAATTATGTAATTGGCAATAGTGTTGCACTATGTAAGTAGTGTCTGAAAAGTATATAAAATCCAATATCACGATGGGACGTTTCTGTGTTATACTTTGGATTTGGTCTCAAGGACAGTGTGCTTTGATTTTTCATAAAAACAACAAATGACAGTTCTGAAGAGCTCTTATTTAAACCCTCGTTTAAATCACTGCCTGGTAAAATCAATGTTAGTAGACAGTACAGGATTTTCCATACCGATCGGACACTCTACAGCTATGGGCGTACCTTTCAATGACGTAAAAGTTATCACCGTCGTCTCCTTGCTTTATGACTAGCTCATCAGCAGTAACTCTTCTTTCGAACATTGCATCCAAAACATCCTGCATTTGTTCTTTGTCTAACGAGCGAAATAATAAAATGTTGCGCACGGCGTCCGCCAGTCGCTGCCGCTGTTCATCCGATTTAGGAAACACCACCTTGGCACAGTCGTCTTCGTCTTCTTCGGGATCGTACGTCTCCGCAAACACCGATTTACGACGGCCTGTGAAGCGTCCGACGGGTGGTTCTGAAATAAATACTTTCATGAATAATCTAATGCAATTTTAAGTGTTGTGCTTAGCTATTCTTTACTAAAACGTATTTTCTCCGAAGGCCAGAAGACCAAAACCGGTAAATTATCATCAGCTTCATTTCAAGTTGAACTCAATTGCTGAGAAATTGATTTCTATCACCAGCGGTATAATTGTGATATTTGAGGGGAATTACTTTTGACCCTGACTGTACAGTGTCCCCTATTTTGGTTGAGACGTGTATCTCAGCTGTTTTTAAAGATAGAGACTTGCGCTTTTCGCGATCCTCTGCCACTTTTTTGTGAAACTTAATACCACAAACACACTCAATCTAGTTACGTATGCTTCTGGGATACAGGCTGTAAACGAAAAGATTGACTTTTAGGGAAGGTAAAAACTGCCTTTTTTGTCGGTCTCCGACCCGAAAGTAAGAGACAACAAGCGTTAAATCAAATGTTTTCAATCTCACCAACCGTCAAATTAAGAAGTGACAGGTATTACACCTCGATTACACCTTCAATAGGTATTCGCGATTTCTAACTGTCAATCACGTATTGTGATAATAATAATAATTACCAATAAACGCATATTCTATGAATTGCACCTGTATACAAAGTACAGTTTGATAAAGAAAAAAGAATGTTTGTCGGTAACTTATGTCTGTCTAAACCGTTCATCCGATTGCGATAAACTTTGGGGAATTGTTGGACCGCGAAAGTTTCTGAGTTAGTAAAACATTTTCAAAAATTGCCACGGGAATGGGAGAAAACAGGATTTTGTTTTGCAGTTGGAAAGAGACTTGACATTTAAAATGTAGGTTTCTTTGAAAGCGTTACACTGGACTCAGACAGAACTGCCCGAAGTTCCCATGGGAACGGGGTACGGGAAAAAACGGAATTTCCCAAAAGCGAATTTCGCCGAGACTGCTAGTACAGTATTTACTTATACAGTGTGTCCAAGAAATGTCTATCATGGTCAAACTAGAAAAAAAACATAGGTTGTGATACTTACATCAATATAATTAGGAAAAAGAATGCAAAAAATGACGTTAAAATATACAGGGTGTTTCATTTAACAAATACCATCTTTAGGTCAAATATCACAAACGGTGGTCCAAAATTTTTTTTACTACGCCACTGGATTTACGTAAAAATATCTAAAATAGACATTCACCTTTTGTCCATCTTAAATGGGTTGTAAGGCATGATAGCATCTCAAAAAGTCCAACTTTTCTCGGAAAGAAACGTAGCTAGACTGATTCTGTTTGTGATATTAAAAGTTTCACAAAAAAGTGGCACAGAGTCGCCAAACACCGCAAGCCTCTATTTTTAAAAACAGCCGAGATACACTGCAGTCTCAACCAAAATAGGACCCACTGTACCGGGTGGCCAAATAAGAATGTCCTTCTACCACCTCACAAACTAGTAGACATAGAGTTTTCGGGTAAGAAATTATGTAATAAAAGTGGCCAGGAGAAATTGCTGGAAATAATTTTCGAGTGTGTAAAATGACCAGTAGGGGGACAACTGTCATGATTAAATATAAAATTTTCTCCGGATTTTATCTACTAAAGAGGTATCAAAGATAGATGAGTTTTAATCCTGATAATCCTGAATATAACCCATTCTTTTTTGTTTTACTTTTTTTCCTATCTTGTGAAGTAAAGTGCTGAGGGAAATAAAATGCTTTTATACATAAACTAGCGCGACTCCGCAGGCTACATCTGCTCATCTTGCAAAATTATCTTCCAATTACAGAGACAATTCAACTCATGTATAAAAAATCGCATAAGCCGCAGTGAAATTGTCACTTTGACAGCGGCAAAAGTTACCTGCAACTTTTCCAGCGACAAATGCACTAGTGGTTTTTTCACTTATTCATTTTCGAACCAATTATCGCATTATCCTTTCCCATATGACTAGTTTGACGTCTGTCAATAATTGATTAGTTGGTGAATTTCTTGTTCGTTAAATTGTCCTGCCGAATTACACTCGAGGTTTGTATTTAAACCGAGTAAATTTGGGTTGTGGCAATTCAAATCTGTTTCCTTTTAGCAATTGTACTCGAAAAACTGTCAACCTAAAAATGCTCCACCTTCGGTGTCGCATTTTTATTAGTTGACAGTTTTTCTCGTCTAATTGCTAGGCAACAGATTTTCATTACCTAAACAACCCAAATTTACTCGGTAAAATACAAACCTCTTGTGCAATTATAAGTGATAATCGGTTATATACCTTTAACCACCCAAAATATTAGATGGATGAACATGAATTTGTACAGTGCTTAACGAAAAGTAAAAATTGCTTGTGGCACTAAATGCTTCAACATTTGCATAATTAATTGCATCATTACAAAGAAATGTACTCGTTGCCGTTTTTCGACGGCCATTCTTATTTGGCCACCCGGTACATGAGACCTCAAATACTTTGATTTTCCTTGATTGAAGGGCTGCGCGTTAGAAATTTATTATCGATTTTTTTTTAATTAATGATACTATTGATATACTGCTCACTTCTGTAACTCCTACATGCGTCATTTGATACCACCCAAATAGAGGTGTTTGACGTAAATATGCTAATTGAAAAATTAAGAAGTAATTTCTCTGGGTTTAGGAGGAACTAAGCAATTTGTGTATTAAAAATAGTTATTCCTGCAGCCAGTCTACCATTCCAGTAAGAAATTGGTACTAAGTACTAGAAAGACACACATTCACATTTATATTAATGACATTTGTAATAATCGTAATTTATCAATTACTTTTCCCAATCCTAGTTTATAAGCAACTGAATACAAAGAATCCGAATTCCTATCTTGAAAAATGTAATTATCGCATTATCTACCAGTCCTCAGACATCCGGACGGACGGTTATAAATCGTCACGCCTTCTTATTATGGCCGGAGAATGTGTTAACAAGATTCTTAATATAGACTTATTAAAAATATCGTAGCTGCCATACTATAACGTCTAAAGTATGTAGAGCAGACTCGAGTTCGAGCAAAGATAATATTGTTTGAGACTTTATAAAAGACTACGCCCTTTTCCACATTTTTTTTAAATCATCGTACACACTTGTATGTTGTAATTTCCATTCTCTATTGAAAACAGAATTGGGAAATTCGAAACTGTCCGTGAGTTACCATGTACACAGATGTACGGACGGACAGAAAGTTCAAAATCACGAACTCGCTTTTCGTTAATAAACCGCGGCGGCCGTTAACACCTCGATTTCCATTTTAGCGTGTTAATGATGGCCACTCATTGACCTTGAACCGAAGCGAACTGAAAATCTCCAACGTGTGGATAACTTCACAAATTTCTGGGCCAATATATGTGCCATATCATTGGCACACACATTGGCCAATGTGAAGAGGAGGCATAACTCGAAAAGTTAAGTGGATATGGCCAACTTAAATTTTATAAATGTGCATTGTACATAAAAGATAAAACAATAATACACTTCCAATTCGGAATTTAGGTACTGTCTCGTAGGGTTTTACAAGATGTACGACAAATGATTTTGCGCTACAATATGAAAAATTAAAACTAATTACGCAAACCTTTTCACCCTCATGAAAAAAATAATTCCGAAAATCCCGCCAGTAATAGTGATTGATTAAAGCTCAAATCCGCTTTGTTTGGGATTCGTCGTACAATCAATGGTCATTTCGGAGGTAATTCTGGATATTCTTTTTTTTGTCAACAATGACAGTAATGTAAAATTGAGTTGACGCAAATGCTATTCAACGAGACGGGAACGAATTATATTGGTTTGGAAATGATACTTTAACTAACAATTTTCCCCATGATAGTTAGCGAGATGGTTAGCTTATCTACGCAATTACTTGCTACCACGCATAATTTTAGTTTGCGTAATTATTTTAGGGACAATTCGTTTTTGTGTTTAAAGTGAATTTAGGCCATTATTAGATAAAAACTCTAATTATTGCTTTTATTTCAATCGATGATGTTGTAAAATGATAAAAGTTGCAGGTGTATTTGAATGTTTTTATGTTCCGGAAAAATTTTCGGCCACGTTTTTGCATTGAAAACTTTATATACAGGGTGCTTTAAGTAGGAGGTATGACGTTCCTATTGATATTTTAAAAGAAACAATGTCCACAATATACAGTGTTCAGCCCTCGGTTCAGCCGGAAATATGAGTACAGACAGACCCGCCGACATAATCGAGATTTTGTTTGATTCAGATTCAAAACGTGTATTTCCGTAAAAAAAGTGGATTTTTACCCCAATGCAATCCCTTACTACCGTGTGGCATGCAGTTTTTGAAGGGTAGTATGCGGCACCGCACGTTAGTAAGGAAGGTATTGCATTGGGGTAAACAATGACCCCCCATTTTTTTTTTTACTGAAATACAAGTTTTATTGTATCACACGTCTACTGAAAGACCTAATCGATTTTAACAGGGTACCATACCATGTAAGTATGTTAAAGAACGATGTAGAAGATAGAAACAAACGTGCTCTCCAAATATGTTGCAAGTAAGAGACCAAAGTATTTTGTTTGGGAGTCATTGTAATACATTCACGAAAATTTAATCGTGATAGTAAAATTGTCTGGCAAGGTCTATTTTTGCTTCGGGTATATTCGGAAATGTTGGCCGCTGGTATTGGCCACTCGGTCCAATTTGAAAGAATGAATGACAACTGAGATAATACACCGTTCCGTGGCTTTTTGCGGACCTTGATATGTGGATCAGAGATAAAGAACATTAAAAGCTCGATTAAAAGCTGTCATACATTACAGGAGTACGGTATATTTGACTTGCGTGCAAGGCGAAGTAATTTTTGGATACATATACACATAAAGTAGTTAACATGTTTTCTAAAATAACTCAATTATGTGCCCGATAAAAATAAAGATCGATTCATAATTACCTGGATAATCGTTCATTTCAAATATTAAACGAGATGATTTAAGAATGCTGCTAATTCTTCACATAAATTTCTTCTATACGTAACACAGGATCACCATTTA